GCTGTACGGATAAAGCGGATCACAGAGCAGTGGGAGCAGTTTAGCCTCGATATTTGCTCCATATATTAAAATGTTTCTTTGGCTAAATGTCGTCATTTTCTCGTGTCGTGCGATTGTTAAAGATGAGGCAACATGTTTCTGAATGAAGAATAAATTCGTTTGACTGAAGTACAGTTATAAGCATAATAACTGGCGATCGTGTTTACCAGGCGAAGATAGCTCGTACCCAGCATGCGAGCTGAACTCCCAGGGCCCCGCGACTCGGGGCTGGCGCAGCGCAGGCGCTCCGCCCCACGAGCTCTTGCTCCGGCTGTCCTGCGTCACCAGCGTGCACAAACTACAGCTTCTGGCGCACCACCAGCTGATACGTGAGTTGGTTTTACTCTAAAAATACAAAGATATCTGAATCTATAGCTGAACTCCTAGGGATCCGAGGCTCTGGGCTGGCGATACCAGCATACACAAACTACAGCTACTGGCACACCACCAGCTGAAACGTGAGTTGGTTTTACTCTAAGGATGCAAACATAGGTCGTATCCAGCATGTGACCTGAACTCCCAGGGACCCGCGGCTCGAGGCTGGGTAGCGCGGGCGCTCCGCCCCCCGAGCTGCTGCTGCAGCTGTCCTTCGTCACCAGCGTGCACAAATTACAGTTCCTGGCACACCACCAGCTGACACGTGAGTTGGTCTTACCGTAAGGATGCGAAGATAGCTCGTACCCAGCATGCGAGCTGAACTCTTAGGAATCCGAGGCTATGGGCTGGCGTCACCAGCTCACCAGCGTAAACAAACTACAGCTTCTGGGACACCACCTGGGACCTCAAGATAGCTCGTACCCAGCGTGTGAGATAAACTCCTAGGGCCCTGCGGCTCTCCTGCGTCACCAGCGTGCAAAAACTACAGTTCCTGGCACACCACCAGCTGATGCGTAAGTTGATCTAAGGATATATCTCTATACTTTTTATGGTTACGAGCCACTTACATATTTACCACAAAGTAAGTAATAGTTTTCCTAAAGGATGTATTTCCGAATTACCGAATTAATTTTGTATTGTCTCGCGGTCCTTTGTTTTTATTTCTAGAATTTGACTTTTATTGGTTGTTACTTTAAATTATAAATGAAACAACAGCGAAACGTTTTACATGAAACATCAAATTAACATAGAAATGCCTTATTTGACAGATTTGAATGAATGAAAAAAAATAAAAAAAAAAGAATGCGTAAAAACATTAAAAAAAAGCTTTTGCGCTTTTCGGTTTTCGTTTCCTATTATGCAAAAAATATGCTATTCCAGCTAAATCCTGAAAAGCTAGAGGACGTTCCTACTTCCATATTCTTTGTCATAACAATTACGATAGTAGAGGTAATGGTGTTGATTCTGGTATAATTCTTTAAAATTAAAACCAAATTTAATATCAGTCTCTCCTTTTCATTCTGTACAGAGAAAGACAAGGATGCAATGTTGTCAAATTTAAATTTAGATTTAGAGAATCATGCCAAAATCGATACCACTAAGTTACTTTATTAAGTCCCGCCAGATGATAAAGCGACCGTCCGATCCAATGTGAAGTTAATGTCGAACCATGAAGCCGCGTTGGAACTATTCAATGCTACCGTACATAATGGAATGGGTTAAAAGCTCTTTGTGTACAGTCATGCATATTTAAAAGCTACCCTAATTGCTGCAGAAATAAGACACAAATTCCGATGTGTACACATATCTATTGATAACAGGCCAAGAAATCGAATAAAAGAAAAATATATGATGTGCCTATTAGAATGAGGTCAAATGGATTTTACGGTTGATTTCTTTTCATAGCTTTTCATAGTCCTGATAGTGGCACTAGAAAATTTCAGCGACTCTGCTCTTTTTCTATACGTGTTCTTTTAATTTATGTGAGGTGAGGCAAGGTGAGGATGTTTGGTGTAGCAGTTTATAACTGCTGTATCAGCTATCTTCGCGTTTGGACTTAACATCAGGTGGGGTAGAGTCATTTGCCTACCTGGCTATAAAAAATAAATTATAAGGTGTGGTTGTTTTTATGAAGTAGGTTTTATTTTTCTTAAAGAAGTTTCTTGAAGGAGAGGGCGACGCACGACTGGTTGGATGACGATGATTATAATGTACCTAGCAGATTGAAGATTTTACTATAACTATATACCGTAAACCTAGATGTTTAAAAATATGGATCCGTGCCGTATTAAAACGAGAGCTGAAGCCGGCATTAGTTTAGGTCAGTAACAAATTTAAATAGCTTCTGCTGTTCCTGGCAGCCTGCCACCCTAGGCCATGGCCCTTTTTCCACCTGGATGTAGTGATACAAATGTAAATATATTTTTCTAGAAATATATAGATATCAAAAACAGCCAATACTAAGGTACAAATGCTCATAAATATCATATAAGCATTTGCCCATACCTCTCCCATCACGAAGGTCATCTAAATAAGAAAGGTTCTTGCCCGGATTGTCTTGCTGTATGTTGTACCTTTAAGAGAGGTAGAGAATAGTTAATTTTCCGCTCTAATTGGAGCGCCCTTCTGGGAAAGATGGGGTATCTTCTCCTTCACCTTACAGAAAATCACTGTAAAATGACACAAGCTGTTGTGGATTATGTATCTGTCGGTGTATAAGGTTCCAAGGCTCCACGGGATTAGATTTTGTAGTGGTGCAATTTTTAGTACCGCAAACTTCTATAGACTATGGTGGCCGCTTGCAATCAGGCAGGCCATATGCTTGTTTACCAACATTTTAACATAAAAAAAACTATATAATTACGTATGTTTACCACAGCGGAATGCGTGGAGGTGCTGGTTTCGGGTGGGCTGATATCGGAGGGGGCGGCGACACCTTGCGGGGCCACTTACACCAGCGTGGGCCGCGTCAGCCTGGCCCGACCCACGCCGCAAGCGAGGACCAGGGAACTCAGGTAATAAACCAAATTGAAGGCCTCCTTTTGAGGGGGCATTGGGTAGTTCAGTATGGCCACGGGTACAAAATCTGAGCATATGAACTGAACTGAACAGGTTGTGGTCCTACCAGTTTATTTTGAACCCAAGGTCATACTGAACTACTTCATGGTAAACCGTGGTCTTCCTGTAGTACAAACCGTTGAGACCACGGGCCCTTGATCTTAGAAACGCGTGAGAATCTTTGCAAAACGCTTATCAGTAAAAGTGAGTGACTTAATGGTGCCAATTCTGGCGTGATTCTCTAAACTTAAAACTAAATTTAACATCAGTCTCTCCTTTTCATTTTGTATAGAGAGTGACAAGGATACACTGCTGTCAAATTTAATTTTAGGTTTAGAGAATCATGCTAGAATCGACACCATTGTATGACTTAAATTTTCAGAATTAGCTACCGTTGTCCCTATCGTACGTTATTTGCCAATGCGTGTCAGCAATAGTTTTTTCAAATATTTGTATAGGTCGCGTTACGTAAAAATAACGCTGGCGGTTAGGCTGCGCAGTAGGCGATTTCCTCCCCCACCTCGTCTCCGTCCGCTTCCTGTGCGTTGCGCGTGCGTTGATTCGCCGGCCGTTTTTTTTATTTAGTGTGAATGCTGTTGGTCGCATATGACCTTTACGACCGGCGACGATTCACCTGGTTTGGGGAAGGCGAGATCCTAATGGGACCTCAAGTCAAGAATTGGCGAGTGCTTCTAGGGGTGTTCTAGGGCGTTGGCATCTCCCCACGGGGGAATCTCTTCTCCGTCTGGACTCGTCTGGAGCCTCTAGACCACTTGAACCTGAGGAGGCTAGCTCAACTAGAGGACGTTTCTGAGACTCGGACCTCGGCTCCAGTTCAACCTAGCTGTGGGTCGACATATCGTTTGATAATTTAAATTATTTGTTTATGAATACTTTAAACTCAGAATTCCCTAATCTATTCACAGCACTTTGGGCTTTACCTCACATTGTCAGCGACAGTAGCACACCGTGAACGATTTTCAAAATATAAATGATTAAAAACTGCCTTAGTTCAACAAGTCAAAACCAACACGACACGACTTTAAACGAGCTGTCCCAGCGAACTTCGTACCACCATAAAAAATAGGGGTTGGTGGTAGAAGGGTGAAATTTGAGGGTGGACCACTCTTAACATTTAGGGAGATGAAAAATAGATGTTGTCCGATTCTCAGACCTACTGCATATTGTTTGTTTCGGAGTAGATTAATTACGCACGTGACACGAGAATTCTATATATTAGAGATAGAAGTTATTATCCATTGGAAAATTTGACAGCTTGCGGTAATTTGATGTGACTTGTACTTTCTTCACGCATTTTATTTTGACCACACGCTTACTAGGGAGCGCTAGGGGTCATGTTTGCACACGGGTGCTACATGGGCTAGAGACGCCTCTGGTCCTTAGTTAAAAATGTTACATTGAACAAAAAGTTATTAACTACGCAGTTTTGATGCTGCCAATCGTTTAAAAACTAAGTAGTTTAATCACCTTATGGTATGTTTTTAAAATTATTGCTCAATCATAAACATTTGTTTTTGCTACAAACTTTTGTCACAAAGTGGGCTGTTAGATGTGTCTGAAAGTATATTTACTAGTAGTCTACATTTCAGACATTAAATAAGTAAAATTTACCATAATATTTTTCTAGATCGGCGGCACTTCCAGAACCAACAATAGCCCGTTTTGTGAAACTAAGACTATCCGGACCACACCTGCCAGCGAACGAAGATGATCAGGTAATTAACAAACAAATTATTAGAATAAATAAAATAAATTATAAATATCATAATCATAAAATTATATTCAATTTACAAAGAATAACTATTAAATAATGTCTGGATATCTGGACTGTGGTTACGTTAATCTAGTTTAGAAAAAAATATCCAACTAATGGCATTTGAATTATAGATTTTAATTGAATATTATGAATATTTTTTTTTAAGTCAAACAATCCAAAATATCTTATAGATTGATCAGCAAAGGAAAACTCACTGTATTTTCAGTGAAAAAAAAAATAAACTGTGTACATATTTCTGGAACAGTTATTTATAAAACAAACATTGAACACTATCATGAATCCATCCAGGTAGCCCTGATGGCAGTCAATGTACTGGGTGAAGAAATAGAAGAGTCTGATAAACCAACGCCAGCGTTACCCAAATCTGAGCCGAGTTACTCGCCGTACGATGACCTAGCTTTCGTCATGTACGTGGATACTGAGATAGCAGACTTGGTCAGGACTTTGGATGAGAAGAAGAAGATCGCTGTGGCTGGTAAGACTTTCGATTAGGCTTCAAAGACTTTGAGAGACTTTGAGACACAATTAAAATTTTGAAACACTTGCGATAGGAACTCTGTCTATGCTTACATCCTATATCTATGTCTCTCTCTCTGTCTTTTATAACTTCTTTTTTCTCCTCTGCCACCAGCATTGCAATCGTGGCCTCGGTTGCTTGCGGATGAAAAACCCGTGCCGGTCCTCAGTTTATTTTTAACATTTTTTTAGAGTATGTATATACAAAATCTCTGAAAATAATTTTCAATAATTTATTTTTTTCATCATTGGTGCGAAGAAAGCTTTTCCTTAATTCTTTTTTCTGGCTGCTTAAAAAAACCTTCTCTTGATTCGTTCCTCTCGTTTAAAATCGGTGGGAAACGCGCTAGCCACGGGTAGCCGAGTAGTCAGCTGGAGACTGCGCAAATGAACTGCCTTGTATCGTCCTCTCATATGCAATGTATAAAATCGCGGCTTTGAGAGCCGGTGGAAAAGCTGCATCAATCTTCAGCTTGTTTATTACATTAAGCGAAGTATTCAAAATACACTAAAACATAATAGCAAATTGAATAATTTTGAAAACTTACCAAATAATTTTGTCATCATTGGTGTAAATAAAGATTTTCCTCCATTCCTCTTTTTCTGGCACTCATATAACAAAATCTTCTTTTTCGTGTCCTAGAGGAACGCTTCGAATACGCGCGTCGTTTGAAATCGGCGGGCTCCGCGCTAGCCGCGGCCGGCATTCGAGTAGGCAGGTGGAGACTGAGAAAACGAACCGCTGCCGCTAGAGATGACTTCGAGCTGGCGCGACGAATGAGGGATAGGATCGCTGATGCATTGGCTGGGATAAAGGAAGACCCGCAGCTTCTTAGACTCTTCGAGGAGGACGGAGTGAGTGTCTTTAGGGACAGGATTGTCAAACAAAAGGAATAGAATTGCTGATGCATTTGCCGGGCTGAAAAAAGACCCGCAGCATTGCAGACTTTTCGAGGACGACGGGGTGAGTTTCTTTAGGGACAGGATTTTCGACCTAAAGAAAGATCCGCCATCGGTTCGTTATTCTACGAATAAGAAAAGGACTGGGTGAGTTACTATAAAAATGTGAAGGAATTTGATAGTTACTAGGATTAATTTAAGAAAAAAGATTGTTCGAGGAACAACTAGGTCGAAAGATTGCGAAAACGAACCGCTGCTGCCAGAGATGATTTGGAATCGCGGCGTATGAGAGACAGGATCGCTAATGCATTGGCTGGGTTGAAGGAAGACTTGCAGCTTTGTAGACTTTTCGAGGAGGACGGGCAGAGTTTCTCTAAAGCTATCAGGATTTTTTGACGTTTACTTTGAAAAGGAATGCTAGAATGATGAATAACATAGACCAATGCATGGCCCAGCCTCAAAAAAAGTTCCTATCTTTTAGACCATTAAAAAAAGATGGGATTTATTCCTTTTTGCCTTTAAAAGAATTTGAAAGGTTTTCGTTCAAAAATATTGTTCGAATATTAAATAAAATATGCCTACGCAATCTACAGCGTTATGAAAATCCGCAGTTTTGTAGACTCTTCTAGATGGGGTCAGAATAGTGGTCCCCTGACAGACACACTGTTTGATGCGAATATACGTTGGTAGTCCTGGTAATCCATGACTAGTAAAAGTTACTAGTGCTGGTAATACACGTTTCTAGTTCTGGTAATCGAGGGCTAGTAAAGTATACTCGTATCAACACATTATTACCAACTTCAATCCAACTAAAGCGTTTCTTTCTAGCCGGACACTCGCAACGATTCATCAATGCCACAAGAATACGACTTCTCGCACCATTTATCGCCGTCAGTAGTACCAGGGTCTCTTAGTTTGGATATTCCATCGCCAGTACCGCCCAATGAAGAACCTGAAATCGAACAGGAACTAGTTAACGGAGATGACGAAGAAGATGAAGATAGATGTGTAGCTGAAGTAAGTTTTGAAATATTCTTTAAGAATAAAATAGCACTAGCAAAAAAAATCTTGAGGACAGATGCCGCAATAGTAACGAGAGCATCTTTTTAAAATGAAACTTTTTCTTAGACTAACAGTTAGTTAATTGTTTGATGAATCATTATAATAGTGCAAGCAAATAAATACTAATATCTCGAGGAGATGCCGCAATATTTAGCACATTTCTACAAAATTTTCAAAGACCAGTCGTCAGATCATCACCAGCATATTAATATCGCCACTGCTGGAGCACAGGTCTTCTCTACTAATGGGATACGGAGATTGGGCCTTGATTCATCACGCAGGATCAATTTGGATTGGTTTGCGATAATGATGTTTTATAAAGTTTTTATTTTTTAATAGTTTTACGACAACGTAACGAGAATAGTCGTCTATCAGAACTTGAAAATACGTTTCTCTATTTTCTTGGTGATGAGATTAGTCCACAAAGATCTGATCATGTATGAGATCTCCAATTTCTTTACTATTTCTTATCACAGGTACAAAATACCTTCTAGTGCTTTTGCCTACTATGCAACTAGTACATTTCGTTTTATTTGAATATGGTAATTTTAGTATTTGTAAACCTTTCTTGTTTAGGTGTCCAAGTCGTCTATGCCATCGTCTTTTTTGATAAAAGTGCTCTGTTTTCCTTTAGACGACTATTCAAGCCGTCCAAGAAGAGATTCGACCATCACCCGAACCACCGCCGCCAGTGCAAGAAGAAACAGTTGAACTGAAGAAGATGGAAGAAGAAGAACTGAGAAGAGAAACCGATAGTCCCAGGAGGAGTATCACGCCAAACGCTGCCAATGGTGAGCCATTTAATACTACTTATATAAAAAATGATCAAGTTTGTATGATTGTTGCTCAATCACGCAAAAAGTACAAAACGGATATAGATGAAATTTGGTACGCACATTCATAGTTTATGACCTGGATTGAAATAGGATTCTTTTTATCCCCCAAAAACGATAGGTTCTTGAAAGATTCTGAAAGTTGATGCAGACGAAGTCGCGGGCGGAAGCCAGTTTTGTTATAATTTTGACCGAATAGTTTTTTTATGAAAAACTTTGCTTAGATCTTTCAGTTTTTTTTGTACATGACACACTGCGGGCTTTTTTAAAGTATAGCTTGCTTGAAGTCTACGTTTTTACGATACAAAGAAACTTAAAGAAGGAAATCTTGAATTACCCATTTAATTTATTAGGCAAATCCAAAGTGATGTCTTTTTGCAGCATACTTTCTTTCTTAATGTAGTTTTCAAAAAAAAAATGATCACTGTTTGTGTCATCCATTACACTGTAACAATTTATTCCTTAGGAGCTAATCACACTCTCAACTCAACTCAACTCTTCACCTTTTACTTCTTTACTGCTACTCGATGTCAATTTGCATCCTATTTCCTCTTTGACTTTGTTTTATATAACTTTATGTATATATTTTTAGGAACTCTAGTTAGACGCAGAAATAAAAGTGCTGGTCCGAGATCCACGTTCGAGGCTTACGAGGAACGATTGTTACCAGCTTTGAGGCAGTAAGTATTACAATATTATCTATTTAGTAGCACGTGGACTGATCCCTTCTATTGGCCGTTAAATAATCCTATCTCCGGAAATGCGCAGGTTTCTTAATCTTAATGATAGTAACCCAATAAAAACGAATAGTTAAGACCATTCGTGTGATTCGTGAACTCCTTCTCTTCTTCTATTGTAGACTCAATTCCAATTTCCTACTTTAACAACGAAGTTACGATGAGACCACATACGTTGCATAGACTAGAATACATATACATATGACTCTAATCTTCATGAATTTTAATGGAATTAAACTTTATTTCATATAATTCTAAGGAAATGCAATATTTAAATGTATTTCGCATTAAATATAACAGAGATTAAAACATTAATTTATTCAATTTAGACTACGTAAGTTCGAGAGCTTTGAAAAGAGGTAACTATTTGTCCAGCAGACAGATTTTAGTTTAAATGTTAGTAAACGCTAGTTTGTAAATTACCTAGTAAGATAGATTATTTTCTCACTTTTAACTAGGATTTCGATTCCTTTCTAGTCTCAAAGCTTCTGGATGCCAAAAGTAGAAAAAAAGTGTGACGATTCAGATCTATGCCTTTCATCAATCAAAATCGGTGTGGATTAGTAGGTGCTAATGTTAAGCCTTTGTCAAAATGGCTTGAGTAAAATTCGCTAACCTCCAAACTTTCGTTGTCTTTAAGACAAAAACTTGTTATCTCTGACTTTGTAATAATGATCCTTAATAATAAAAAGCCTGAAATTAGAGTGATTTTAATAGTTGCATGATGCTAGATATTATGAATTGATAAGTTTTGACTTTTGGTATCCCTAAGCCTTTAGAAAAATACTACTAGGTAGTACCTATAAGCATTATGTGTCTAGATAGATCTATTATCTTAGGCTAGTTTCCAGATAATTTCATTAAATTTAGAATTCTTCCTATTGATGTGTGCATTTTTGTTAATAGATCTATAATAATTTATACAATGATAGATATAAGTTTCTGTGCCATGAAATCTAAATACAAATTCCTCCTTCAAAGTTGAGATATTTCTATACGATATTGGGTAGTAGCGATATCAGAATTAATAGAGTTATTAGATTATAATAGGTGTTACTTCACTGTTGTCGACAATTAATGTTAAACCTTTGTTAGACTTAATTAACATATAAGTATCGTTAGCTTCAAAATTTTGATTAAAGAATTAAATGAAAATAGAAATTATTTTCAGCGTTAAAAGTATGTTTATAAATTTTGGTTTCTAAAATATGCCGATATTTGTAATAGCATTAGACATGAAATCGTCTCACTAGCATTTAAATAAATGATTTTTTTCTCAAAATCCTATGTTTTCAAAGAGCTATTCGAATTGCATCAATTACTTCTGTCGTTCGTAATAAGGACTAAATTTCACCTTACATAAGCCCAAAAGAATATAACAGACTATTGTATGAATTATTTCACCAATAGTTCCCACACAAACGAATATTTGAGAGAGGCGAAAGAAGAGGAATGTAGCGGAGGTAGCGCCGCTTCCCATCATAGGCCTCTTCAGCCGCACAAACTGAATGAAAGAGAGAGGAAACAAGCAGCTTTGCCTATACTCATCTTCGGATATCCGCTGGTAAGCTATAGAATGTATGGTAGTGGATTTGTTATATTTTTTGTTGGTGAACAAGGATTTCCAGAAATTTCAGACCATCCAGAACTGATACTCTGGAGTCGCAAACGTATAAATGCTTTACTGGCCGCTATACCTACCATCAAACGAGCTATATGATACTCTTCTTCGAATATCCGCTGGTAAACTGGTGAATGTGTGGTAGTGTATATAGAGTAAGGTTTCCAGGTCTCCAAGAGCTGATGATGGCAACACTGCTTCCCATCCTAGGCCTATGCAGACGCACCAATTCAAGGAAAGGGAGTGGAAACAAACAGTTTTGCCTATTCTTATCTTCGGTTCTCCGCTGTTAAGCTGCTGAATGTTTGCTGAAGTTGGGTTTCTGTTTGTTAGTAAGGTTTCTAGAGCCTCAAGAGGTAGGGGACGGGGTTGGGCTTAGGGTAATCAATCTAGCAATTCTAGAGCTCCAAGAGCGATACTTCTAATATCACAAGCATCTTTATTCTATGGTGGATGCTTTACTACTAGACGACCTATAAGACAATATAATGACAATCATCAGCGGATTTTTTTATTGCCTTAGAAGGCAAATCAGCGCATGGGCCACCTGATGTTAAGTGGTCACCGTCACCCATGAACATAAACAATACCAGTGATACAGCCATGCCGCTGCCTTTCGTGGAACACTTTATATATGACTCTCTTAAAGAGGACCATGTACGGAGGGAACACCGTGCTGCGCCGACCTCATTCCATAATTATCTGTGGAATAGATAGATAGATATGGTAGTGTTTAGTTAGGTTTACAGGGCTCGAAGAGCTGATGATTTAATATCGCAAGCGTTTATATGATATGGTGGCTGCTTTACCATTAGACGCCATATGGTGCTCATGAATATCCGCTGGTAAGTTTGGGAATGTATTGTGGTGTTGTGTTCCCGTGTGCAAATAAGGATTTCCTGGAATAAGATTATTGGAAATCCTTACTCGTTATGAACTCCAACAGTGATATTCTGGTTTCGGCAGCGTTCATATGCTATGGTAGTTCCTTCTGTAATATGCTTTCTCTGCCACGCTTTAACATAATAAAATCATCACTATAATAATAGTTAGGAATTTTGAACTTTATGTTAATGAAAAGAAAGAAATACAAAGTAGCCTTTGAGCAATCTCAGCACATTAATTTTTAGATAAAATTAAATCGTTTTTAGGTGGAGAAATTCTACTCTAAAAACTACCTTGACAAAGAGGAGGGCTTAGCCCGCCTTCGGGCAGAGCTAACAGCGCCATCTAACGGCAGCACCAAGACTTCCCCAAATAAGACAGCCAGAGCGGCCGCCATATTGCTGCAGAGGACGTTAAGGGATAAAGTGTTCTCAGTCTACAGCCAAACCAATGAAGTCGTGAGGGTGCTCTTCCAAGAATTTGTTCCGGATAGGTAAGTGTCATAATTATAGGGACATGTTTTTTGTTGTTGTGTCATGTGTTTTGTTCGCTTTAGTTCTGACTGAGGACCATATACTCAGCCAATGAAGTCGTGAGGGTGCTATTCCAAGAGTTTGTTCCGGTTAGGTAAGTGATATAATAAGTATCAGATCGCGAGTATTTGTTCTTATGTCCAGCCAGCTACTTTGAAGAGAACGTTCTCATCAATTCTGGAACAACTCTTGCATATATTCAAGACTCTTCATTTCGTTAAATGTTGTTAGTCGTGCTAATGTTAAAAAGTAGAATATTCGCATCACTATGTTTGCCAGTTTAAAGTGCAATTCAAAATTAATGGCAGCTGCGAAGTTAGCGCTAGTCGCGGCACAGTAAAAAAAATTTAGGATGATGCAACTGTGCGAGCGGGATGTAACTGAATTGTATGATGATTTTGGAAAATTCAAACAACTAGCTTTTCACATCGCTATTTACTTTCCATTTGCTTAGGACACAAAATGACCTTGATTTTTCATACTATAAACAACACTTAGTCATTTGCAACGTGAAGTACTTAGGTATGTATAACTGCGCTCGCATCTAACTTGTAACTTCACAATAGCCACGTGAGCTGAGCGACACTTGAGAAATAGGCATTTTAATAAACCATTGCTGTCGCGCATTGACAGGTACCGTACGATAGGGACAACAGTAGCTAACACTGAAAATTACGTACATAAATTGCAAATTTTGAAGTTTAGCTCTCGACGATTTCCTCCTCGGAATTAAGATTATATATAATAGAAATTTTACACACAGAATAATAAGTAGTTATAATAGGCCTCTGTTTTTTTTTGTAAATGCTTATTGAATCTTAACATTAGACGTCTTTCTTGGTGGTAAGAACTTGTTTTGGTATTTTGAGGGCTTCTAGTTTCTTTAAAACACAAGTAATCAAAAAAAGGAAAACAGGAGCATGGTATGAGTAAATTATATCTAACATATAAAATTCTCGTGTCACGGTGTGCGTAATTGAACTCCTCCGAAACGGCTCGACCGATTTTCGTGGAACTTTATATGCATATTCAGTAGGTTTGAGAATCGGACAACATCTATTTTTCATCCCCCTATATGTTAAGGGTGGTCCATAAATTTTTTTTGGACAATTTCTTTTATGATACGAGTACATCATACAAAAATACATACAACCCTAAATGTTCACCCTTCTACCACCCATATTTTTATGGCAATACGAAGTTCGCTAGCTCAGCGTGTTTTATGTGTAAAAATCATTTCTTTAGTGATGAAAATCAAGGAGGGACTAGTCGAAAACGTTTGTATGAAAAAACCATTGCCCTTAAGTTTGAATTGCATAAAGAAAATAATAACTCCGTTTTACATCTCATATCGCTCCGTTGCCACCAGGGTATGTGCTGCAGAAGTAGGCAGATGCTTAGAGAAGCTACTGCCTGAATTGCTACGTGCTTGCGGTGACCCGGCACCCAGGGTTCATTCCACCGCTCAGCATACGGTGCTCACCGTTGCCGATTGTCCACCAGTCAGGTAGGCTTGTCTAGACTAAAGTTTTAATAATGTTTTTATTTTAAGCATTTAACTGTTATGTGTTTATATAATTTTTAATTGTGGGTTACATACAATGCAAAGAGTTGGCGCTGCCTTGCAGCCTAAGGCCAGGAAAAATTTGACACGGCCGTCAGGGCCACGGTAGCATAATGGTCAGTGCATTCTCCAGGATAGCAAAGGGTGCGGGTTCGAGTCCCGTCTGCTGCCTGGTCCGCGTGGATTTTTTTCTAGTTATATTTTCTTTAGATTGAAACATCAAGCAGTTACATGCTTAAAAAATAAAAATTATAACTAATCTTGCAGTGAAACTTTAGCACCCTTAGGGTGCTTTGATTTGCATTTGACTAAGAATATCTTTGTCAAAATTCAAAAATGTTTTTTTTATGGTTCTTTACTTCAAAAAACATGGGATCTCACTTTATTTACTAATGCATATGAAGTCCATATAAAGTGGATATTCATAATTCTGTTGTGTATTTCCGTTGCCGCGAAAACGTTGCTCTGGACCATAAAATGGTGTCTCACTGTTATGTGACGTCACACGATTGTCATTAAAACGTTAAACGATACAATGTAAGGTGACTTTGGCCCGAAGTTTACTAGCGTATGATGTCATTTTAGGCTCCGTTGATCCCAAGCGTTTTGGACCACGTGACCGTGGAGCAAAAAAAATGCATTTTCTTCGCAATAAAGCTGTCACCTGGACGTCCTAATTAGAGGCTTAATAATTAATATAATACGATAAAATAAAATATTACTATGTTTCGTCCAATATATTGAAAGTCAACAACCTTTCCAATTTTATTGTTTTCGTCTTACGAATTTTCGATTAGGTCACGTGTCCTGACGCGAGTTTAACGGTTTTTAGCCATTACAAAAAAGTGTACAACGCCGTTAAAGAAGTTTTAACTTCAAAAAAATCATTTCTATGTAATGATTTTATAGAAAAGTTATTAATTATTATTTGTTATTTCGGAATAGTAAAATCGCTGCTAATATTATTTTTAAATACAGATGCCAACAATTGCTTACATTATTTTTCATACTGTCAAATATATTAGTAATACCTATTCTTGCGAAAGTGTCCAACATTTAATTATTGATTACTTTATCGGTATTGTTTAACAGAAGCCTCCACATGATTCCTCAGCAATTGGTCCGTCCTGTGCCCGCGTCGATGCATCCTCGCCTCGCTTTATCCAGACTGCAGATGTTGGAACAATTAGTTCTAAACCACGGCATATCTACAGACAAGAACAGGTCAGTAATTGAACTAAACAGAATCCAGTAACATTGTTCTACTGAAACCTATAGTAGCTACAATCCAACTGGGACCAGATGTTGGAAGAACTTGTGCATACCATCAATATGCACCGAGATAAAACAGAACAAGAAAGAGGCCCCTACGAAAATTAATTCTACTGTCAAAATAATTGTTCTTATAGCGCGATTACACTTGGTCGTTAGCCCGAATACGAGTGCCAATGGAATTCGGGTAAACGACGAGTGTAAATGAATGGAGTCGAGAACGCTCGTATTCGGGTAGATTTCCTTTTGTTTACCCGATACCGTCTTCCAGCTCGTATTCCAGTGTAAATATTCCTTAGGGTGCCCGAATTCGAGTAATGTCTTACGTGCACCCCAATACGGTCTAACGATCAAATGTTATGCCACAATTACATTTGTTCTTTTGCCCTTATACAGGCGTACTCGAATCCGTTCATTATCCGACACTTAGTCATTTCCCCGAATTCCATTGGCACTCGTATTTGGGCTAACGACCAAGTGTAATCACGCCATAATTGTGCCATTACATTAAAGTTACTTTCCATTTTTGTTTTAATATAATAATAATATTTCCAACTCTTACACCAATTAGCCTAGCCCCAAAGCACTGTAAGGCTTCTGTTATGGGATACTAGGGTAGTCTTAGTAGTAGTACGGTGGGCTGTTTTCGCAACTCGACACCCAGTGCCTATTTTGCGTGGGGATTGGCATCAGTCCTGCCATCACAACACACGGATAGAATACATATACTGTACATATATAAGTATATTTATATAGAAATACATATTAAACATCCATGACTGGAGTACAAATGCTCGTATTCATCACACAAACATCTGCCCCCACTGGGATTTAACCCAGGACCTCACGAGTTGACAACACCATGAAACCCGGCGTACAAATTACTCGGCCACGGAGGTGGTCAAATATGGTCTCAAACATTATAGTAATTTATAGGAATCTATCACAGAGTACCTAACTGCTGAGTTCCTCTTGCACTTGCAACAGTGATATTGGGATCTCGCAAAAATCATGGTATAGCAGCAATCCCGCTTATTACTATTACCGCTAAAAAACGTTAGGTATAATAAATACATTTATATATAACACTAACGTTACGGCATAAAGTACTTTAGTACATTGTTTGTTGAATTAAAGCCAGGTATCCAGCTAAAGTTTTTTGAAAACATTCAACAAACATCATACACAAAAATATGTTTTTGAAACATGTTTATCTGCACACGCCGTCTACTGCTCTCGTGGCTGTCGTACACAAAATATACAGGGCTGTGTTCCGAACCTACGATCGAGATGTAACAAATGTTAAATTGTCAAAGTGAAAAGCTGCACTCGAGCGTAGGTTTGGAATGCAGTCCCCTTTAGCGAGATGTCAAAAAATGGCCTATGAAAGAATACCTTGCCCCATAGATGAATGATTGGTCTCGCTTCACTCGACTGAAGCGAGACCAATCATTCATCTATTTCATCCAATCATTCAATCATTAATCATTTATCTATGACCTTGCCCCTTGTGATTTGTGTAAGTATTTTCTATCGAGCTCAGAAAGCAAAAACTTTGTTGATGCAAACAAATATATGTAGTGAAACAAATTTTTGTATAGACGGTTTTGTTGAATGTTGTTAAATTTTTTTCGATTGTGCAAGGGAAAACACGCCCTGGTGACCCGACCCGGATTATATAGTTATCTACATAATATCAACAGATACATTTATTTCAGTGGACTAACAGTCCGTCGTCTAGCGGAATGCGGGGCAGCCGGTGCCCAACACGCCGCAGGATCAGTTAGAGCTGCGGCAGAAAGGATCTTGCTGGCGGCATATGCCAGGTCTCCGAGGGTAGTGAGGGCCCAACTGCCACCTGACGACGCTGTGACTAGAAGGAACTTAATATACAGGCACTTGTTCCAGCAGTTCGACAGGATCGACATGCAGGTTAGTATATTTTCCAGGGTGGTAGCCGAAAGTATCTTGCTAGCGGCATATGCCAGGTCCCCGAGGTTAGTGAGGGCTGAACTGCCGCCTGACGACGCTATGACTAGAAGGAACTTAATATACAGGCACTTGTTCCAGCAGTTCGGCAGGATCGACATGCAGGTTAATGTATAATCCAGGGTTGTAGCTGAAAGGATCTTGCTAGCGGCATACGCCAGGTCCCTGATGTTAGGGAGGGCTCAACTACCGCCTGACGATGTTGTGAAAAGAAGGAAATTAATATACATGCACTTGTTCCTGCAGTTTGATAGGATTGACATGCAGGTCAGTAGAGATTCGGGGTTGTAGTTGAAAGGATCTTGCTAGCAGCATATGCTGGTCTCCGTGGGTAGTGAGTACCCAATTGCCGCCTGACGACGCCGGCATAGGAACCTCATCTACCGGCACCTGTACCAGCACGTTCCAGCACATTGACAGGATCAACATGCAGGTCGGTATCTAAGTTTCAACATTTTTTAAGCTATGACTGTGTTGTTTTTATTTTAGCAACGGAATATTAGTACACCACCAGAGACAATGCAGATAACTGTGTTCTGTTTTCTCATATTTCATCAAAATAATAATTAGGCACAGTTCATTAATCTTGTGGCGTGTGACCATGAATTTTAGGGCAGAATAGACATAGAATAGAACATAGAATCTAACAAAGAATTAGGGCTACAGCTCAAAGGATATACCAGGTCTCCGAGTGCAGTTAGTTACTTGATCATGACAGCTTCATAATTGTTAGAGAAAAATTTTGGTTCAGTTCAAGAATTTCCTGGTCTATCACTATTAGACGGAAATAATAGGGCTGCAGCATCCAGAAACGATCTTGCTAGCAGCGTATGCCAGGTAGTCCAAAGCAGTAAACCCCCAAATAGTAAAGAAAATCGCGAGCATCAAGACGACGGGATCAAGTCCTCAATTTGAAATGTATCACTTCAAAATGTTTGGCTACTTAAGTACTATTTGTACCCCGAACCAGACAATTGTACCTCTAAAGGTAAAGGAAGTATGTGGCGTTACCTTCTGAAAGCGCTACTCAGTGGCAGGTAATTCACACCCGAAAACTTAGTACTGTATATTATTATGTACGAGTAAGTGCTACCTCATCTTACAGATTGTCAATCATTAACTAAAATAGGCGCTACGTCTTGTTACAGCGTGTCGATCAAAAATCAATCTCTGAGAGAAATAATTTAAGAATGGAATTTGGCAACTCGTTAGTTCATTCTGAGACCGTTTTTTTATTAGCATCCTTAGAATGAAAGTAAACTAACTCAAATATTTCGTGATTTCAAATTTTGATTCAACACGTCCTTAGAAAACCACACTTTACTAACCTGTGGAGAAAAATACGGTAAAACTGTACTTCCAGGGCCCAAAAGGTGATACTTGTTTTTTTTTGTAGAAAAGGTCTTTTTAACAGATTTTTTTTTTCTGGCGCTTCACCGGCCGCTGCCGCGGCACGCTCGCTTTGCTCGCTCGGCTCGCGCGTTATGGTCACAACACTTACCTAACCTAAAGCTAGTGTGAAGTATCACCACTTGATAAGAAAAGTAAAAATTTTCAATATTTTTTTCTAAAAAACTACCAGTGCATAAGTGTGACATTTTTTTTAATAATGTGGTTAACAGAAACCTTTTTAACAACAAAAATGAGAAATTACAACCAACAAAACTGTGAAGTTTTTACTTTTGGGCCCTGGAAGTACAGTATATCCAAAAATACACTTTCTAACACGCTCACCAAACGTTCAATAATTAGTCCTAAAGCAATATAGTCCGAATTCCCAAAATATGTGCAGAATATCCTAAACCAAGTGCTGGCAGAGGAGCAACTAACAGAATCCACAACCGCGGTGGAATCATGTGATGGCTTCATTTACTATGTCGTCTTCTATAGGCGTTACCTCTTCATCATGTCAGTTGTACGACACCCACTGCTGAGCATATAGGCCTCCGCTCCCCCAAGGATCTCCACACCGAATAGTGTGCCATTCGCATTTATGGGCTTTCTATGACTTTCACTAGATCCTCGATGCACCTCGTATGCCCATTCGAAAACCTTTTCGTCCCAACGGTCATCAGTTCTTCTCTCTGCTTGAGCGACGTCGGTTACTGTAGTTCTCCTACTTCTTACAGTTTGTCAATCAATAACTCGTTCTCCGAGTAAATTAATTTAGAAATAGGATAATAGGCAGTTTTTTTTGTTAGAAAGATACAACATAATACAGACATTAGGAATGGGATAATAGTTGATAATAGCAGGATAATCTATATATTTCTTAAATCAATTGCTGTTCGTTAGTCTCGCTAAAGCTCGAGAACGGCTGAATGGATTTATCTTATCTTGGTCTTGAAATGTTCGTGGAGGTCTAGGGAAGGTTTAAGTTGATAAATATGAAAAATATGGAAAAATTGCGAGGAAGATAGTAAAAACGTCAATTTGATTTTTCCATATAAACTGTTCTATCTTCTTTCCTGTCAAACATTTGACGTTCATCCCTTTTGGTACGGTAGACTCGGGTCCGTCATTTCTTCCAAATAGGGATGTTGACTAATTTTTTTTCTTCGTTTCTCAGGTAGATTATCAAAAAGTATTGGACACGTATTTTTTCTTTTTTCACATATTATAAACATTGTAGAGATATTTATGTTGATTTCAAAAGTATGACTTTTATACTCTACTATGACGTCACGTTTTGGTACAATTTTCACTTAAAAGTGACGTCATGAGCCCCTACTCTCAAACTTTGACGCGCTATAACTTTGTAATTTTTTGGTTGATTGCCCAAAGAAAAAATACATGTCCATTATTTTTGATCATCTAACTGACGGACTAAATAGAATTTCGTTTACTGTACCCCTTCATCACCCCTATTATTTTAACCCGTACGAAGTACGCGGAGTCAACTAGTAGGTAATAAATAGGGTAGGATAGTTATATTAGATAGGTTGGTCACCAAAACTACGAATATGTGCAGAAAATCCTGAACCAAGCACCGACAGAGGAGCAACTAACAGAATCCACAACCGCGGTGGAATCATGTGACGCCGCCAGCGTGGCGCACTCTGCCCGCACCACCGCCAGTAGCATCACGGCGTCATTCACTATGGCGTCCTCTTTAGGAGCTACCTCGTCTTACAGCTTAAAGTCTACAACTTCGCATGCTTCTGGTGAGTTTTGAATTGTATTTTTTTACTGAGTTATCATAATTGGCATAATGTTTTTAATGTAGATAAATAGGCAGAACAGGCTAAGATTACTACTGCGAATTGGGGGGTTCTAAACACTATAGAAGCAGTTGAGAAAAAATATCTAAACGGGAAATAGGAAATAAGTTTTAGACGGTTCTGTAGAGTTCTATTAAGCGTCCAATTTGAATAAAAATATATTTAATGAGACTGACTTTGGACTGAGCCTGCATAAAACTGCATAAAAATGATATTTAATAGAAAGAGCGAAATCGATCGGCAATACTTGCTAATGCAAACTGTAATAGTGCTTTCCGAGTATCTGTTGTCCTCCTAAACCACGCAGCACGAATCTGATTTTGAAGTGGTTTAACTCCTTCAATAAAGGTTTTTAGATCTTTTAAACCTTTGTTTACACCAGTATAAGATTAATACTTCTTCTTTCCCAGGTTCAACTCTAGCGCCGTCTAGTCTTAGTGGCAGTTACACTACTCGTACCAGGAGCAGTCTCAAGAAATCCCCCACCAAGCGGTACACTCCCTCCAGGTCTACCAAGGATGTCTCCAATTATCCAGGATACAATAAGCTTAGGCTAGATAGCGCTGTAAGCCCGAAACATTCGCCTAGATCTGCCGCTAACTCCACAGAGAAGGTAATTAATAGATGCTAAATTCATCGAAGTATATTTCATATAATTATCGCAATTAAGCAAAAAAAAAGTATTTAGCGATGCAACAGATACATTCTCAACTATTCAGGATAAGACGAGTTCAGACTAAATAGCGCTGTAACCACGAAACATCTTAGATCTGCTGCTAACTCTAATGAATAGGTAACTGTAGACGCTATTCTCACCTAGGTATAATTGTCGCAATTTAAGGAAAAAAGTATTTAACGATGCAACACAGACATTTCTCAGGCTATATAGCTCTGTAACCCCGAAACATCTTAGATCTGCTGCAAATTTACTGAAAAGGTAACTTTAAATGCTATGTTTACCTAGGTATAATTGTCGCAATTAAGGAAAAAGTATTTAACGATGCAACACAGACATTCCCAACTATCCAGTACACAATAAACCTAGGCTAGATAGCGCTGCAAGCCCGAAACATTCACTTAGATTTGCCGCTTACTTTACTAAGAAGGTAACTTATAGAAGCTAATGACATCGGGTTTGTCTGTAGCTAATAAATAAATGGCAACGCAAAACAGACATCTCCAACTATCCAGGATACTACAAACTAAGGCTAAATAGCGTCGTAAGTCCGAAACATTCACATAGATTGTAGTGTTTGTTTTTAAACAGAGCGTGACACTGACACACGTAGGACAGCTGTTTTGTCTATGATAGCGAACCGCTTACGTCAGCGTAGCTGTCAAACTTCATTGATTGGGTTGGTAGCCTTGAGGGAAGAGTCGATTTTCCTATTCGACTAAAATATTCGCCTTGAGACTTATAAAAAAAAAAAAAAAAAAAAAGAAGAAATCAGGCGGGGAATCTCTGACATGTGATGTTTAAATTCCCCTCTACTGCCCTCTCTTCGCTCACTCAGAGCACCGGGGGAACAATAAAAGAAAACCAAAGAAATTAAGATAATGTTATAAGTATATTTTATCCACTTTAGATACCACAGCATAGGAATTCAGTAGTTTTAAGTTATTGCTTATATAAATCAACAAGTCTAACTATGTTTATTATTTATATAATAACTATGTTCCACTAATTATAAATATCTAAGCTGAATACAGTAGTTCAAAGTTAATGTGTATATAAACCAACAAGTTGTCATGAAAGGTTATAATTATATGAATATCAGACCTTCATAACACTTTACCATGTACTTACAATATAATACTTACTAATATATTTTATCCACAAATACCACATAGACTAGACTGAATAAGCTATTTAGTGGATTTCAGAGGTTCTACGGCTCGTTTGATCGATATTGGTGACAAACTTAGTTAATTCTAGTTCTCAGTGAGATAACCAGTTATATAGCTATATGTTTATATATGGAAATGGGTAAGTCGGGGTCCAACCTCGCCTGGTGTTTTCTCTCCACGTTCACCCGGGGTTAGTAGAGAAATACCTTGATTATGATAGGTTAAGCTGTGTATAATCTGTCTGCTATTACGGCCGGGTTACATAAAACCGGAGAGCGGCTGGCAAATAAACTCCCGCGTCCCTTCTGGTCCGTGCACAGAACAAAAGTCTCCTTGTTAGTCCTCCAGTATTTCTTGAGGGGAACGTACAAGCCTGAAGTTCACATTGAAAAAAAATGATCAGATATGGGGAAAATACATAGATTACCACCTCTGTGGTGGGTGAGGGAGTGAGGGATATTCACGGTCAATGTTTACACTTTAAAATTTGAATCCATACAGGACTGGGGCCCGTCCCGCCCGGTTTGAAGAAAATCAATTCCACGTTCACTAACTTGACAAGAATGATTAGGTATATTTGCTGACAAGAATCACTATATTGTGCATAATGCAGTTCAATTAGTGCTAGGAGAATAAATATGAGGTCAGATGATAGCTTACCGTTCGAAATATGAAACTATCCGTAAGTATTTTTTTTCCTATCACAAGTTACCGCCTTATTATTGCAATCGCCTTGCGAAGGTTCGTGTTCGTCCACCTACGATACAGAATATCAACAGAAAGGTTATTTTCACAGCCCAAACTTGCAAATTATGTAGGAAAAAAGAGCCACTCCAATATACCTACGAAACTCAGTTCGGTTAGCGACTCCGTGCTTTTTCCGCCAATATCCCTCGGGATATAAACTTTTCGGATCTATCTCACGACTTCGACGACAATAATATGCCGTTTATTATACTTTGGGCAGAAGAAAAGATGAAAAGTTAACTGTACCACAAACAGATTGTGAAATTTTAAAAGTTGTTTTGACAATTGCTCATAGATGATAGACGGATCGTCCTCTCCCAAACATGTGTCTATGATTTGTTTCCCACTTCAACTGAAGGCAAAGGCCACAGTCAAACAGACAGCCGCCACATTCGAGACGAACCGAAGAATAAACTCAAAACTATATACCTACGCTCGCCGTAAGCTGAGGAAAAGGGAATACCTACCCAAATCAGCGAGGAAATTCAATTTCGAGTAAAATCCAAAATCGATTAAAAACAGCACCCGATAAGGAGGACTCAAATCGATCTGGGAAAGACTATTCAAAATTCAACAACTGTCAAACTCCATCCATTCATCCACGCGCCCCCACAGAGATTCCCCGCCTGATTACTTTTTTTTTTTTTTTTTTTTTTTATAAGTCTCAAGGCGAATATTTTAGTCGAATAGGAAAATCGACTCTTCCCTCAAGGCTACCAACCCAATCAATGAAGTTTGACAGCTACGCTGACGTAAGCGGTTCGCTATCATAGACAAAACAGCTGTCCTACGTGTGTCAGTGTCACGCTCTGTTTAAAAACAAACACTACAAGATCTGCCGCTAACTCTACTGAGAAGGCAAGGTATAAATGTAGCACATACAGAAATAAATAATTACGATACAAAACCGGCATCTCCTACTATCCAGAGGTCCAGGCACGAATTTCTACAGTTCCGTAACCGTATCGTAACTGCCAAATTTTGTATGGAAGGAGCCAGTTTGTTTTTACGGCCGGTAGGACGCTGCTTAGTTTTCTTGAAATCTTTGACGATGGAGCTATCAAAATTGACGAGCTTGGGCCTCTGGATACAGTTCGACAGAAAACGTTCAGTCCATTCTGAATATCTCCTATAGACTGATAAACCATGATTGACTTCATTAATAACTTTTAGGTCCATTTTGAAGATAACTCCGCTCAAGTAGTCCTCCGTCGCGCGAATCGCAACTCAGAGAACCGTCACTCGATGATTCATTACGACCACGAAACTGCAAAACCTCAGCTAAAGGAAAGACCCGTCACAGTATACGAACCTTTACATATAGACTACAGGGACTCTCCCAGTTTGGGATCACCTAAAACTTCGAAGAATGATCTGAGAAGCATGGATTCTTTGCCAATGGATTCACCACTATCCAGAAGTGATTTGAGATGCGATTCGGATTGTAGAAGCTTAGATTCACCAAAGATCAAAGCGGAATATTTTAGGGAGAGCGTTTTGGAGTCGCCAAAATTGGTGGCTGGATTGAGAAACTTGCATTTGGATGACCATAGCCAGATGGATGAGAGCGGATACTATAGCCCAGGTGAGTCTTTTGTGGTGTGAACAAGCTATTGTAGTGTGTAAGCGGCTGTTGAATGGCGACGCTTGTGATGAACAATTAATGTATAATTCACATTATGTAATGAAAGGTGACTTCATGAATCATCTCTGGAGTAATTTTTAAACTTTACGACACTGTGGAATATAATACAGTAAGAAAAAAATTGCTCTTGCTGAGTTTCATGCCGGTTCTTCTAAGTACAAGGCACAAAAAAACTTCTAGACATTCATGAGTGCTTGTAACAGCCTAAACTGAATAAATGAATTTAATTACGGTTAGCGTATATGCTTCAAATTTGGTCGTAATTTGGGAGAGCTCCATTGGTCTGATGCTGGCTGTAGCAAGTAAGATTCCTATTCGATCCCAAGATACCGCCAATATATTTTTTTCTACGATTACGCAAATCCCGCTGGTGTTACTGCATTCGTTATGAGCTGTACTTCGACAAGAAAAATGGTGAAACCGCATTTAATTTAAAACATTTTATCAGAACAATTCTCCTTAGTCCAACCAGGTGAACCAAGGGTCAAAACAAGTCTCCGGAGTCCACCCAGGTGATCTTGTCAGTCGGACCATATTTTGTTTAACACTCACACTAATTAGCCTAGCCTCAAAGTAAGCATTGTAAGGCTTGTATTATGTTATGGGATACTAGGGTAACGGATAGAATACATATGCTGTACATATACAGGGTTAATTTTAAAACACCAACAATCTCTTAGGAGGTGATTCTACCCATCAACAGGAACAATTTTTATTATGGGACCAACGCTGCAATCGCGAAATAAATCTGCTGTTTCATACAAAAGTGCATCAGCTAATTGGCCGAAATGTATGAAACATCTGATTTCTTTTTCGCCATTTCAGAGTTACCCTGTCTAAGCATATTTATGTAGAAATACATATTAAACATCCATGACTGGAGTACAAATGCTCGTATTCAGCACACAAACATCTGCCCTCAACGGGATTCGAACCCGGGACATCTCGAGTCGGCGACACCATGATACCCGGCGTACAAACCACTCGGCCACGGCGGTCATCTTTGGATAAGGAACACTTTTAACAATGCCTGTAGACTGAAACATGGATAACACTTTTTTTCGTTTTATATAGGTCGCAGACAGCAAGCGGCGAATAACGAACAGTACGAGACCTATGAGAGTAACGCAGTTGATGTGCCCAGCGATAACACACCAGAACCTGTGTGCCTGTAAGTAAATATATTCATGGATCGTCTGTGTCTATAACTTAGTAAAATATTTTACACGATAATTATAATAAACCTTTCTTTATCTTATGTCAAAATAATATCCACTGGAGTCGGTGTCACTGTCATGCCAACGCAAGAACGCAAGTAGTAGAAGGGAACGGATGGAAACTCAAATTTGTCAGACATGCATGACACTGACTCCAAATATAAATTTGACTTAAGATAAAAAATGGTTTTAAGTATAATTTTTATTTGGCCGAATGTTTATGTTTCCGAACCCACAATGGCATACTAGTTAATAAGATGGCAGAAAGCTATAAGGCATATTTATAATACATTTGTCAAAATTTTATTCTGCATAATTCCGCTCAGCATAATCTTACTTATTATCTTTGAGCTGAACTTTTCTGGAATGCGTCGATTGTATACATAGGCATATATATTTAACAAGTACAACACAATGACAATCGGTCTTGGTGTCGTATGTCAAGCTGGATTGGAATTAGCGCATTTCGCTAGGTGTATGCATTAACCGCCACTATTCTACCAAGATCTCGAAAGTAGTGCCCAATTTTTGGGGTTTCGTACCCGAAGGGTAAAAATGGAACCCTATTGCTGTTACTTTGTCTGTCTGGTACTCAGTCCATATGACACTATTCTCTAAGATCGTTAACAGACAGAGTTACAGTACTGAAACTTTGGTATTTTATGTAGAATGCTTGCCCAAAGCCGATGGATGGGTCACGACACAAGTGGTAATTTTGGAACCACAACCAAAAATATCGCTCGCGCCGTGACCCAATCTTCTACCCCATGGATCACCGACAGAAACACAATACAAACAATAGGTAATTGGTCGCAGCCTTGCAGCTTAGGATATGCTACACGTCTTTAGCCCTATGGTGGTCGCTTATCATCAGGCGGGCCACCCTTTTCGGAAAAGATTTTGGCTCTCTCGGCTAAAATATACTGCATTCTTTTTACGCTCGCTAAGGAATTAAAATCTCCTGTTCACCTGGTATCATTAACTATTGCAAGAAGCAATACCAAGTAGCACAGTGAAGAAAAATATGATTGCTACATCCACGAAGTTTTGAATATTTTTATATAAATGTATTTCGTGGTCTATATAGAAGCGGCTAGTAACCTACCTTCTCGCCGCCTCTGCATTAGTCCACGGAATATGTAATTGTCCCACAATCGTGCTTACCTAGGTGGTGAAGAACCAATACTGATGTCTACGAAATCACAATTTTACAGGAGAGATAAAACGCTTCATTTACTTATTCATTTAAAAAAACTATCTATACTAAAGCTGAAGAGTTTTTTTGATTGTTTGTTGTGTTAAACGCGCTAATGACAGGAACTACTCAGACCTAAGCTCGCATCGTCAAAGTTTCTATGAAAACTAAGCAGCGCCAACTAACAACAAAGTAGCTATTTCCATACAAAATTTGACCATTTCTACACTTTACAGAGTTGTAAAAAATCGTGCTTGGGCTTGGAAAAAATCTGCTTGTGTTGGATAGTGCATGTATCCAGTCCGTCCCCGTAGCACCACAATTTACATTATATCACGTTTTTTATCACTCCTAACTGTCAAACTCTTTAGTAATTTGGCAATTGAGCGTAATAGAAACGAGCTATATATCATATCGCGGTACTCATGCTAGGGGGACAGGAAGGCTATAGGCTATTTAACATAGTGCTAAGACTAAAATTTTAGTCGTAGCATGAAATAATATTCCATTTCATTTGTAAGCTTCCGTTGCGTTCGCTACTAATGTATAGCAGAATTGATCTCCTTTTTAAGTTCATGTTTCTCGTTCTCAAATCTTTTATGGGTTGGGCACTTTAAACTTTTTCCTTAAATTAATGCGGGTGAAACCGCATGGCACCTCTAGTTGACTAATAGAAACAAAATCAGGTAACTTTGTACTCTTTGGCTTTACAATTTTATTTAGCTTTCAGTTTCATCATCAAACTGGAATTAGTAGACTTAGAGTGTTAGTGGGCATATTGACTAAGAAAATGAAAAATCAATAAAGGTTCTTCATTCTTCGACGACCTCCGTGGCCAAGTGGTATAAATATATCTACTTAACTGGGTTTCAAGGTGTTGCCTACTCGTGAGTCCCGGGTTGGAATGCCGGTGGGGCAAATGTTAGTATGCGAGTACCTAGTTGTACCTTAGTTGGCGATGGATGTTTATGTATATTTCTATGTATAACTATACTTATATACGATCAAATATATTTCCAATTACAAGCATACCATAACATAAGCCTTACAGTGCTTACTTTGGGGCTAGGCTAATTTGGTGTATGTAAAGAGCCCTGTAAACGATAAAAATAGTTTCTTAACTTTACGTATTTCTCAAACAAGTTTGATTATTTTAGGCTATTTACAAATAAATTAGTACGTGAAAAGTAGTCTGTCAAACAAATTTGATCATTTACAGGGCATTTTACAAACATTTATTTCTAATGTATTTACCTTTAATAAAATTGTTTTTTGGTAACAGCACGACATGCAGTTGGTGCGGCCGTAGAGTGAGGGCGGACGGTTTAGAAGCCCACTACTGGCGGCGCTGCGTGATACTGGCGCGCTGTCCGCACTGCCGCGTCGCGTTAGAAGCTAGGACTCTGCACGCACACTTGTTAGGTAAACTATCCTTGGCTAGATAATGGGCTATGAATTTTGAGCTAAAAAATGAACTGAGTGGCACTCGCATGTAAAGTAACACGTAGGTTTTTTGAAGTGAAAACTTCTTTAGCGGCGTTGTACACTTTTTTTTGTATGGGTATAAAAATGTTAAACTCGCGTCATGACACGTGGTCTGATCGCATCCGGACACCTGACAATCGAAAATTCATAAGACGAAAACAATAAAATTGGAAAGGTTGTTGTTGACTTTCAATATATTGGACGAATCATAGTAATATTTTATTTTATCGTATTATAATAATAATCTGTGTCTAGAAAGTCCAGGTGGCAGCTTTATTGCGAAGAAAATTCATTTTTTACAATAGATGTCGCTAGGTGTTCTTAAATGAGAAATTCTGAGAGATAAACCTTTTAATGTAATATAAATTGTCATGTTTGTGTACGTTAGCGCAATAAATAAATATTGTATTTTACCACATAAATGATAGTACTTTTATACTGATAATTAAAGAAATTCGTGCAAAATTATTCCCTAACCATTCCAAAATATCAAAAATGCACAACGTTAATATTCAAGTTTTCACTTCTGCCGGCACTCCCGGGGTGCAACCCGTCTTTTTTTTATTAACATTATAATACTTTTAATAGCACTTATTTTTTTTTGCAAATTGATAAATATGATCATCTTAATTCGACTTGAAGGCCCAAAATTTATTTTAAAATAGTACCTAAAATTAACTATGGTACCCCCTTAAAATTTACGTGTCAGGTATTTTTAACGCTATACTGATCTTCCTAAGCTCGCGCTTGTAATATAATCATAAATCTTAGCATTTATTTTGATTCAGTGTTTTATATTTAGATAAGTACTAACGTATTTGTTATCGTAGGCTATTTGACAGTATGAAAAATAGAGCACCAACTATTGGCATGTGTAGTTAACATGAATATTGGGAGCGATTAAAAAAAAAAGAAGTTAATAATATTACTTAAAATCATGAAATAGAAAAGTAGTTATGATCTATTGTCACGTGGCCGTCATATAGGATTGGCGGATCCAAAAATGACGTCACCTGCTTGTAAACTTGCTATCGAAGTGACATAACTTAGTAGTGTACTGCTTGACGTTTTAATGAGAGTCTCGCTTGCTAGAGAAACTAATTTTATTGATTTGCGCAAGAGAATTATAAAAATTTACACTTTTTATGAAGTTACTATACACTAATAAATATCATATGAATGTTTTCGAAAACTTGACACACAGCCTATTGCTTTTAATTGCAACCCATTATTATTTGGAATCTACCACTTCGTTGAGTGAAAACTGATTTATTAGTATACTTAAATAAATTATGATGATTGCAGAAGAATGTTCGTTAAGCGAAGGCTGCTGGAAGGCGTGCCAGAAATGCGGCGCAGCTCTGAGGGTGGACGAGAGAGATTATCACATCAACTGCATACGTAAGAAATTATAAATATTTTTATACAATAAAAAAATAAACAGACTGACGTCAGTAGATTATCCAAATAATAGGTAATTGCACATTATAGGGGCTACAGCACTAATCCTTAAAAAATACATTAAGAAATAAAAATATAGTGGGTTTAAAGTAACTGTAAAAGTAATTTCTTGATTTGAATAATCAAAAAACAATCTCATAAATATCATTTAAACAGTTAGATAATTTGTTTATAACCAAAATTCATGATCGTACATTTCGTGGTAGTCTGTTGCGCTGTTGTATGCCTTTAGCACAATTTCACACTCTTAGTTTGAATAATCCTGAAATCATTGGGACGAAATTGGGACTTCTTGGGCATTGTAACTACATCATAAAAATTTTGTCTAAGTTTTAAACAACCCAAGGAAACAGGTTCTTTTTTATATTAAAAGGGTGGCAAACAGTTGTCGTAAGTAAACCAAAAGACCTTTCTCCTAAGTTTTAAACAACCCATGAAAACAGTTTTTTTTATGTTAAACGGGTGATAGATTTGCTGTCTATTGGTAAATGGCAACCATAGCCGAGGAGCTCGATGGCGCAAGTGGCTAGCGCGTTCGGATACGATCGTTGAAGTTTCGCAGTGGTCGGTCATTGGATGGGTGACCAAAAATTTACTATCTCGAGCTCCTCCGTGCTTCGGAAGGCACGTTAAGCCGTTGGTCCCGGCTGCATCTACAGTCGTTAGCACCCACCAATCCGCACTGGGCCTGCGTGGTGGGTCATGGCCCAATCTTCCTATTCCATCCATAGGGAAGGCCTGTGCCCCAGCAGTGGGGACCTTAATAGGCTGATGATGAAGATGATGAACCGTAGCCAATAAGACACTTGCGATACAAAAAGTATCACTCGCGCCGTTGCCTACCCTGACCTAATGACACGGAGCCCTGGAATCTTATCACCGACAGAAACACAACACCTCCAAAAGGAGGGTAGTTTAATAAAAATTCTACCTCGTTTAGAATCAACATGAACAATCTTGTAATTATTGTGAACCTTAGATTAAAACAAAAAGGGAAGATACGGAACGTTCATACTAGCATCAAATAAAATATGGTTCGACACAACTACTACATAAGCAACTCTCACACACGCACACTTCTGTAAATAGGTACACATTCAATCGAGAGAGCGAGATTTGTACGCTTCAACGCAACGCGAGCGAAACGGCGCGGCGCGAGTCCGTGTCGCTTTGCAGCCGACTGCGTTTTCTTTTCTCTATCTACTGATGACTGAGCTGTATTGTTGTCCTTTACTTGATAAAAAATGGCGAATTAGTTACTAACATAGACGGCAAACCGTGATTTTTGAGAAAAAAAATATTATAGTTTTACGAATGAAAAGTGTTACAAAGGCATTTGTTATTTGATCTTGAACTATTTGCGTTCTTTATAAAAGCATCGAGGGCATTGTTTTATCTTTATAACACAGAATATAGGTACGCAATATTGTTATATTGAGTGCACATGCAGCGTGGTTGAATGTCCAATTGTGACTAAAGCGTATTGTGGTCATGCACTACAATTTCACTTTCATCACTTTTGAGCCGCGAGAGCCGTATCTTCCGTTTTTGTTTTAATCTAAGTTGTGAAACCAACAATTTGTTTTATAATGCATACCCGGTATGGGTATTAATATTGTTACCTACAATAATTATATTGAATGTATTAGCACCTGCAAATATGTACACTGTATACGGCAATAAATCTTATTCTATTCTATACTTCGTTCAGCGCTAGGCATGGATGAATGGAAATGTCCGTACTGCTTCACCAACGTACTGGCGAGAGACTTGCCCTGGCAGAGGCATCTGATGCAGTGTCCCCGGAACCCTCGACTGGGCCAGAGTTAACTAAACCTTGATAAAGATATATTGTTTTAAACTTTCATGGTCACTAACATAATGGACATTTATGTTATTTACGGGTATTACCATGTACCTTGTTTTTAGTGAGTTTCCGATATTTCGGCACTGTTGCGAGTGCCATGATTACGGAGTAATTGATCCAGTTCCAATTCCATAACTGGTCGAGTTACTCCGGTCGAGAAACTCGCTATAAGCAAGGTACATGGTAACAATCCCGTAAATTACATAAATTTCTTGATAAAGATACCTATAAAATTTTACTTTTAAAGATCTGTTGGCCGATTTGCTAACATTTTTGTCATTTACCGTCTTATTCCAAAACGCGGACTAAAGTAAGTCTTGGTTTAATTACTAATTTTTAAACTTTATTGCTATAATCACATCAAATGGACAGAAGGCAGACTTAACCATATAAGCATTCTGAGCCAGTCAACTATTAGGCGTCAACAATGAACGAATGCGGCTATAGTTAAAAAATAGTGATTTGATACCATAAATACAAAAATAGTACACAAATATAAACACACCAATAAAAGTGACTACATAAATATTTGTTTAAAATCTTTAAACATACAAACCTAATGCTGTCTCTGTCTTTTTCTTAGCAAACAAAAGTGACAGCATCAGTTTTAGTCTAGGTTTAACTTTAGTCTACGTCTTTTAATAAATAAGGTGGTTAAAGTGTGCAACTAAAGAGAAAATTGTATATCCATCACTGCTTTTCAGGAGCGTTATACTGAGCGTTATAAATAAACAGTAGTGGATCAGTAAATTGTGGTGATTATCACTTCCATCTGTCAAAAAGCGTTAGCGAATAGGCCTACTGTGGCCCAAGCACCAACTTTGACGGATCCGTAATCGGATCGTCTTAACCAAATTTTGTGTGGAATTTTGTTATGTACATTTTGTTGTGGAATGTTGTTTTCCCTCCGTCAGAGGCGCTTCTTAGTTTGCATAGAAACTTTGCCGATTGGCGATACGATTATGGAGCTATCAATATTCGTGATTGGGCTGTTGGTTTAACCACGACTTGGATAGCATTAATTTTTTGATCAACATCCTTTTATTCTATAAACAATTAAGATAACTTTATATTGTATTCTGTACAATATAGATGCAATCGTTTTCGAACGGTGTCGCAAATGTTACGGCTAACTAACCTGGCAACTTCTTAATATTAAAATATCTGTTGGGGTTTTTTTTAACATAAATATACTTATGAGTTTTTAGATCAAGGTGATACAAGAGCTGACAATGTCTACAGGGGCTCAAATAAGTGTAAATTGGAGAGAACCGGTTCGTAGGTTTAAATAAGCAAAAAGGCAAGATCTAGGTGTAGGTAGTTAATAAAAGAAAATAATCAAAACAAATGCATCAAGTATGCAACTGTTGTAAACACTTAAAGGTACAAGTCCAATCTGAACTGCAGGTGACAGGCCGCAGCTGCATACTGCAGGCGACACTACTAGTTTCTATGAATCTCTATGAAATTGATTCCGAGCGCGGCGACAAGCCGCGGCTGCACAATGCATATAACCGCAGGCGCTAGCCGCAGTGTCGCCTGCAGTTGTCGCCTGCAACCCATTGCGGAATTGTACCTTTAGTATCAAAGAAAATAAAGTTTCATATTGTTCAACGATTTTTAACGATGCCATTAAGATCCATTTTCGGCTAGGTGAAATACTAAACGCCAATTAAATAAATTAATACGGAATTAATGTCTCTCAGTAAGTCATACCTAGTTATTTTATTTTAAAAATAAATTATGTATATTTCATTTAACCCTACATAAATATTGAAAAAGAAAATATTTTGATGCTTATACATTAAAATACAGATTTGCTTGTTTTATGAAAACTTTGATTTTGCTTTGATATCTTAATAATATTGGTGTTATAGATAAGTTTCTAAGTATGCTAATTAAAAAAATGTTTTTGGCTTTACAAAGTCCGCTTTGATGAATTTTTAATTTTATATAACTCAGTCAATTAATTGAAACAAAACCATTATTGATATTAACAAAAGCACAGCTTTTAGTCCATATCTGCCGTCCACAGACTTAAAAATCCGTCTTATATAATGCTCATTTTGTTTTCATGTTGATTAAATATGTATTAAGCAAATACCTACCATTTAAAGAATACACTTCCGTCGTTCAAGTTTCATCAGCAATTAATATTCCAATTTTTCGATTTGAAATTTGTATTAAAAACATACACATAAAAGTTTTGATGTTCATTAATAAACTAAAAAAAGTGAAAAACTTAGCCATATAGTTATCTAGTGTGTTTTTTTTAAGAATTTTATTAGAGTTTTGTTAGTAAATGTCGTAGTTTTAAAATATTGTTTGAATTAGTTTTGTATATGTTCTGATATTTGGCAAATGGATTTAGTGTAAATATACTAACTCTATTAGTTTTTACCTAGTTACGCATGTGATTTTTATTGGGGTAATGACTAGTGTTGCCAGATCCGATTTGTTTTAAATCGGTACATGAGGTCATAAAAATCGGAACTTAGGGTGCGGCCAGAGTGCACTCAGATTCAGATTCAGATTCTGAAAACAAGCGCGAGAAATAAACAGTGTAATCTAAGCAGGTTGCCTGCTTTTTCTCGCGCTTTGTTTTCTGAGTCTGAATCTGAATCAGGAGTGCACTCTGGCCGTACCCTTCGACTACACTGTTTATTTCTCGCGCTTGTTTTCGGAATCTGAATCTGAATCTGAGTGCACTCTGGCCGCACCCTTAGGGTTGCAGATCGGGACAGTAAACAAAAAATAAGGGGTTTTTAAGTCTGGGTTTAATTAATTGCGATTTAAACTACTAGTGCAAGTATATTATTATATAAATTACCTAACTTTAATTTTTTGATTAATCGGGTCATTTAGCGTCCCGATCAGGTACAAATCGGGACGCGTCCCCAGACCCCTGAAAATCGCGACGTCCCGCGCAAATCGGGACACCTGGCAACACTAGTAATATCATAGGTTCAAGTTGATATTTTTAATCGATATTAATGATTTAAAATACACAATAGTTTTGTATCTAATAATTTACTTTAGCCTTTTTACGATATATTATTTTACTGTATGATCAGTGAAAGTAGAATATTTAACTATATTCATTTAGTAGATTATTTTATTCGTGAAAATATAGCAACAATCATCTCCTTCGTTATGGCGTATTAGTAAGTTAGTGAAACCCGACTCGAATTTGATACCTTCTGAGAGTCCATACCCACTTCATGCTTTTAATATTTACATTATGAAATACAAAAAGAGATTCGATATTATCTCGTAAGGGGGCGTCCATAAATTACGTGAGGTGTTTTTTTGGATTTTCTGTCCCTCCCTCCCCCCCTGGTGAGATGTCGTGAGATTTTATTCAACCCCCTCCCCCTTCCCCCAATCTCACGTGAGATTTTTCAAAATGTGGGTTTCTTTTGTAAACGCGTTTAACAATTATATAAAAATTTAACAATAGAATACTTAATAGATACTAGTGTGAAAAAAACTTGCGTGATTTTTGCCGAGACCCCCCCTCTCTCCAACGTAAGATTAGATGAGATTTGACTCGACCCCCTCCTCCCCTTAAACATCTCACGTAATTTATGGACGCCCCCTAACTGTTTTGCTCGTTTTATACTTGTCCCCTCGAGTCATGGCAGAATTATAATACATGTATAATATAGTAGAGAAACACTGATAATTTTAGAGGTTTTTAATGTAAGGTCGTAAATAAACACATTTTTTGCGCTTACATTGCAATCGCTGGCCCTACGAGATAGATCAAATTAATGTACTACAGTATTGTACACCTTAAAAAGGTCTACAAAAAAGTCCGCGATGGTATATGTCCATCTCTTAGGGATAACCCACAATAACCATTTTTTATCCTATACTTTTTACGAGAAATAATAGCTTATTTATGAAGCGATTTTCAGCAATATAACATTCATCTTTAACCAATCAAGTACCTTAAATACACTGTGCATTTAATACAGATTTGGCCCTTTAAAGCATGTAATTTAAATGAATATTTTCGAAGATATTACAGATTTAAAATGCAGGAATATGAATATAGCGGTTCCGTCGCTACCGGGCGGGGGGCCTGGCGGCCTGGCGACGCGTGCCTATTGTAATTAGGTATTAGAAGAATGTAATTGTGTATAATACAAGCCTGAGAACAAAAACTATAGTCTACACTACAGCTCTACATCGAAGCGAAGCGAGGGCGGGCCACTAGTATGTTTCATAAAGAAAACTCTCTTGGAATGATTAGAACAATTCAAATCTAGCTTCGTTATCTTTCAAATCTCGGTAGTTAGTAGTTCTGTTTCAGGTATTCTATAGAAGAGAGATTATGTTAATAATCTTAATGGTCGTTCATAAAATTATAAAGGGCCCATAAGGTATCAATCTTAGTTAGTCGGGTAATAGTTTATAGTTAGCTTAGCTTCGAGTTACGAGCCACATCACTCCTGTGATAACGGGTCGAGTTACATTGAACTGGTTTATTGCGTGGATCTTCTGTTGATGGTCTAGTTTGTAGGTAGGTTAAGTAGGATATATTTATATAATATGTACAATTAGGAAGACGCATTTCTGCTTTAAAAGTAGATGGTAAAATTAAGACAGTCAAAGCCAAATAAAACAGAATCTCTCAATTAAGTTCGCACTTTTCCTAAAGAGTATTTTGTATAGATGATGTAGCGATACATCATGCACATAAACTTGCACTTCTATTATTAATGAAAAAATATGAAAAAGAAAAACTAGCGAGAATGGTCAGCCTGCACAGTAAAGTCTTAAACGAAAAAAAATTGAGAATTAAAAATCATGTATTGTTTTCTCTATGATTTCATTGGATTTTAATCTCATTTTCATTTGCTAATAATCATTTCTTAGGTCAACCGACTATACACTTTTTACACATATTACAGAACTTTGGTTTCATAAGAGCTCATTTATGCTAGAGAAGGGTAATTATATATAGCAGTTAACTTAAATTAAGTTTAGGCTAATTGACTTTTTTAAGGAGTAGCATGTTAACCGCGAACAATTATTTGTTCAAATTTTATACAGGGAATCGATACTCAATATTTGTTTTTTTCTAAAGATACACAAATTAGAATTCAGGTTATATTAAATAAAATATTTACACTGATCCATTTGACTGATATTTGAAATATTTCTTATTATAAATGTTGTTAAGTATATCGTATTATTTTTAGTAATTAGTTCTTATTTAAATTTTAAACTGAATTTCTTGGTAATTCAATTTATTTGCATGAAATAGGGTAAACAATTAAGTACATTTCATTGAGTCTATGGTTTCCGTTGCGACTAAAACGAACGATTCGATACTTCGTAATTTTAAATATTTATTTTGCAACTTCAAAAAATATTGCCTATGAATACTACTAACATTAATTTTATTTATTACCTTAAACAGATAAAATATATTTTGCGAAAAATAGTAATCTTATAAACATTTAAATATACATACATTATAAAAATTAAAGAAATTTTAGTATTATTGTAACTAATTGGACTGATAGTGAACATTATAAAGTTTTGAAATTATTATTCGGAATTTCGAAGCCAATGCATATTGACCTAATGATAAATAATAAAATGCTCAATAACTCTTTTTATTTTACTCAATTTGAAATCATATCACATCACCCAATCATACAAAAATAAAATTTGTTGGTACTTGACAATTTATCATAAAATTTTAAAATGTGAGCAATATTCTATTTTAGTCTACACGACTTACAATTTCTTTGTTGAAAAAGTTAATCATATTATTTATTATTATTATTACACAACTATAGCTTACAAAGGGGCTATGAAGTTGAATTTGTATAATAGACGTATCTTCTAGTTTTTATATATTATTTAAGAGTGACGTTATAAAATGTTGATGATTTTCGTAGTATTGTTTCGATTCTTTCTTCATAATCTTAATATTATCATACCTGTTAGATTGTGTGTTACTACCATTGAAACAACATTTGTCGATAGTAAAGCTGCCACTTCATCGAGACCCATACATAAATTACGCAACATGAAACATAAAGTGTTAAACAAATAAGGAATTTTATCACAAATGCCACGAGTTACCTATAAGGAAAGGAAATAAAAAAATAGGCATAGAAATGGATTTTTTTCTCACCGTATTTAAAGTATAAGCTGCAATGAAATAGTCACATGAATTTTCGCTATTCACTTAACACTATCGTTCAATATTTGGAGTTATTCTGATCTAAATTATTATATTTTTGTTTTTATGAAGATCATAAATTGTTGATCAATTGTAAACAAACAATTGCTTATTTTGTCATATAGATAATAACACACAGAACAGCAACTTAATCAAATAGCGATTGAACGACAGTGTTGAGTGGGCAAGCCACTCCACTACCATTCTCAGGCATAAACATGCACACTGCAAAATGTAATTCTTATGTGCAGTCAAGTATAGTTCTAAACAATAAAGGCGCTATTAGTATCAAATTGTGGCCACCGATGAATCCTTGACTATAGAATACTGTATAAAAGATATGTACCTTCTCTTAATATGTACGAATATCGTAATTATCACGGCAAAACGGACTTTATAATGCGCAAATGTACCATATTAATAACATACTATATTAATTATTTTTTTAATGAGTTGGGATTAAATCTACTTCAAGATATAGCTTTCTATGAGTTGCATGCAAATATAAGTTTTATTGTGGGCAACCCATAAAGTTCGTTTTGCCTTGCAACGGTGTACGAAATTCATATTAGTGACATAAATTTCCCCTATTTTATATCGTTTGAGACAACTCACATTGATTAGGGGCGATGAATAACTTTTTTATTAGTCTATCAGATAGATTAACAAAAAGTATTGAACAATTTTTTCTTATCTTAACATTACAGAGATGAAAGTAATGAACACGTATTTTTCTTTTTTTCTTACAATCTTAACATTACAGAGATAGTGATTTGAAATGTCGCATGACGTCACGTCTTGGTACAATTTTAACTTAGAAGTGACGTCACGGGCCCACTCCCAAACTTAGACCCGCTGCATCTTTGTAATTTTTTGGTTGATAGACAAAGTAAAAAAAAATAAGTGTCCATTATTTTTTGATAATCAAACTGTCAGTCTTAATAGAATTTCGTTAACTTTACTCCGTCATCACCCCTGTTTGAATTTAGCGGATAAATGCACTGTTTTGTTGATGTAGCACCTGGATATTATGATAAGGCGAAAGATTGTTATCGCTGGTTTTGCGAATGGTGCGGGTGGAAAGATATTATTGAATAAACGGTTTCTAAACATCAGTTTCGTTTTGTTTTATTTTGAATCCTAATTAGTCGGCCAATTTGATTCCTGACCCACCATAAATTTATTTTGTTACAACCAGTCCCGAAACAATTGATTGTTGCTGAAATGTACGTATGCCTGGAAACAAACTTGTTATTTTCTGAACAATCTTAATTGGTATGATATATTTAGCCGCCTTTCTATGACATTAAATTATTTTTTAGTTTTGCCCATGGACTAAGAATTTCCCTATTATTTTAACAAGGTTTTTTATAATGTCAAGAAATCGAAAAAGTTTCTTTTACATTTGCGATTTAAAAAGTTACTTCTCAATTCAAACTTCTGTTCCAACTTTATCTATAACATGATCTATTGAAATAAAGGTCTAATTTTAAATATCTTTGATCCATATTAACACAGTTTCCTTGTTATTAGAAGGTCCAAAGTGTATTTACGCATATTCTACAAAGGAAAACTTGTCTGTTTATATCATTTTTAAGCTACTTATCGGGCAAGTGGGTCAGTAATCAGTTGGTTCGATGTCAGTCCGATGCTATAATTTGGCACCCATTTCAGTGAAATGTGGTTTGAACATTCGCATTCCAATAAGGCAACGATAATAAATACCCTTGATACTCAGTTTATAGTAAGTATTAGAACAAAATTTGCTTCAAATACGTTAAATTAACATACATTGATTACGAACTGTCGAAAAAACGACACTACGTACTATAAAAAAAAAATCACGGAGCTCTGCGACATCTCGAGTGTTCAACGGTCTGCGCGTGACTGTGAACCAAGAAGTGCTTGAGTGGTGTTCAAGCACTTGATTGGGAAATATTTTAAGCGCACAAGGTGTTTCTAGGGTTTTGAATATCGTTGGCAATAAGGTCAAAATTTCCGAATGAAAATAGCGTTGAAAAGTTTTATGCCAGCACTTCATTTGGCTATTTGTGTTTGCTATTTGTCAAAATGATATCATTCTGTACTTTTCATTCCTATTAAAGAGTGATAAGGAGTAAGGTCAGAATGTTGCCAAGTTTACAAATAGCAAATACGAATAGCCAAGAAGTGGCGGCATATCATATTTAAGATATCTCGGGGTCATTTATTAAGCTTATATTCTTTAAAATCGGAAATGAAATAGTATGACAATGACAATAAAAATAAGTACCTATTTCGGACATTTCGTGATGATTCTTTCTTAATGTCTTTAGTCGTACTAATAAAATATATGAATACTAGCTACTGGTACTTTGTGCTTCGCTCTCCGTCGTTCCGTTCTTTTCTGCGGGTTCGGTAGCATCGGCAGTTTCGGTCACAACGCCGGAATCTGCTTCGGTATCAGGCACTTCGGAGGCTTTCTTGAATTTATTAACATCTGTGCGAGGAAATTTAGTTACACATCACTAACAGTTTTACATAAAAATTTAAAAAAAAAACGGACAAGCGCGAATGGGGTATTTGAGAAGTTTTAAGAACGATCTCACGTTATTTTCTAATATTAACAGACTCCATAGAACTGGATATTCATCATTCTGTTGTGTATTTCAGTAAAAAAAACTTTTTAAAATTGCCGCTAAACCGTTTCTCTGGACATTATGGTGTCTCACCATGCAGTATATGACGTCACATGACTGCCATTATAATGTCAAAAGATACAATGTAATGTCTCTGACCGAAAGTTTACTAGCATGTGACGTCATTTTATTTTTCGCCAATCCTAGGCGTTTTCGGTCACGTGACTACAGACCAAAGCAATCTATTATATATGATGTTTTTTTAGGACAGTTACTAATTATTTGTACTCCCAGAAAAGTAAAATCGCTTCTAATATTCATATAAAATACGTATGCCAACAATTGGTACTTAATTTTTCATGCTGTCAAATAGCCTATTGGGTTCGCCTACCGAGGGTGCCGTATAAATTTGTAGGTACGCAACATAAACAGCCGTATAGTCCAGTCACTTTAGGGTTACACCTCGGAATTTGAGATGTATACAAGGTCTTTTTCACCGAGATTCACGGTTGATCTTGTATTACTGTATGTATGCCTGAGCTCTGTGTGCTATCCGCCCTCTATCTCGAAAATGGTTGAGCGTATAGAAAAAAAGTTGAGACAAAAGTTGTGGCAATTTTTTAATTTTTTATTTTCACAATAAGTCTTAAAGTGATTGGATACGCGACCTTTGACCTCGAATAATTTACGACGCATACGCGAGATAATAATAAGAGACTTTTGAGACATCTTTTAGAACGCCAAAATGAAGCTGTACACGAGTTTCCAGCTTATTATCTAAAATTCTGAGATTGACCCCTTTTTTTCTTAAGTGACTGGACTAGTATCTTTTTACGTTAATTTAAAAGTTTGATTCCTTCACAGCTTCACAGCACAGCTCCAACTCGATACCTCCACGCGTTCCCGAGATGAAATGTCTTGACAGACAGACGTATCGACGGTAAGACGGGCAACAAGTTGATCTTATAAGTGTTCCATTTCTTCCTTTTGAGGTACGCAACCTTAAAAAGTGACACTAAAACTCCTAAAACTGTAGCTATTAACAACTTCGTTTGTTAACTATAATACTACTAAATTGAAGGGTAGTGATAGAGTAAATAATTTACATTGTAATGTGTTTTTTTTTATTATCATTAGCTACACCGACTATCTTTACTCTTGATAAAAAAGTTTTAGGAACATCGGTTCATTTGTTAACTTTTGTCTCAAAGGAAGTTTTAGCATAGTACCAATGAGTCGTGAATATAATAATTATCATACCATATTTGCTGTAATCGGCCCCCAATAGCCTCAGATAGTGCACGGTGTCGGGGGTGGCGGTGTAAGCTCGCAGCGAGTGCACGCCTCGCCACCCGACTAGCGTCAGCTGCAGGTTCGATTCCAGGTCTTGGTACTCTAGTACGCAGCTACCCGTCGCTAGAAACCGATTGGGAATTGTGGACTTTACTAATTACTATATTCAATAAATTTTTACACAAATAAACTATCTTTGTATAAATTAACATAAAATCTGTTTAGTCATTTTTTCGAGTTTGCGTAAATAGAACCAAACTAAAATATTTGTTTCTTCAATAAAAGGTCGTGTCGGGGGAAAGTATGCTATTTTTTCAATTGATCATTTTACACTTACCAAGGTCCTTGACCAGATTCTGCGTGTGTTCCGAAAAGACCTTCAGGTCTGGCGGGTTGCTTGGGTTGTCGTTTTGTAGTACCGTGATCAAGTCTTGCTTGAGGATGCGCACGCGTCTCTTAGGGCCTATACAACGTAATACGCTTTGCAGACCTTCTTGTGACAATCTGTGAAAAACAATAAGGTGGTTTGCAGCTGAAATACTGTTTACAAGAATATAATATAAGATTAAGGAAATCCCTGACCGTCTCTCTGGCATAAAGACATAAAGAATGGAACGAATCAGGGTGTTTATGAAAATTTACGTCACCAGTTGGCGCCACTGTTACGTGAGGTCTTTTGTATGAAGTTTTTAGCGCCAACTCCATAGACCAGATTCATAGACTATGAGATCGTATGCGATTTGACGGATGATTAGACCTTTCGTCTCAGTACTGCCACTTGGTGCCTGTCATTCCAAAAAACCCTCATTGAACTGTAAAGTCAAACCGGACAGATGAGTGTAAGTAGGACAAAGCGATCCAATAGTTCGACTTGCACTACCGCTCTCTCACTCTAGTAACGAATTAGAATTGAAGCATTACTCTCTAAGAAAAGCCGCTAAAACACGCACACAGAAAAAAACGAAGTCCTTTGTCAAACCAAATTTAAGTAAATCAATTCGTCTATCCATTCATTGGGTAAGATACTCGTAATGTTAAACGAAAATGCCAACCAACATGATGATCAACATGATCATCATGTTGATCGCATTTTTTGCCACGCCCACTTGATCGCAGTTTGCTTGGAACCAATTTTTAGCGCATTTCGTATTCCATATTATTTCAAATTTGTTGCGCTCTAGAGAGTCGCCAATTTAATGCAAGTTTAGTTCAGACTATTCTGTTTGTCTAGCATGATCACAACAGGCTGTCATTAATTCATCGTATTTAGATAAAAATAGACAGAATGGTGTCGCGAAAGGTGGCACCTAAAATGTTTAAAGGACTGATCCCTAGTGATGAAGCAGATTTTACGACGTCCAAAATTTGCCAAAAAAGTTAAATTTCAAAGAGAAAAAAAAACGCTTACCTGAACGGGCATGTCATATTCTTATTGTCGCATCTCACGAACGTTTTTACACCAGTATTGATTATCTTTATACTGTTTTCATTTCTTTGTACCACGTCTTTGACCACGGGCGATACCAGATAGATATTCTTCTTCTTACCCACGTGGCATCTTGTAAGAAGGCAAGTGGAATCAAAATCTGGGTTCAATTCATAATACTCTTTAATAGAAGGGAACACATCTTCGCTATCACCGGAGAAGAACACAAACGGGTCTTCTCTGAAGCCACCCATTCTTCTCTTCTTTTTCGGCGGTTCCTTTTTATCGTCTGCTTTGTTCTCGGTTCCTTCTGTTTGTGGTTGAGGCTTCTCTTCTTTCTCCCAAGGCAGTGATGAGACTTTTTCGAAGACTGCTACGAAGAACCCACCGGTGTCTTGATGGTGTGGTAGAATTCTAATGCTAGAAAGAATTGAATATAATACCGCTGTTTTTGCATTATAACAAAACAAATATTACATTAAATGAAGAAGCAGTCTTATAATTTGGTGTAATCTATGGTAACTTTTACAGTGAATATAGGGCTTTACTTACAGTTTGCGCTTTTAACTCACGTGTGTTTTAAGAGATCATATAATAACATTATTTTCTACTACCGGTCGTAAGTAGGTACAAGTGAAATTTCGAATCCCACAGGAACCTAATATTTTACTGGGATAAAAGGTATCCTATGTCTCAATCCAGGTCATAAACAATACCCGCCTTATTACAAAAAGTATATATATATATATATATATATCTTAGTGAAACCTAGTTTAAAAACTGATGCTGTCACTTTTTTTTTACTAAGAAGAAGATTGAGACAGCGTTTACATAATAACAATTTCAAAAGGGTTAGATTTCGACAAAGGGCTAACGATACGCTGGTTTCGCAAACCATCTATATGCTGCCACCAGGCTAACTGACCATTGTCTTCAGGACAGTCATAGTTAAGCTACTCATGCTAAACGATTGGATCGGTTTCAATGAAATTTTGTGCTCATTAAGTGAGTTCCTAGATGGTTTACATTCACAAGTGATCCTAATAGGTGGCGCTGCAATCGGGTACTAGGATTTTATTCAAACTTTTACTAGAGGACCGAACAGATCTTATTCTGCCAGAGAAAACTATGAAAACATCCGAAAACCCGCCTGCAGTGCCACCTATCGGGTAGAGTTGTAAGTAACGTTTTCTTAAAAAAAATCGAACTTTCCACAAAGTTTGTATTATTAAAATTAAACCGCTAGCAGCTTTACAAATGTTCTACTTACCATTTGTCTAAGTTGTACTTATGCAAGTCTTCCGTCTTTGGCGGGAACATTTGCGGTCGTACAACGGTCTGCCATTTCTCGGGCACGTCTTCATACTCGTCGTAGAACACCATGTCCTTGGACGCGGGTCGCCAATATGTCATACCTATGAATGAGTTTATGTATAAAATTTGGTTTATAATCTTCATCCCTACGTATCTCTTTACTAATAAGAGGACTTTAAATCTCAAATACAATTCATGTTAAGATGTTTGATGGTATTCTACGCCATGTCCTTGGACTCGGGTCGCCAATATGTCATACCTATGAATAAGTGCATGTATAAAATTGGGTTTATCATCTTCATCCCTACGTATCTCTATACTAATTAGACTAATTCAAATCTCAAATATAATTCATGTTTAAGAGGTTCGTTGACGGCTGTACTAGTATTAACTGTGCCACTACCATCAGCAACTCCTTCCATGATATAAATTTGTCATGCGGATACACACAATTAGCCTAATCGAAACTATCTAAATTACTTAGCTAACCAAAAGTAAGAAAACATATAAATTGAAATAATTCTATATTTGTATAGGTATATATATATTATACCTACCGTGTGTGCGTGTGTGTGTTGTGTTAGTGTATACTTATATTATAAAACTGAATAAAGCCTTTCAAAACCTTCAGCTGTCAGAAATAACAAAATTAAATCGTTACCGATAGCGATAGCCACAGCAATCCCGTTAGGCAATTGACCCCCTGGTCGGATTTGAAAATTTCTTTTTGTATTGGATAGTACATTTATCGATAAATAAAAAGGCTATAAAAATGAAGATATGACCAAAAGGAGCGGAGCACCAATGAAAATGTTGGAAAAATATTCCATTGCAGAGCTTCCACTGCGTGCGCTGCGTAAACGGCAAAAGTAACAATCCGCGACAGCATATATGTATCCGTGAAGGGTGACCCACTACATTTTTTTCCCTATAACTAATGCGGATGAAACCGCAGGGCACCGCTAGTGAATTAGTGATTAGAATAGTTTTCTTCGAGAACAAGACTATGTGACAGGTGTATGAATACCTTCATAATGAAAATGACTCAGGGGATAAAAGGATGGATGAAACAACTTTGGAGGTGGCCAATCATTGGATGGATGATCAAAATAATTGCTATCTCGAGTTGCTCCGTGTTTCGGAAGGCACTTTAGGCCGTTGGTCACGGCTGTATATGTTGTCGTTAGTACCTGCAAATCCACACACCGTTATAACTAAAAAAAAACTCGAATCACAGATTTTTTTCGACAAAAGAGTACTTTCCATAATAGCCAACATCTCAACTGTAGGTAAATGTGCATCGGACTATCCGATCTCTAATTATCATTCTTACCTTTGTGAAACTTAAGTCCCGGCAACATAGGCGCAGCGTCAACCAGTTTCACAGCATCTCCAGTCTCCTGCAGCAGTCTGTGCACTACAGCTTCGTTCTCCACCGGGTTGAAGGAGCATGTGGAGTATACTAGTCTACCGCCCTCGGCTAGCAGCTCACAACCCCGTCGTAGCACGCGATATTGGATTCTATTTGCATACACATAGGGAGCATCGACAATCGTTATCGATACAATCGTTGGCTTACAAAGAGCGTACATTCGTGAAACTTCTACAAGACCATCTTATTAATTACTAGTAGATCAATCAGCCACCGTATAAGATCCTATTGCCGATATGTATTCGTAAAACTAGTACAGGACTATTTTATTTGTAACTAACGAATCCGATAGAAATTGTCCAGCTCGATAAAAAGCATTTAAAAAACCTAAATTCCGACTGCCGTATCACCTTTTATCCGTGCGGTGACGGAGAAAGAATACAACTCACCGCCCCTTCTCTTCCCGTGGGTGTCGTAAGAGGCGACTAAGGGATATCGGAGCTTCCATCCGCTCTTCTGGTGGTAGGGTGCCTAACACCCGCCTGGTTTGTTACCACCGTGCGCATGGTGAAAAACCCGTGAAGTGCTTCTCGCGCGTTTCGAGGTCAGCCAGCGTACAACCAGGGCTGGAGTGGAGGTTGTCGCGACGGATTCGGTCCAGGGCTAGGCATCCGTGGAACCGATGCCGGGAGGACTGCATCGACCCGCCGGCCAGGGAGACCCGTAGAAACGGCTGTCCCGCTGGCCGCCCGTGGCACAGTACAGGGGCCCGAGCGTTCCTAACCAGTTCGCGAGGCTGCCCCATCATGTCACGCATAATCTCGGGGTGGACCGTCGTGCCGGTTGGTGACCGGGGCGTGGGGTCCCGGCGGCCACTCCCGGGGGGGTGCGGGGGCCCTTCCGTCCGGCGGGTCGGCGTATATCCTCTGCAGGCAATCATTCGGGGAAACATGCCTCCCTAATTTGCCCGGTCTTGTCGCGACAACGTCCACTCGTTTCACGTCTCTTTTTCACTTCCATAATGGCAGCTCCTAAAACAAAGTTTGGACGTTCAGCGGTGCACACCCCCACGCCTTCAACGCTGTTTGAGGTCGAGTTTGCAACATACGCGGACTCCACTCTAACCTCAACGCTGTCCACCACCATCTTGAGACAGCACGGCCAGCATTGTTGTTCCTGACGGAGACACAAATACTTCCGCCTGCTGACACAGGCTACCTTAATTATCCCGGCTACGTGCTTGAAGAGTCCTTCAAAGCGAAAGCCGGTGTATGCCTGTATGTTCGGGCGGATGTTTGTTGTCGCCGTCTCCGCTGCTTGGAAGATCCCTCCTTCTCCATGCTGGGGGTACACGTCGACTCTGGCCCCCTGGCCAGAGTTTACGTGTGTCTCTACAGATCCCACACCGGCGATGTTGAGACAACTCGACTTTTTGAACACCTTAGTCGGGCAGCAGATGACGCGCAGGAACAATTTCCCAATGCAGAATTGGTGTTTTTGGGGGACTTTAATGCTCACCACAATTTGTGGTTAAGTTCCTCCAAAACTGACCATGCAGGGATCTCTGCTCCCGCATTCGCTCTCACGCATGACTTGAAGCAACTGGTTGATCAGCCCACCAGGATCCCAGATATTCCAAGTCAAGCGCCTTCTTTACTGGACCTTCTGCTCACGACCCATCCACAGGGCTATCAGGTTGTGGTAAGAGCCCCCCTGGGCTCGTCCGACCACTGCCTGATATCTGCCAAAGCACCACAGGCCAAGCCTCCGCGTCCAGCAGTGGTCAAGCGCCGTATCTGGCATTATGGGTCGGCAGATTGGGACGGTATGCGTGACTACTTTGCGTCCGTCCCTTGGAAGCAGCGCTGCTTCAGTGACAGGGACCTATCGGCCAGTGCCGTTGCCATTACTGAGGAGATTATAATGGGTATGGAATACTATATTCCTCATTCTGATCTCATCAGTAAGGGCACGCGTAACCTCTGGTTCAATCACGACTGTGCTGAAGCTGCTTCGCGTAAGCAAGCGGCATATCGTGCTTGGATCAGAGGTCGCGCTCTCAAGGATCCCGAGGTCGATTCACTCAAAGCAGCCTACAATTTTGCTTCCAAGGCCTGTAAGAAGGCTTACATTAGAGCGGATGCCCAGCGCGTTGCACGTGTTGGCCAGGAACTTATGACGCATCCTACGGGTTCCCGTAGCTACTGGCGTCTGGCCAAGGCCGTGCAAAAAAACTTCTGCGAGCCCTCGCTGCCACCTCTGAGATGCCCAGACGGAACACTAGCCCATAAGCCGCAGGAGAAAGCCGATTTACTGGCAAAACTCTTTGCGGCTAACTCCCGAATCGATGATTGCAATGCACTGCCACCATTATTACCTCACTGTGGCACAACGATGCCTGATATTAAAATCAGGCAGCGCGAGGTTCGTGCCGAATTGCAATCACTCGACGTCCGGAAAGCTAGTGGACCTGATGGCATCCCAGCAGTAGTACTCAAAAAATGTGCAGCGGAGTTGTCTCCCGTGCTCACGCGCTTGTACCAATGCTCGTATTCTTTGGGGCGTGTGCCGGAGACTTGGAGAGATGCCAATGTGCAACCGGTGCCCAAAAAAGGGGATCGCTCAGACCCGGCAAACTACCGGCCAATAGCAGTCACCTCAGTTTTATGTAAAGTTTTAGAAAAGGTCCTTAATAACCATCTGACCCGCTACCTAGAGGATCACTCCTTGATTAATGATCGTCAATATGGTTTTAGACCGAAACGATCGACGGGTGATCTTCTAGCGTACTTAACTCATATCTGGGGTGAGGCTATCGACAAGCGTGGCGAGTCGTTGGCTATCAGCCTTGACATTGCCAAGGCGTTTGACAGGGTCTGGCACAAAAGCCTTCTGTCCAAGCTTCCGGCATACGGTCTGCCAGCCCAGTTCTGTTCTTGGGTAGCTGACTTCCTGCATGAGCGTAGAATTCGTGTCCTTACGGATGGTAGCAGTTCGCGGTTCATGTCAGTGAATGCCGGCGTTCCCCAGGGCTCCGTCCTATCCCCCACTCTCTTTCTGCTGCATATCAATGACTTAATTCCTCTTGGGAATATTCATTGCTATGCAGACGATAGTACAGTGCATGCGGGGTATCTCGGACAAGCAGCGGCTGGGCTGGCGGTAACCAAGGAGAAACGCAAGAATCTTGTCATTGAACTCAATCAGGCTTTGGACCACATTTCCGAATGGGGTACCAGGAACTTGGTTGAGTTCAATGCCAAAAAAACTCAGGCTTGCGCTTTCACGGCAAAAACATCGTCATTCCTTCCTCTTCCATCTCTTCAGGGCACAACACTACCGCTGCAGAGCAACATTTCCATGCTCGGTATGGAAGTTCGCTCAGACCTGAATCCAAAGAACTACATCGAAACCGTGATCAAAACAGCTTCACGCAAACTCGGAGTCCTGAACAAGGTGCGGCGTTTTTTCACGCCCGATCAACTGTGCTTGTTGTACAAAACGCAAGTGCGGTCCTGCGTGGAATATTGCTCGCACCTCTGGGATGGCTCCGCCAAGTACTTGCTCGATGCTTTGGATAGGTTACAGCGACGCGCGATCCGCATCATAGGCGATGAGGAGGTGACTAAACACCTTGAGCCTCTTCAATTACGCCGTGACGTGGCGTCACTAAGCGCGTTCTATCGTCTGTACCACGGCGAGTGTTCTGAGGAGTTATTCTCTCTTATCCCACCTTCTCCTTTCCTTCAGAGGACCACGCGCGCTGGCCTACGTTGTCATCGTCTAACTGTGGCCACAATTCCAACGCGTACAAAGAAATTTGGTGACTCATTTCTTTGTCGCACTATCCGTAAATGGAATGCTCTGCCCGCTCACGTGTTCCCTCCCTCTTACAACCTGGGATCCTTTAAAAGAGGCGTGAAGAAGCAACATGCAGGCCGGCAGGGTGAAGATGGCTGGTGTGGCAGGTAAAACTGCTGTATCAGCTATCGTCGCGTCTGGACTTCACCTTCACTTAACATCAGGTGGGGTGGAGTCATTTGTCGGACCTATCTATAAAAAAAAAAAAAAAAAACCTAGATTTGCGTGGCTATATTAGATACTGGATGCTATTGTTATAAACATAGTGTGCACAAACGTAACTAACATGTGGAGTATACCATTATTGTTGCTTGAAAGTAAAGGATGTTAGGCCCATATATCCTTTCAAGTAATAAAAATAAAATGTATTTGTTTTTTTTGTCTCATTAAACAGTCTCTGCCAGAATAACAGCGCTGGTGCGGCACAATGTCGCATCAGCTAATGCTGAGGCAGGGTCCTGGTTAGCCCTTTTTTATTACGCGGGTATAAAATCTTTTTTACAGACGACGGCGCCTTTAAGAGGCGCACCGCCGAACGGACCTCACACCTAGCTCCCGCAAGTCTTACGGACCCCCCAGTGCTGCCGAATCAATCTTAAGAGAAAACGTGAAACCTTGTACTAGTTATTTTCATTTGAAACATGTTGATTTTAAAGATGTAATAAAAACGTTTCACCAATTAAATAAAAAGAAAACCGCGGATCTGTGGGGCAATTCCGTTGATGTTTCTAAATCGGTAATTGAGACAATAGCTGCTATTCTAGCTTGCATATTTAATGATTGTGTTGACTGTTGTGTTTTTCCTGACCTCATGAAATACAGTAAAATTACTCCTTTGCATAAAACGGGAAGTACATCAGACCCCACAAACTTTAGACCAATTTCTGTACTACCCACCTTTAGTAAAATTTTTGAAAAAATTATGTTAGAACAAAAGCAAACACATTTTAATAAATATAATATACTTCACTGTAAACAATTTGGTTTTACACGGGGTCGTTCAACAACCGATGCCGGTGTTGAACTTATACAACAAATTTTTGACGCCTGGGAGAACTCGCAGGACGCTCTAGGTGTGTTTTGCGACTTGTCCAAGGCTTTTGATTGCGTTTTTCATGAAACATTACTCAGGAAACTCCACCACTATGGATTTAGAGATACTGATCTGGATCTTATTGCATCATACCTGAGGGATAGGATTCAGAGGGTTGAAATTAATGGTAATAAGTCTCCGGGTTCGCCGGTTAAGATGGGTGTTCCGCAGGGCTCAATCCTAGGTCCTTTCTTATTTTTAATTTATATTAATGACTTACCTTACTATGTAAGAGATAACCATGAGATAGTATTGTTTGCGGATTATACATCACTTTTATTTAAACTCAAACGCAATGAAAAAGTTATTGACGACGTGAACAATTGTATATCTAAGGTAGTCCACTGGTTCAATGTTAACAATTTATTACTTAATGAAGGAAAAACGAAATGTATGAAATTTGTATTACCTTATGTAAAACAGGTAAAAACCAGTGTGAATGTAAAGGATAGGAATGTGGGCCTTGACACCACAGTATTCTTAGGGATAACTTTAGATTCTAAGCTTCAATGGGGCCCACATATTGATAAATTGTCAAATAGACTTAGCTCTGCAGCATATGCCGTAATGAAGATACGCCAGTTAACGGATGTAGATACGGCCAGATTAGTGTACTTTAGTTATTTCCATAGTGTAATGTCGTACGGAATTTTATTGTGGAGAAATGCCGCCGACATTCAAACTATTTTTGTTCTGCAGAAGAGAGCTATTCGATCAATTTATAATCTTAAAGTTAAAGAATCATTAAGAGATAAGTTTAAAGAATAATGACGGTCGCATCACAATACATATACGAAAATTTATTACTTGTAAGAAAAAATATTAATTTGTTTCTTAAAAACAGTGATGTTCACACAATTAATACAAGAAACAAAAATAAACTAACTTTATCTGCTACTAGGCTTCACAAAATTAATAATTCATTTAAAGGTCTTTGTGTTCGCTTATACAATAAAGTCCCAAGCAATATCCAAGAGTTAGCCATAAATAAATTTAAAGATATTATAAAAAAAAACACTTATTAAAAAAGCTTATTACAAAGTGTCTGATTATATTACAGACAAAAATGCTTGGGTTTGAACTGTTCCAATCATTCCAGCAGGTTTTCTATATTAAATAAATCATAATTGTATTGACGTTGTAACAACATAATGATTTGTAAATGTTGTTACATTAGACTTTTAATGTTGTGGAGTTTTTTTCGCTCGTTTTTCTCCGCAGCTAAAAAATATGTCCATAACGAGTGGTAGGGAAAAAAAATTTTTGGACGATTCAAAAGAGTTGTACTATACATCCAATTTGAATAAAGATATATTGATTTATATAGAACCCCGCAACTCTTACGGGCGCTTTACGGCATAATATACGCTAAAAAAGTCCTGCGAATACCTTAAGTCCTGGTTAGCCCTGAGATTTTTGAATTTGTATCTGTAAATGTGTAATATTTGTAAAATGAGGGTTAATAAAATCTCTTATCTATTAGACAAGTCCGTCCGTCTGTCTGTGGTGCTGTTTCAGCAGCCAAACCGTAAGAGATAGATAAAGAGAATATTTAAGTTATAAGTTAAGAATAGTCTGATAAGACTACAAACCGGATTTGAGTAACGTAGCACTTCCGGTTTTCGAGAAATCAGGTTTTGATGAACATTTGGTTCACTGGTTTGCTAGTATATTCTATTCTATTGTACCAGTCTACTGCTTTCGGCTAGCAGCTCACAACCCCGTCGTAGCACGGGATATTGGATCCTATTTCCAATACACATTCGTTAATCTACCACAGGACCATTTTAATAGTAACGACAAGTAATAGTAGATCTTTTTGGCAATACATATAGAGTGGACATTCGTAACTGAGGTCTATTTTAATTTCGTAAGTGTCAAATTGAATAATATTGATTCTATTGGAAGTTCGCATAAAGCGCACATTTGCGAGAAACTACTACCGAACCATTTTATTAGAAACTGGATGACCCGAAAGATGTTGTCCTGCCCGATAAAACCAAACATTACAAAATCCTTAAACCCGACTGCAGCATTACCTATCGGAATGGCTTCTAAGTTAATGGAATTCGATAAAACTAGTTTTAACGGGTCAATTCACGAAATTTATTTATTTATCGACGTTTCGCAGCCTTTTCAGGTCTGCATCGTCAGAATAATGTTTTTTTTTATTAGAATCATTATTCTGACGATGCAGACCTGAAAAGGCTGTGCATTAACCCGTAAAAACTAGTTTTATTTAATGAGTGATGTGCGTGAAAACCTAAGAAACAAATAATGGAATTCGAGTCCCAGATAGCATAGGCACTGCGTCTACCAGTCTACTGCAGCAGACTGTGTACCATAGACTCATTCTCGACCGGGTTGAAGGAGCATGTGGAGTATACCAGTCTACCGCCCTCGGCAAGCAGCTCACAATCCCGTCATAGCACTCCATATTGGATCCTATTTCCATAAACATAGGGTGCACATTGGGTTACAAAGAGAGCACATTCGTGAAACAACTTCAAGAGCATCTTATTAATTAATAGTTGATCTACCATACGCGATATAAGATCCTATTGCCGATATGCATTCGTAAAACTAGTGCAGAACTATTTTATTGGTAACTAGCGAATCCGACAGAAATTGTCCGGCTCGACAAAAAGCATTTAAAAAAACCTTATTTCCGACTGCAGCGTCACCTAGATTTGCGTGTCTATATTAGATATTGGATGCCATTGTTATAAACATAATATGCACAAACGTAACTAACACGTGGAGTATACCAGTCTACCGATTTCGGCTAGCAGCTCACAGCCCCATAGAAGCACGCGATTTGGATCCTATTGCAATACACAAAGAGTGCACTATCGCATCTACTGCAACTGGACAAGGCATGCTCAGTTCATTCTATGTCTATGGATCCGCTAGTATAAAAATCTGACTAAAATCACTTCCAGCAAGATCACTTGAAAATATGTAAGCTGAAAATTAACGGTTTTGCATAAAATGGTCAAATGTCATGTTTTCTGCAGCATACATATATTTTATGGCTGGTTTATTTAAAATTATTAGTAAAACAATCTTTCCTCGGCCGGGATTCGTACACTGGCCGCCCGCGCAACATGCGAGCTTTCTGCCACTAAACCACCGATGATTATAGATAAGGTCTGAATTACTGATTAAGGAAAAAAATTGTGACGATGTAACAAGTTTCACTTTAATAAACGTGTCCTCTACATAATCGACAGAGGAAAAGCAAAATAGCTTAAACGCCACTTTGGTGCTGTTTAAAAAATTTACTTTGAATGAAAACTGAAAGAATTACTTTTTGAGCAGCACCAAAGCTGCGGTTAAATGGTTTTTGAAGTGAAACTTCTTTAGGCATGCCTGACTTAGGGGGTAAACTGGCGAATGTGTGTGTGTGTCACAAAATACATGAATCTAGTGCTTGGTGGGTGATAACGAACCCAGCGCGGATTGGTGGGTGACAAAGGACCCAGTGCGGATATGTGGATGATAATGGACCCAGCGCAGATTGGTGGTTTTTTTCTATCAACAAATCTTTATGATTATGGTTATATAATATATAATCTTTAGGTTTATGATTTTCAGATCATTGGAGCTAAAAAGGTTTCACTTCAGTCGTGTGACCATAAGCACACTCGCTTTTTTTCTTTTACACTGTCGGATCTATCTAATATATTTACCCGTGTAGATTGTTTCCGTTGCCAGTGGACCATTTCAGCCAAATATCCGGATTCTTGCGTAATGTCGCATCGCCCGAGCACGGCACGTCGCAAAGAATGCGGTCGAATTTAAGTGGCTTCGTACTGCCCGGATTCTATAAAGATCATTTTAAATAATTGTACTCTTTCTTTTATTTTCGCGTTGAAATATATAAAATAAAGATTTATCACAATTCACTCATACGAATAAGCTAAGCCTCAAAATAAGCACTGCAAAGCTTATGTTGTGGGGGACTAGGGTAGAAAGCGCAAAAAAATAAGAGAAACGAGAATGTGACCCAAAACTTATTTTTATTTTATTTCTAATTACCACAGCATAATACTATGTACAGCAGTAAGTAAAATGAAAACAAATAAATTACAAACATAAGGATTGACACTAATTTTTCTCGCAAACAATAAACAATAATCTAAAATTTGCATCGCAGATGCAACGGATTTTTAGTCACGTGATCACAGATTAATCTAAGCAAATTGCTTTTACTGAACGGCCCGACCAACCGTAGTTTAGTTTCTAAGCTCAAACAGAGATAAACCTCACAACATGACAGATTAATCTTTCTCATCGGACAAAATACTCCATGCAAACAGATTTACATCGGACTGACCTGAGCGGAATTACCGAAAGCTTCAGATTTACTCTAGATGTAATAAACAAACGATTCAGACGAAAAAGATTGATCAGACGCAAAAAAATATCAAACGCAGCTATTGAATGAAAACTAGGGTTAAATTATTTTTTATTATTAGCAGGATTGCTATCCTCGGTTCTTCTGAATCCACAATATTTTGGCAGTGTTGCAAGCGCCATGACCACGGAGTTACTGAGTTAGCTTAGTTATTTAGGTGAATGGTAGCAAATTTCGCTGATACAAAAAATACTCTAATGTTAGTGATCATGAAAGTTTCAAACGATTTACCTGTTCATCATTTATGACGAGTGATGGCATAACAGCAGAGTCGTGGTTGGTGATGAGGATGCAGGGCGAATTAAGCCGTTTGGCTTGATGTACCAACATGTAGCAGCGGCTGTTGTCAACGTCGTTGGCCATCACAAAACCTGATTGAAAAGTCTCAAATTATATAAAACTTTTAAACAAACTTATAAAAAATGTTATTTAAGTTAAGGTTCAACTACTGGTCGAAATTCGAGTTCATTATTATATCCTTTCTCCATATAAACTTTAATTTTATGAAAATTCTTACTTTCCTCAATGGGCGAAATGTGCTTAGAAGGAGATCTAATGTTATTCCTTCACATATTATCATGTTAATTTCTAAAATAGTTATATATTTTGTACCCGTTGGAGTTTTGTCTTCATCAGCATGAAGAAATTCTATTAGCTGAGCTGTTTTCGAACCGGGAGCTGCACACATGTCTAGCACCTGCAAAATTAAGATCAATGAAACAATTGTCAGTGAAGTGATTTCTTTCAGACACAGCTGCGTCACACAATAGAGAAGCTTATAATGGCTTGTTTGTATAATCTAGCAGGAGCTTTAATTATAGTAAAGAATCCTACAGAATTTATTAGTTAATTTTGCAATATTGTAAATGGCTCATTTATGATTAGCAAATGTAATACCATAAATATTTTTAACTAAAAATATAAGCCATTTTACTACTATTATTTTCACTATCTAACCATTGTCATTAACAACATCAGTAAACCACAAATGGCTGCACTCATAAACATCAATTAAATTTTCAAAATATGACTCAGACTAGTGTTTCCATTGTATTAGCAATAGAATGAGAAAACAAAAAAACATTATGAAGGATACCATTTTAGCTTTAAGTAATAAAAAGTCCAATTCAGTAAATCAACAACTATTTAACATCGTCTTATCTCCTTCAACAATCGATGTTATGAAGCTGACTGCATAGTACAACTCTTCTGAATCGTCCATCTTACCTTATGATGAGGTTGTACATCAAGCACCACAGGGGGTATCATAGACACTGTTTCCTGCCGCGACACTCCACCAGCTGCGGTCTCTGCCACCAAGAAGTTGTGGAGCTTGTACAGAGGTTCGCTGCGACGGATGTCCATGCGGGACAGGCGGAGTTGCCATGCTAGCCCTCCTGGATACCTTGGATAAAGATTTAATGGGGTTCTACTTACTACCTTATACAAGTTTTGAAAATTAGGCAAAATTTTCTTTGATTAGACAAAAGTGCTGTAAGTTTATTTAATGATAGTAGGACTTTAGATAGATACTTAAATAAATAAACACATATATAGACATTAATGTTTATTTTAATGCCTCAAAACTATAGGTGAACTTATATATCATTAGTCTGTTAATGTTCCTAGGATCAACCCTATATGGACAGAAATGGGAGATCAGATTTTCAGATGCGCATATAATGCTGGTACTTCACATGGCTATTTCTATTTGCTATTTGTAAGGAACATTAATTGACTAATGATAAGTCCACCATGGGTTTAAAGCGTTAAATTAGCTTTTATATAGGTATAAATGTATTTCCATACATGCCAGCATTAAAAAAACTCATTTCTGTATTTGTGGAAGCAGGACTAAATAACAAGTTTATTCTGTCATCAGTAAAATTATATGTAGACATTATATTGATAGAACACTTTGTCTTATGGAATTAGTTCAACATTTAGACTTTGAATATTTACAAGATGCAAAGATGATGATCTACAAACATTACAATCACTCAATGCTCAGAAGCAGCAAGTCAAAATGGTTTGGCGTATCCTTATAGATAAACATTTCAAAGAACTGCCTTTGGACAATCACTGGATTGTTAAGAATCAGCAAAAGACATTAAAATACTATTTTGTTTGGGTATATTATATGGAGCTCTGTAGCAACAAAAGAAAATTTGAATTCATTTCAACAGTCTACATCATCTGCCATCTACAATGAACAAATGAAGCTTAGTATAAAATGTCACTTCTTTATTTCATTTAGGAAATTTTGCACAGGGTATGTCAGTCCCATTAAAGCCTAAACTTTTTACATGAAATCAATCCCTTGACCACATAATGTCCTTAACCTCGATAGAGACTCAAATGTGTAGTGCTGTATGTCTAAGGATATTTATACATACTTTCCCATCTCTACTGAGAAATTAGTATCTCTAAAACAGTAAATGGATGTCCTAAATATTATATCTAATATAATTTTTATTTTTTAAGCATGTTACTGCTTGGTGTTTAAATCTAAATAAATATAACTAGAAATGTCTAATATATTCAAAAATAATACGATAATAAGAAAGATTTTTTTTTATACCATGGCAGATTTATTGGTTTGATTTCCTCTTCTTCATTTTGCCCATCCACTTGTAATTTCATGTTTAATATCTCTGAGAAATATTCACTTTTCACAATATTCATTAAAGCAGCAGCCTCACATTTAGAACCTGTGATGCGGAACGCTGTCGGCAAGTTCTCTTTGAGGGTTTTCATAAAAGTAGACCATTCTTCTTCAGGACACACTTTTTGAGTCTAAAACTCATAAATTTCTTAATCAAAATAGAGGTTACGGTTACATAAAACAAAATATGACTCAGATATCTTAGTAATTGATATTCAAAAAAGTTCCACAGTCCTGATAGTCTAAAATTATTAAGAAGTTTTGCTCAGAACTCACTTTATAATACTCTTCAAAAGCAGCATTTTCCCGGACTATCTCCTCATAGTGCTTACGTGTGTCACCAACAGGCTTCTCTTGTGGATTTTTTTCCTACAATTTGAGAATACAATGCCCAAAATCAATGTAAACGCAAAAATTTCAAAGTTATATTTCTAAAATGACAATAACCTGTTCTCGCCGCTCTCGCTTGCGTTGAGCGAATTTATTAACATTGCGGTTTCTGCGGCCCATTCTCCGTAGATAAGCACCAAGTGTAACTTGACGTACTTGATTGAAATTATAAAAATAAAACATAAACTTATAAAGCTAGGCGACGTGCTAGGTTGTGTTTGTGTGTCAGCTGTCAGAAATAAAAGTGAGGTTATGTTTACAGTAGCGTTCCTTGAAACTTTATTAATATTTCTTTATTTCTGTTTTCTAACTTCAATATTCAACGAATAAAATATTTAATATATTTATTTATCTCCACTAACTCAAAAAGAAACTTATATTAGACTAAGTTTTACAATAACTTTAAAAGTAAGATTAATTTTACAGAGAAAAATAAAGCTCTATGAATGCAACCTTTTTTTTTGTTGAAGTTCTCCCGTTTTAGGGAAGGCAAAGGGAACAATGCCCATACAGCCTGGTCTTTAATTAAATTAATTTTCTTTTTGTTCTTACATTAGAATGTCGGTGTGACGCATTCTAATGTTTCTTGGAGTGTTTGGCACGAAATGTATCGAGTTGGCTTTTTCGATAAGCTTCTGTGAGGTAGTCAACACTACAATAAAATTCTCACGTCCACTTGACCGGAATAGCGTATATTTTAATGATTCCACCAATTCTTCAGTTACGCAGACAGTTGTTACACAAAACCACACCAATTTTATTTCACAAATTCCACTATGAACGAATTTAAGAATAATTAAAATAAGACGCCAACCGCACTCGATGAAATCCCGCCAAAAACTCCGCAACCTTTTCTTCAAAACAAACGCTCCATTCGACGCATTACACACGCAAATGTGTACTTTAAGTACGACGAACGACAGCACGTCCGACTACCAAAAGTATCAAAACGTTGCAATTAATTTTAAACTTTATGTGCAGAGTTTAATGTAGAAAATCAGTCTTGAGTTTTGATTGGAAGTAATATATTTTGTGTATTTTCTACAGGCAGCAGTCGCGCAGTGAGTGAATTTTATTTAAAATACTTTGTTTTTGTTTAGTTTTCGTTGTGGGTGGCTATTTATAAATATCCAAAAATTAAATACTGACCGAGCGAGCTTAAAGAGTACAGGCTAAAAGTTGTTTACCTGCAGATAATAAAGGTAAAAAGTTAGAACATTACATTTTTCAATATTAGTGATACCTTCGTCTCTTTTATGAAAACATAAGATTTAGGTATATCATTTCAAATAGTTATCGTTTCATTGCAGAACAAAGCTATAGACTCAGCTCAGGCTATAGGGTATGATAGAGATAAATTCTCGTTTGAGAATCAGTATTTTGAACTTTATTGCTTTACACATAGAGGTAATCACATTTTTTATCAGTTTATCAGTAATTGAATACCTATTTCAATTTAATGAGCTTCAGAATTATTTAGACAGATCAAACATTGAACTTTATCTTAAACGAGTACCTATCTAACTATAAAATATCTGTTATGTGTGTATTTTTCACACTATCTTGAAGTAAACAGGTACTTACCTATTGTAGCATAGATCACAAATTTATTTCTTTATGTGTTTGATTTCTGTATTGCATTATTTATATAGCAAGGCATGTTAAATTTTAATTACACGTCCCACTTTTCTTCTTCTTTACTATTTTTTTTTTGAAATATCTAACATGTATTAAGATTTATATTTCTTGCTTCTTGAAGGCTAATTAATCAACATGAGTCCCCGAAAAGGTTTCCAGTTTGCCATAGACAGAGGAGGTACTTTCACAGATGTTTATGCTCGCTGCCCCAATGGAAAAGTTAAAGTGATGAAACTGTTATCTGTAGATCCTCAAAACTATGATGATGCTCCAAGAGAAGCTATTAGGAGAATTTTACATGAGGTAAGGTTTTACTACTGACTGCACAAAGAGAGATTGTGCTGACAAGGTTCCAGTCCTCTTAGCATGAGCACTAAAAACATACAAAAATACAAAATACAAAAGCCTTTATTGCTGATAATTACATAAAAAACACATTATTATCATTTTTACTTATAATTCAGAGTGTCCTGCAGACACATAGGCCTACTCCAGCCTTTTCCACTCTGATCTATTCTATCCTTGCTAACCTCCATAGCGGGCCAGCTACCCTTCTTATGTCATCTGACCATCATTTCAGCTGCTGTCCACGTTTACGGTAAGTGTTCGTACAGGGGATCCATTCCATGGTCTTCCTTGTCCACTTCCCTATTTCGTCTCTTGTGACGTGACCTGCCCACTTCCATTTGAGTTGTCTACTTTTTCGAATGACATCTTCAAGTTTTGTGAGCTCTCTTGCCGCTCCTTCTGTATCCAAGAATACTTCTCTCCATGCCTCTCTGACACGTTCTTAGTTTGTTTTGCAGTGCTTGTGTCATGGCCCAAGTCTGGCAACCATATGTTAGTATTGGCAAGATACATGTGTTAAAGAGCTTTCTTTTCACTGATTTTAATATATAATAAAAATTTACATAAATACTTTCTAAAAACTAGCTGTATATCATATTGTGGTGTTCATGCTAGGTAGACAGGTATCTCTTAGCGACATTTAGAGTCATGTACACACATATTCTTGTATTTGCTAATTGTTCATTCTCCTTTTAGAGTGACTCCTAAAGTGTGTGTTATTCAATATATTAGGTATTCAAATAACAACACTGCTTACCCACTTACTTATATTATTTTCAGGAAACTGGAAATGCACTGGATAAAAATGGTAAAGTAAACTCTTCTTTGATAGAGTCAATACGCATGGGCACGACAGTAGCCACAAATGCACTCCTCGAGAGAAAAGGAGCCAAGATGGCACTGGTCATCAATAAAGGGTTCAAGGACTTGCTGTTTATAGGAAATCAAGCTAGACCACATATTTTTCAGTTGGTAAATTGAAATTCCATGATTTTCATTATAACTTGTTTGATATGCATAGTAATTTAAAACATTGTTGTTATTTTAGAGATATTACAGATATTCAGATTAGTTATTAATACCTGTACCAATATTATGTCATTGATTTAATTATGTGGAATCTGGTGTGATTCTCGAAACCTTAACTTAAATTTGACAACAGTTTATCCTTGTCATTCTATTAACAGAATGAAAAGGAGAGACTGATTACTAAATTTATTTTTGAGTTTAGAGAATCATTCGCCCGGATTGCGAAGGGTGCGGGTTCGAGTCCCGTCTGCTGCCTGGTCCGCGTGGAATTTTTTCTAGTTATATTTTCTTTAGATTTAAACATCAAGCAGTTACATGCTTTAAAAATTATAACTATAATTGCTATTTCTTCTTTCAAATGTTTAATACTTGTAAAAGTATTCATTTGACATTGTGGGTTTACCTATAATGCGAAGAGATGGCGCTGCCTTGCAGCTTAAGAATAGCTAGAAAGAATTTCGACGCGGTCCGTGAGGGCCGCGGTAGCATAATTGGTCAGTGCATTCGCCCGGATTGCGAAGGGTGCGGGTTCGAGTCCCGTCTGCTGCCTGGTCCGCGTGGAATTTTTTCTAGTTATATTTTCTTTAGATTTAAACATCAAGCAGTTACATGCTTTAAAAATAATAAAAATTATAATTAGAGAATCATGTCAGAATCGACACTAATATCAAATGCTTGTTTATGTAATTCCTCAGAACATCAAGAGACCCAGTGTCCTTTATAAAGAAGTAGTTGAAGTGGACTGCAGAGTTATCCCAGCTTTGGAAGAAAGATGCCAAATGGAAAAGCCTGCAAACTGGAAAACAGTTGTCGGCACCACTGGTGAAAAGATGTTAGTAATCAAAAATTTGGATGAGGAAGCAGTGAGGAAAGATTTGTTAAAGTTGAGAGAGAAAGGGATAGAAAGTATTGCTGTTGTACTCGCGCACAGTTACACTTACCATGATCATGAGCTGAAAGTTGGAAAAATAGCATCTGACCTAGGTGAGGTTGAGTATATAAATGAATATTTATACTGTATCAAATGGTTTAGCATTCAGATTATAAACATAGACATTACCCCTCTTATCAATCAATGAGGATTATACTTAGACTAGTTACGCCATGTTATGTTCATGTCACTCAAATGCCATTTGTAATTGAATGAAATGAACAGAGACAAAACATAGAGTAACTAGTCCAAGCTAATTCATCGTTTATTAATAAGGTTAGGGTTCTGATCCTGCCACAGTAGGGGGTGGATTATTTAAAAGTTTTTAGTTGTTAGTGCATTTACTTTATTTAGTCACTGTTTTTACGAGGAGCTCTATGGCGCGGGTGGTTAGCGCGTTCGGCTGCGATCGTTGAAGTTGAGCAACTTTAGCAGTGGTCGGTCATTGGATGGGTGACCAAAAATCTTCTGTCTCGAGTTCCTCCGTGCTTCGGAAGGCACGTTAAGCCATTGATCCCGGCTGCATCTGGAGTTGTTAGCACCCGCCAAACCGCACCGGGCCCGCGTGGTGGGTCACGGCCCAATCTCCCTATTCCATCCATAGGGAAGGCCCGTGCCCCAGCAGTGGGGACATTAATAGGCTGATGATGATGATGATACTGGTTTTACGTCTACATTGTTAGATGGAAACAATTCCCCGATTAAGAATTCGTTTGTGAAATATTATGCTCTAAAGACGTAATTACACTTGTGTGTTAGCTATTATTGCCCTTGGAATTCGGAAAAACTACAAATTGTAACTGAACGGAGTCGATTACGCCCGTATTCGCTTTTGCTCCCCCAATCAGGCATCACTGCGTTACGTTCCAATCCAACTAGAACGCTAGTGCAGGGTCATTTGCCCGTATTCTGGTACCCGAACGTGAATAAAATAATGTAATTATTGTACATCGGATGCCCGAAATCGAGAAATGTCTTTCGTGCACCAGAATACGGTCGAACGACCATAGGGTAATAGCGTCTTCAAGTGCTTTTGTTAGACTCAAGTATCTGAAATGATTTGTTTTGTAATGCATCTTTACTATTAAAATTAAGGAATATTTCCTCAATCTGGACTCTGCCTGATCTTTTTTCTTTTTATCTGTTAATTACTTAGTGGTGTATTTTATAGCTTCCTAGCCACGCTGTTTCTTCTATTCTCATGGTATGGTTTCATTTAGCCAAAGGTTGCCTAGTAGAGATTGCAACCTTAGCAATAAGGCCGCCTTTTGTGTTTGTGTTCCTGCGTTTTATGTTATATGTAGTTTTTGTAATAGTACAATAAAGAATATTCATTCATTCTTTATTTTTTCAGGCTTTTCTCAGGTGTCTCTCTCGCACGCGGTAACTTCCATGGTCCGTATGGCGCCACGTGGTTACACTGCTTCAGCAGATGCTTACCTAACTCCCCATATTCGAGACTATGTCAAAGGATTCGCAGGTAGGGTACCAATTACCTGTGCGGAGTCGTGGAGGATTCCATAAATGGGGACCTCGCGGCTTCTCATTAAGCAGTGTAGAAGGTATTCGCAAGATTTTTTTAGCGGATACTATGCCGTAAAGCGCCCGTAAGAGTTGCTGGTCCTCGGTGGGCAGCCACTGGGGGGTTCGTAAGACTTGCGGGAGCCAGGTGTGAGGTCCGTTCGGCGGTGTGCCTCTTAAAGGCGCCGTCGTCTGTAAACAGTATTTTTTACCTGCGTTATAAAAATAAGGAAAAGGGTACCAGTTACCAAATTATTCTTGCCAAAAAACACATAAGATACAAAATTTTTACAGCTGTTAAATTTATGAGACAAGTACTGGAATTTATTTTTATTATTAAATTTTTGCATAAGGCAGTTGTCATACAATGAAAAAGTACAACTGACCCTAGACCCTATATGCTGTAAATATAGCCTGTTTTTAGGAATTCAGATCCTTCCAATAGGCTCTATGGCATTATTTAACGTACTTATTAAATTAAATGATTACATTCTGATGTTATAGTTTTCTTCAACATTGTAAAGATAGTTATTTTATTTTTGGTTTATTTTTTTCAGAACGTAAATTTTGTTATTATGTACCATTAATTTACCATACGTCCGAATTATTGTGGATTTCCGCATGTTTAACCTTTTCGCGGCTTTCCCGGCTGCGTCGTGTGTGTGTGTGACGAACTTGCAGCGCCTATAGCCTAAAGACGTTAGCGATACAATAAATGTCATTCGCGCCGCTGTCGACCCTGACCCCATCCCCTGCCTCGGGGAGCCCTGGAACCTTGCCCACTTACAGAAACATGTAGTAAAGTCAAAGGGGAAGATCTTCCTCCGAGCTGGATGATTTTAGCTCGGTGGCCGACTGATGTTAGTCGGGCATTGTTTTAATGAAATGTTAGCCTCCGAATTTCTTTTGCGTGATGTAGGCATTCCATACGTTGTGAACGCAGCGCCAGTGGCGCCATCTCTTGAGGAGGCGAGTGACTATTTCCTCCATGTTGTTTATATGTGGTGCATGTAGATGTCGCCGCCACAAACACAAAACTACTAAAAGGCAGTGTTATTCTACTGTGATCTTCTGTAAGATGGAGGTTACTTTCCCACACGGGCGCTTCAACTCGAGCGAATTTATGCCCTACCTCTCTTGAATCTATTGCAACGGCTCCCATAGGGATTCTATGTTAGGCTGTTATAAATTTTCTAAACATTACCACTGTTTGCAGATGGCTTCACTGATGGACTGAGAGGCACCAATGTGTTGTTCATGCAATCGGACGGCGGGCTAACACCCATGAATTTGTGAGTTGTGCTTAACTTCCGTTATTCACCCTTGAAAATAATTTAATTGAAAATTAACGCACGAATTCGTGGCGGGTCACTAGTATTCTAATAAGTCTATTTTTAGTTAATTGTCTTATTTTTTGTACTTTATCTACTCAAAGCATAATACGCCAAAGCTATCTTTTTCTCAAAAAAAAAAATATATAACGGAACGGAATAAGATCAGAGTTACACGATTGACAATGAGACCCGTTGTTGTTGCGCTAATTTGCAATATAAAAATATTGAGGTCAATAATTATGAGGCACCATTCATTTATTACGTAACAGTATTTTCTCTAATTTGACCTACCCTATTATTAGAAAAAATAAGAATAGACTGGCCTGCTCCCACCTGTTCAATATTTATTACGAATGAATCTTAAGGTAAAAGTTAATACATGTTTGGTTTATTTTATGTTTATTTTTCAAAGTGTCTTTTTTTAACGGCGCTGTGATGGTGGCGCAGCTCTATTGCCATGGAAATAGAAATCGTTTACCTAAATGCATCCGTGTGAATCACGGCATTCGCGCGGTTGCTCACGCATTCCAACAGTTTAATTGTAACTTCTCCCATTTTTGTGATCTTACGTAAGAACTAATGAGACTCCCTCCCATCCCTTTGTAAGAAAAAATAAGACATGGTCGACCCCCCCCCCCCCTCCCCCTGATTCGATTTACATAATAAATGAATGCCCCCTGATTTAAATTATCTAATCTTTCAAGTTGGACTAATATCATAATATAAACCGAGAGCCTTCCAACAGGATCGGTATTTTTGAACTAAGTTCAAAAATTCAAAATTCAATTTCGTTTATTCAGTCTAGGCTGTTACAAGCACTTGTGAATGTCGAAAAGCTACGCCATCAGTTCGCAAATCTACGGCGGGAGACCTTGTACTGAGAAGAACCGGCAAGAAACTCAGCAAGGGCTGTTTTTTTCTCCCTGTATTATATAGTTCTTTTAATATCACGCGATCGATATAATAGTATTTAATTATTGCTACAGTACAGTACGTAAATACAGTATTTTACTTATATGGTTATTTTATTCAAGGTTTAACGGTTCCCGCGCCATTTTGTCCGGTCCGGCTGGAGGGGTGGTGGGATACGCGATGACGTCATACCAAAAGGAAACAAAACTACCAGTTATAGGTAAACCAGTGTGAAAGATAGAGATGATTCTCTCTAATCATAATTTATCTTCTTCATAATTAATCCTGATATTTTTTAGTTTAAAGCATTGAACTGCTAGATGTTAAATCTAAAGAAAATTCCACTAGTAAATACTCCACGCGGACTATGCAGCAGACGGTACTCGAACCCGCACTCTTCGCTATCCGGTTAAATACACTGACAATTATGCTACCGCGGCCCTGATGGCCGTGTCGAATTGGCTCTAGTGTTTCTTAAGCTGCATAGCTATTTATATATATAGTGATGTGTGCGCTGCTTCATTCCCCTATGCCTTATGCACCGCCTAATGTTAGGTTATGTAAGAAGTAAAGAAGAGTTTCTCTTCGGATGTATGCTCCGTGCACACATTTTTTTTGTTTGAAGCAGTATTATGGCAAGGTGGTCCCATATTAGTTTAGTGATAAATAGATCTGAGTGTCCATTTAAAGTATGGCACCGACTACAAATATTGATTCGATAGGGAACAGTAAGTCAATTTTGTATGGCTACGTATATTGGCCTGAGCAGACGAAGGTCTTTTGTCCGCGGAGGACAAAGTCCCTGAACCCTGAAGAGAATATCTGTCGAGGACATGTCACGGACTCATTCAGCTCACACGATGTGCGAACATTTGTCGCCAGAAAATTTAGAAAAGAAGTAAATATCCTCAGATTATGTTGTGCTGTAATTAACATGAAGTTCCAGAAAACGAAGAGATGTTTTAAAAAGTATACGTATTTCTTCAAGTCGTATCGAGCGTGCAACGCGGACTATAGTTCGCCGTGTGTGCTGCGCCTGTCATATGAGTACTTTCGGAGACTCCTACGTACTTTTATTCTGTATCTTTTTTTTTTATAGATAGGTCCGACAAATGACTCCACCCCATCTGATGCTAAGTGATGGTGAAGTCCAGACATGAACCGCAGTTCTACCTGCCACACCAGCCACCCTCACCTTGCCGGCCTGCATGTTGCTTCTTCACGCCTCTTTTAATGGGTCCCAGGTTGTAAGAAGGAGGGACACGTGAGCAGATGTCTTCAGTTGTTCGGGGAACTCTATGCAGTCGTAAGCGATCTACTTCGGCGGAAAAATAAGTGCTTGAACAAAAGTCCTTCGCCTGCGCAGGCTTAAGCGTTGTTTTTGCTCAGCAATGTATAAGATAATATTGTTTTGTCCAGGGTTCGATATGGGCGGTACTTCGACAGACGTCTCTCGATACGCTGGATCCCTGGAGCACGTGCATGAAGCTACCACTGCTGGAGTCACTATACAAGCTCCACAGCTAGGTACGTGAATTTGAAATATAACTTGTATTTATTGGTCTGTGGTACTGCTAACAGCTAGATCAAATCTTAGCGTAGATCAAATTCCTAGCGTAGCTCCAATTCCTGGCGTAATCCAAGTCCTGGCGTAGCCCGAAGTCCTGGCGTAGTCCATCCATCTGTGCTTATTTTAAATCCGGCTCGAAGGACCAACTGTTGGGTTTCGAAAATGGATCCGGCTCGAAGGACCAAAATGTCGGTGATGAAAGTGATGATGATGATGAAGGTGATGAAGATCTTCTGTCCTCGGATCGCTGGTACGGTATGTAGGTTTCCGGATTTAAAATGCTGGTTGTTGCTTTACTACTTCCTTTATTCTTCTGGCTAGTTGTTCACACGATTATTGTTCCTGGTTGACTACAATTTGCCTTACAAATGTTTCGTCTTATATATTAATTTGGCCCCGTCCGGAGCCATCGACCAATCACAGCGCCCACTTTGATACGCATACCCCACGTGTCCTTTTTTAAAGTGCGCCTTCTGATTGGCGGTTCAGCACGCGACCATTTCTCCGTCTCATGATACCCCGCCCCTTTAAAGTAGGCCTTGTGATTGGTCGGCACGTTTTTTCTTGGCTTGGTGCACGGCTGTCTTCAACAATGCGCGACTAATAGAGATTCTATTTCTATTTTGTTGGTAGCTCTTTTCGAGACTTAAAGTACGGTTTAGCGGCCAACTTCATGGTGTTACTTTGGTGTTACAGTAATGCGCGTGTAATGTATGTATTATAGATGTTATAAATTACTTTCAACCTTAATACTAAGTAATAAGATTGGTTTTGTCAACAAAGTTAATATTTTATATTGAAGGTATCCACAACTGTTTTTGTTATAATTTTATAAGGTGTCATCCTTCCTTCTTGAATAAACCGTTGTACAAGACGAACGTGTTTTCATTACGGCAACTCACAAACAGTTCATTGGCGACGATTTACGAAACCCTAGTGCGGAAGTTTAAAATAGTGAAAAATGTCAGTCGGGAAATTGGAATATTTTGACCACCAGGTGGATAATTGGACATTATACGTCGAAGGATTGGAGCAGTATTTTATTGTGAATAATGTCAAAGAAGAACACAAAGTGCCCACGTTGATTACGGTGATGGGCAGCGGCAGTTATGAGCTACTGGTAACATTATGTACACCTAGTAAACCTGCAAAAAAGTCATTCGTCGAACTGGTTACCTTGATGCAGAATTACCTTCAACCGAAGCCGAGCATATTAGCGGAGCGATTCAAATTTCGTCAACGGATGCAACGCAATGGCGAAACGATCGCGGAGTACTTGGCCGGTCTAAAGAAATTAGCAAAGTACTGTGACTTCAACGAAGAGATTGAAAATAATTTACGAGATCAGTTTGTTTGTGGATTGCATAATGATAATATTAGACAAAGATTGTTCGTGGAAGAAGCGGTGACATTTACGAAGGCATTTCAAATCGCCGTATCGATGGAGGCGGCTCAGCAGGACGCGGCGGCAGTGCAGATGCGGAGTACCACGCACACCAGCAATGGCGAGCGGGAGGGCCGGTCGAACACGGTGCATCACGTGACCGCCACGCGCGGGCCGCGTGCTCGGGGCTTCGGTGATGGCGCGCAGTGGAGTGCCGGCCGAAGGGATGCGCGAGTTTACGATGCCCGGGCCGCGCGGGATAGACAGACGGCGGCGGGAGCGTTTTCATCAGCGTATAAAACGGGCAGTTGCGGGGCGTGTGGAGCGGCTCACGATACAAATAGATGCAAATTCTTAATGTATACCTGCAGAGTTTGCAACGAAGAAGGGCATTTAAGAAAAGTGTGTCCACGTTTGCGGAGGAGGGCTACAGTACATACTATGGAGGTAAATGAAGAGGGCAAGGAGGATGCTGTGCAACCTTTAGAGGTACATATAAATAATTTTAGTAGTACTTATAGTTATGATTTTTATAAGCCTCTAATGACTTGTATTGAAGTAGATAATAAAAATATCCAAATGGAAATTGATACCGGAAGTGCTATTTCCTGTGTGAGCTATGATTTTTACAAAAGTAAATTTAATGATTTACCATTATTGACAACCAATATAGTGCTATGCTTTTATACTGGTATTAAAATTGTTCCGATCGGGAAAATTAGGCCGACTGTCAAGTTTAGAAATAAATGTGTCTCATTAGATTTGTTTGTTGTGAAACAAGGCAAAAATCCTTTGTTGGGTCGGCAATGGATATACGAATTAGGATTAAATGTTGCCGATTTACATTGTAATTTTGTTAGAACTAGTACTACGGCATTAAGTATGGATTCGTTAATTTCCAGATTTAGTGATGTGTTCGAAGAGGGTCTGGGTCGTTTCACTGGTGGTGCGGTGTCGCTGCGTGTGCGCGAGGGCGCGCGGCCCGTGTTCCGGCGCGCGCGGCCGCTTGCTTACGCGCTGCGTGAGCCAGTGGAGCGGGCGCTTGAACAGCTGGAGCGGGACGGCGTCATCGCGCCCGTTGACACTTCGGACTGGGCCACGCCAATTGTACCCGTTATAAAAAAGGACGGATCTATACGGATTTGCGGTGACTATAAAATCACATTAAATAAATGCCTAGAAGTGGACCGTTTTCCCTTACCTAAGGTAGAAGATTTATTGGCTAAGTTACATGGGGGGGAAAAATTTTCGAAAATAGATTTGTCGCAGGCTTATGCACAATTTGAACTTGACGAACCCTCTAAAATGTACACTGTGATCAATACACACAAAGGTCTTTTTAAATATAACCGATTAATCTATGGTCTTTCGTCTAGTCCGGGTATTTTTCAAAGGAAATTAGAACAAATGTTTGCCGACATGCCTACAGTAGGGGTATTTTTAGATGACGTGATTTTAACAGGAGTCGATAATAATTCTCACGTAAAAACATTATACCAAGTTTTGGAAAGGTTAAAACGTTTTGGGTTAAAAGTAAAAAAAGAGAAATGTACTTTTTTCGCAGAATCGGTGACTTATTTAGGTTATGTAATTAGTAAAGAGGGTGTACATACTTGCCCGCAAAAGTTGAGTGCGATTAATAAAGCACCAGTCCCGAAAAATATTTCCGAGTTGCGTTCGTTTTTAGGCTTGGTAATGTACTACGCTAAATTTGTAAAAAATATAAGCATGCTGTTATCTCCTTTATATAAGTTGTTACGAAAAGATTCTAAGTTTGTTTGGACGGATCAGTGCTCAGAGGCTTTTACGAATGTCAAGCAGTTGCTAGTTTCAAGCGAATTGCTAGCGCATTATGACCCAGGATTGCCAATTATTCTGACGACGGACGCTAGTGCACGCGGGGTGGGGGCGGTCATATCACACAGGATGCGCGACGGCCGCGAAAGACCTGTCGCTTATGCATCCCGAACGCTTAGTGCGGCTGAAGTAAACTACTCACAGATACAAAGGGAAGCATTGGCTATCATATTCGGTATCACAAAGTTTCCTCAATATTTGTACGGCCGGCATTTTTTGTTAAAGACTGATCACAAACCGCTCGTCAGTATTTTTGGTGAAAAGGCAGGTATACCTACCATGGCGGCCAGCAGGTTACAGAGATGGGCAGTTATTTTATCAGGGTATCAATATGATATCGAGTATGTACCGACATTAAAAAATAGCGCGGATGCATTATCTAGGCTACCTATCGAAAACAGCTGTGTGGAAAGGGAAGTAATAACATATGTAAATTTTGTTCAGGATTTTTTACCAATAACAAAAGATTTAGTTTGTGAAAAAGTTAAAGAGGATAAAATTTTAACGGGAATTAGTATGTTTTTACGTTCAGGGTGGCCAAATAAATGTCCAGCATCGGACATAGAACCTTATTTTTCTAGGCGAAATGAATTATATTTAGACTCGGGATGTATCATGTGGGGATATCGGATGGTAATACCATCCGAGCTGCGTGATTGTATTTTAAAAGAACTGCACACGGGACACATGGGTATAGTAAAGATGAAAAGCATAGCTCGTAGTTACGTTTGGTGGCCCGGAATAGACGCGGATATTGAGCGAACTTGCCGAGAGTGTGTAGTGTGTGCGCTAGAGGCGCCCGCTCCGCCGCACGCGCCCCCTAGCCCGTGGCCTTATCTCGCCGAGCCCTGAAGTAGACTCCACATAGACTTTTTGGGACCTTTTGACGGGTATACTTTTTTTGTAGCGGTGGATTCGACAACAAAATGGATTGAGGCGTATAGAATGTCTCACCAGACAGCCAGGGACGTAATTAAAGTTTTAAGGGAAATATTTTCTCGATTTGGTCTCCCGAAAGAAATAGTGTCTGATAACGGACCCCCATTCACTAGCAAAGAAATAAGTAATTTTATGGAACATAATGGTATAAACCACACCTTCACTCCAGTGTACCATCCGTCATCGAACGGGGCAGCTGAAAACGCGGTAAAGCTCTGCAAAAAAGCTCTAAAGAAAGCTTTACACGAAAAAATTGATTTTGACACAGCGCTGCAGTCTTATCTTTTTGTATATCGAAACACGGTTCATAGTTCAACTGGTCAAACACCAGCTATGTTGTTGCAACATAGGAATTTACGATCTAGATTAGATCTTCTTTGCACTGCAAAGAATAATAATGCTGTAACCAACGCACAAAAAGCGCAGGAAAATCAGATAAAAAATGCCGGCGGGGTCCCGCGTAGTTTTGAAGTAGGAGAGGAGGTATGGGTTAGAGATTTTGGCACGGGGGATGATAAATGGTCTAAGGGTAAAATAGAAAAAAAAATAGGTTCCCGTAATTATAGTGTAGCTCGGGAAAACGGTCAACTTATTAAGAGGCACATAGATCAGATACAAAGGAGATCGCAGATTTCAATACTTTCGTGCCCCAGTTCGGGTCCAACTGATTGCGTTAGCGCGCCAGCCGCCGCGCCGGCAGTGAACGATCCGGACCCCTGTGTGCGGGTCAGAAAACCGGTAGAAAGATTCGGCAACCCCGTGTTTTATTGAGTATTGTTTTTTTTTTTTGGTCACAATATAGTTGTAATTATATTTTCTTTTGTACTTCATTATTATTATTTTTTTTTGGTTTGTTTATCATTGAATAAGTGGTAGGGTGTAATGTATGTATTATAGATGTTATAAATTACTTTCAACCTTAATACTAAGTAATAAGATTGTTTTTGTCAACAAAGTTAATATTTTATATTGAAGGTATCCACAACTGTTTTTGTTATAATTTTATAAGGTGTCATCCTTCCTTCTTGAATAAACCGTTGTACAAGACGAACGTGTTTTCATTACGGCAACTCACAAACAGTTCAGCGCGCACCTTAAAATTTCACCTTCATATTTTTTTCATAACGCGCCTAAAGAAGTATAACTACAAAAACTGTTATGCAAGAAAGTTCAACAAAATTCAACGATCATACCATTATTTCATAATCAAAATTTTGCTAAATATGAAAATATTTTTTAATTAGCGCTATCACTTCTTTACGTTGGTTAAGTCTGGTAAAAAACCTGTCAGAATATTATAATATTGCAGTTAAATAAATAAAGATTTAAAATAAAACGTCTAAATTCCTTTCCCATACAGATATTAACACAGTGGCGGCGGGTGGGGGTTCCATGCTATTCTTCAGATCGGGGCTGTTCGTGGCAGGGCCGGAGTCAGCGGGGGCGGACCCAGGGCCCGCGTGTTACAGGAAGGGGGGCCCCCTAGCTGTTACCGATGCCAACCTGTTACTGGGTGAGTAGAAGAAACCATCGAGGACTGGGGACAAAAACAGCTGCAGACTAAGCGAACGTGCGGCTAATAATAGGGTGTTTCACAGTGACAGATTTTACTATTCTGGGAGAACAAACAATAACATTTCTAAAAAAACATTAAATAGAAATTATTTTTTGTTCAATGGCAATGTGTGCGAAAACGCCTGGGATTGGCGTAGATTAAAATGATGTTACGCGCTATATCGTTTGACGTTTTAATGACGGTCGTGTGACGTCACATGTTAGTCAGACACCATAATGTCTAGAGAACCGTTATCGCGGCAACTTGAAAATGGAATTTATTATTTACTTTTTTGTTTCTGAAATTCTCAACAGAATAATGAATATCCACTTTTTATGGACTACGTAAACTTAAGTGAATAACGTGAGGTTGTTTCCTAGAACTTGTCAAAAACAACAACTGCAAAAAAACTGACAGATAAGTATGAAAGAGACGAAATGAACGTGCCGCCAATAATTTTATAGTCGTATTATGGTAGCAACACTGGCATGAAATTGACAAATCATTCGTAAGGGACAAAGTGATGGTGCTGTGGCGGCGACATCTATATGCCCCAAATATAACTAACATGGAGGAAATAATCACTCGCCTCTTGAAGGGATGGCGCTACCTGCGCTGCGATCACAATAGTATGGAAGCCTACATTGCTCAAGTGAAATTCGGAGGCTAACACTCCATATATACAATGTCCGACCAATATCAGTCGAGCCGCGGCCCTCTAGCTATAATCATCCAGCTCGGAGGAAGATCTTCCCCTTTGGCCTTCCTATTATGAATACCTGTAGCAGAAATGCAGGGCCGTTCCAAAGGGTACGTGCTCGATATATGAAAGTACTTCGTGGCTGTGTTTAAAACAAGAAATATTGAAATGATCCTCAAAAAATAATAGATATAAAAATTATAGAATACCTAAAAATACAATTGGTAACCTCAAGGTGAGGTTACGGTACCGCTTTTATTATTTTTTAAGATCAATTCCAATTTTTTCCGAACATTAAAATGTGTGCCTTTTATAATTAAAGAATTGATCATATGTATTTTTATTATTCATTTTTAGTTATTTCATCGTAAAATGAGTAAAGTAGAAATAAATAAATAATAATTTCAATAATTATTATTTAAACGAATTTAGCCGGTGATCATGCGCATTGACTTGCAATGCAACTGCAAGTCAATGCGCATGATCACCGGCTAAATTCCTGGATGTTTCTGGATATAGCCAATATTATATGGTATAGCTCTAATAATGAATGGATCAAATACATTTTCACATTTCTTTTTTTATTCACTGCCATTTATCAGCGTATTCTCCTAACTAAATATTTATCCCTAGGGCGCTTACTACCTGAATACTTCCCCAAAATCTTCGGTCCCAACGAGAACGAGCCGTTGGACCGCGCTGCGACGGAGTCTGCATTCAGAGAGATGACAAATGAAATAAATGTATTCTTGAAGCAGGATGGAGCGAAGACGGTGAGTGGGTATTTACATTATCTAAAAATATAGAAATTAAGCCCTATTCCCCTTTAGTCATGCGTGGCGTTGCAGGCGTTTTTAGGATTTTTTAAATATTTACATCAGGCAGTACGACTGTCGGGTCTGCTAGTAATTTTGTATAAGAGTTCGACATGGATCTTTATTAATGTGAGTGTCTGTTCAAGGAGGGCGCTGCTGCCTATGTAAATGACATACAAAATATGATTTTTACTGATGACATGTAAATGGTGTGCATCAAGCAAATCTTTTTATACAGCGTGTACAAAACAGAGCTCGATGATGCAAGTGCTTGCCGCGTTCAGTCTGCGATCGTAGAAGTTCAGCGACTTTTGCAATGGCCAGTCTTAGGAAGCATGGTCAAAAATCTTACCATCACGAGCACCTCCGGGCCTCGGAAGGCACGTTAAGCGTTGGTTTGGCACACTCCTCCTAAAGCAAAATGTGCATAAAAAGAGGCGGGTGCTAACGACTGCAGATACAGCCGGGATCTGCAGTCGTTAGCACCCGCCTCTTTTTATGCACATTTTGCTTTAGGAGGAGTGTGGGATTTTAGATAATAAAAGTTTAAGCATATGAATATATTAAAAGTTTAAGTGTAGGAGTTTTGAAAACATATATTTTTTTTATACAGGGGGCGGTCAAAAGAATGATTAAGTACAGCTGATTAAATAGGATATTGCATATTGATAATACAACGGATTTATAATATTCGTATTAAGTACAACTTTCTTTTATTTTTTTCTTAAACCTATTCCCCCTTATTAATAAACAAGGAATAAGCTTAGACTAGTTACTCCGTGTTTTGTACATATCACTCAAGTGCCATTTGTCTGTCAATTAGCGGAGTCAAAACATAGAGTAACTAATCCAAGCGTAGTCTTCGTTTATTAATATTGGGGATCAGGTTTATGAAAACGGCGCTCACTTTGTTTGCGTTTATTTCTGTTTAGATGACAATGGAAGAGGTAGCCATGGGTTTCATAAATGTTGCAAACGAAGCGATGTGCAGACCTATCAGGTAAGTCAGGACTATAGTAATATACACGTAAATCGTATTATAGTATTATTATACACTATAACACAAATTTACATTTGCTTATGTTCACAAGCAACTAGCGACCGCAACTCTGCATTTAAAAAAAGTTTAGTATGTAATTTATTTTTATTTTATTTATTTGTTTATAATCAGGCAACGTAGGCCCATATATAAATACCTTATAGTCTAACATATAAACAGAAAACAGGTAATACATTATGTTAGTAAATAAAAAAAATATAACTATGTTAGTACAAAACTAATTAACGTAAGTAATGAATGCTGAAACTGTTGTGTTTGTAATTTGTACAGTGCTATTTCATTAACTTTAATACTTCCTCGTCGTTTACATTTTGACTCTTTGTAGAAAGTAGATGTACACACTTTCCTGTTTCTTAAAAAAGTATAACAAAAAGATCGAAAACCTCGAACAACCGATCTACCCGGGTTTTGATTACTCTTAGACCTGAAATCCCGGATTTTAATTCGATTGGAGTTGTTCGCATTTTTCTTTGTTTTCTCTTCTGGTCCAAGCCTAGAAACTTGGTCATGTAGTAATTTGTCAAAAAAAATGTGTGAGTGAAAACGTTTTATTTTTAATTTTTCAAATCTTTTATTAAGATATCATAAACTATTAAACAACCCGGATTTTCACGACAGTCATTATAATTCATTGTTTTTTCACACTGAAATTGCTCGTCGCGTCTCGCAGTTAGTCAGCTCTTAGTCTTAGCAATTAAAAAAAAAGTAAGTGTACTTATGACAACACGACTGAAGTGAAAGTTCTTTAGCTTCAATGATCTGAAAATCATAAGATTTGTTGATAGAAAAAAAACCACCAATCCGCGTTGGATCCGTTATCACCCTCCAAGCCATGATGTATTTCACCCACCATTCATGTATTTTGTAATTTTAATGCGAAATCGTAACATATTCGCCAGTTTACCCCCCAAGTCAAGCGTGCCTAAAGAAGCTTCACTTCAAAAAGGGTTTTTACCGTTTGCTTAGCTGCGATCGTAGTTTATATTACTACATTGAACATAACTATTGTTTGCACTTATTTATTAGAGCGTTGACAACGGCCCGTGGCTACGACGCGGCGCAACATGCCCTGGCTTGTTTCGGGGGCGCGGGAGGCCAACACGCGTGCTCTGTCGCCAGGCAACTGGGTATTACTACGGTGTTACTTCACAAATATGCGGGTAAGTTTATGTTACTACGGTGTTTTTTTAAATGGTTGAATTTGTTTCTGTTCGTGCCCGCATAAGCCCCATTTATATAAGAAAAAGGAAGTACAAAATCATAGCAAAATTCAACCTTTTACGTGATTATTCAACGAGTGGCGCCATCTAGTGGATTGAATATGTAGCGCGCCTCGTACAAAACGTCAATAGCTGTCTATTCCAAACCCAACCCATCACGTGCTTTGAGGATTCGCCATAGATATCGCTTGTGTAACTATTCATTCAACTATTTTACCAGCAATACCGTAATGACTTGCTAAAAATCATGTCTTGAACTGTTAACTGTTAAATGAACTCCATCGATTACATAAAGGGAAATACGAAAATCACCGAGTTTTATTGTAGAAGACTCCAATTCTACGCTTTGGGCAGTTTCTATTAGGTCCCGAAAATGAATCCACCTCACCAGTGGTGGAGTCCAGACGCGAATATAGCTGGTGCAGCAGTTTTACCTACCATCAACCATCTCCACCATGCCGACTTGAAATTTGCTTTTTTAGGTTTTTTTTAAGTTAATTTGTAGGAATAGGTCACAGTAAGTCGGTGACAATGTAGGCCAGCGCGTGTGCTCCTCTGGAGGAAAGGAGAAAGTGGGATGATACTCCTCAGAATTCTTGCTGTGGTATAGACCTTTGCTTGACCTTTGTATGGAGGGTAACACGCATGCTCTGTCGCCAGGTAACTGGGCATTAATACGGTGTTACTTCACAAGTATGGGGGTAAGATAACTGCGTGCTTTTCGCTTTTGCCCGTACTTCACATGGCTATTCGTATTTGCTATTTGTATATCTCTTTTTCATCAAATTAATTAGCATTAGGATTACTTGTGTACATACATTCATGATGGTATATCATCTCGAGGCATGTAGCCAATTTATCGGCACTTCTAGCGAAGCTTAAGTTATAATTTTTATGTCATAGATAAATAAATATTTCCAACACTCACAACAATTAGACTAGCTGCAAAATAAGTGCTGTAAGGCTTGTGTCATGGGATACTAGGGTATAGTACATATATAAGAATATTTATATAGAAATACATATTAAATATCCATGACTGGAGTACTAATGCTCGTATTCATCACACAAACATCTGCCCCCACCGAGATTCGAACCCGGGACCTCTCGAGACGGCGACCCCAAAAACCCCGGCGTACAAACCACTCGGCCACGGAGGTCGTCAAGATTTTATATAAGATAGACATGGACTGAGCGTCCTCTGTCAATAGGGATGATGACTAAACTTTTTTTTTCACCTAGCAGGTAGATTATCATACAATCATCTGTAGGGTATGGGTTAAAGAGAGGTTTCGTTAAATCGAGATTTAGCAAATTCGTTGTAAGTGGGGCGAGCTCATGCAATCACCAGCTATTTTACCGGTGTAAATTAGACGTTTTAGTTTAGCCTAATATTTTTATTTATTAGATAAAATATAGAGGTGGTTGTTTTTCATTAATTTAAAATGAAAAAGAAATTTAACATTAAAAGGAAATTTTAATTTTTTGTAAGTTTTTAATGTAGCATTGCTCATACCTTGCAATTTTATGCAACTTAAACAGCTTGTATCTTACCTCTCGATAAGCTATAGCATACAAAAAATCGCAGATAGTAAAAGTCTATCAATGAACTTAAAAAGTAATGTACATGATATGAAAGTTTCAAAGGAGCAAAACGCTGGTGTGATTCAGAATGGTACAGTGCCATCTATCGAGCCGACCGCACACTAACAGAACTGTACTTGTTTCTTTCACAATTTCGCATTTACTTATAAATTCAGATCAGAAATTCAATTAATATACCAGTTTTTAACTATTATAATTTTTTGCCTCAGACATCAGGCGGGACTTCAAACCCATGCAAGTCGAATTCAAGATATAATCTAAAATATTTCACCAACACTGTTTTAATTCAGAATCAAATTCATTTTATTATTATGTAATTTAAATTTTATTTTGATTCCTATTTCGCAGAGTAAAGTTAATTTAATAAAATTTCAGGTATCCTGTCAGCATATGGCATGGCTCTGGCCCACGTGGTGCATGAGGCTCAAACGCCATGTGCTCTGAAATACTGTCCAGAGAACTTTAATGAGCTGGATCGACAGTTAGATGTATTGTCAGCCGTGTGCAGAGACAAGCTTCGAGCACAGGTAACTATAAGATTTATTATCTACTAACGGCATCCCGTGACTTCGTCCGCGTAAAACTTAAGTTTTTGAAAATCCCTCAGGAACGTAACACATTTTCGGGATGAAATTTATCCTGTCTCTTTCCAGGTTATAAGCGATAAATTTCATCCCGAAAATGTGTAAAATTTCATTAAAATCTATTCAGCCGTTTGTGCGTGATTGAGTAAGAAACATACAACACACACAAACTTCAAAATTTTGTAATTTATAATATGTGATATGGTCTACAATTCTTTGTAAAGTTAATAGATATGCACATTGTCAGGAAATACGTTGCGCCCGATTGTGACATGGTTCTCTGAACTACTAAGTTTAGAGAATTTGAAAACAGTCTATCCTTCAAACCTAAGTGTCGCCGCACACGAGCCACACGCCACAGCCACAAACGCCGCCACGAGAAGCTAAAAGCGGCTACTAAAGTGTCTGAAGCGCGTGACAGCGGCCAAATAAGGTAAGGGAGAGAGGGGTGGGGAATCACGCGAGTGACGTGTGGCGGCGTTTTGTATCGGCGCATTAAGTGGCCGGTGCGGGCTACAAGAAGCGAGCAACGACGATTTGTAGCGTGTGGCGGCCACCGGCGTACAGTGTGTGGCGGGTCCATATGAAATGTATGAAAACTACAAGAAATATGCCGGTGGCGGCGTTTTGTGGTTGTGGTCGGTGGCCCGTGTGCGGCGACACTAAGAGGGAATGAAACGAAGAAACATCTGTCAAATTTAGTTTCAATTCTATAAGAACGTTTTTGGATCATGCCAATTAATTTATTACTTGCATTCTGGTCTTTGATTGTGAAATTTAATCATCTTCAATTTTATTGATCCGTTGTTGCTGAAAATAACATGGTATAAACTGAGGAGCTGGCGATCAAAACGGTAAAATTACGCATCTGGTCAGACTACTTTCTTTTTGCAGTCCGGAGGTTTTCGGCCCGTTGAATTTGAATTTCAACTCATTTTCAATCAATACCACCAAAAACGTTCTTGTAAAACAGTGTGAAATTACTAAATTAATATATAAAAAAACACGCCTAAAGTTCACTGTAGGTATTTCATTCAGTCTTTTACTGCTCCTGTAAAATTTAAGTTTATCTAATCATACCGTTTTGTTCGCCAGCTCCTCACTATTAGATGCTATATTATTTATAAACTTCTGTTTACTGCATTCCAACACTGCACCGCATTTTCTTGCATAAAGTCTTAAGATGTTTTTTTCACGTCTCTTATGTTGTTATAGTAAGGAGATAATGTTTATAATAATTAAAGTAGGCAGGCACGGCTTTTGTTTACATGAATACATTCTTCTTCTTTTTGGAAAATGGCGGTCCACTAGGATTTTGGCGGTGGATTTCGCCAGGCTCGAGTGATTCGGCTTGGTTGTCCAGTTGGAATTGACTTTGCTTCTCTCTTTTTTTTAATATGAATACATAATTGTCCAGGGTTTCGAAAAAACTCAAATAGTGACAGAGCCGTATTTGCACCTGCGCTACGCGGGCACAGACTGCGCGCTGATGGTGGCGCCATCTGACAAGAAAACCTCCACCGCTTGTCGATATGGAGACTTTTATGCTGCGTTTATTGATAGGTAAATAATTTAAGAATTACTAGTTTTTAGATATGTGAAATTCTGTATTTTTCATGAATTTGGCATTTATATTAAATATAATGTTAACTATAAAATTTATTGTAACTATATATGTATATTATAAATGATGAAATGGAAGGTGACTTCAGACGTATCTCTGAAGTCATTTTTCTAAATGACGACTCTGTATATAACAATACAGCCGATATTCTTGCCTGTTTTTCTCAGTACTAGGTCTCCCGTCGTAGTTTTGCTAACCGATGGCGTAGCTTCTTTACCTTCACAAGTGCTTGTAACAGCCTTGACTGAATAAATGACTTTTCATTTCATTTCAAAGTATAGTTTTTTTTATTTAAAGCAAATTTTGCAGGCGCAGTTTGAATACGGCGATTTATTTTAAGTATAAATAAAAAAAATGATTTTTGGAATTTAAATATATGACTTAAACTTTTTTACTCACACCAATTAGCCTAGCCCCAAAGTAAGCACTATAAGGCTTGTGTTATGGGATGCTAGGGTAACGGATAGAATACATATACTGTACATATATTTATATAAATATATATTAAACATCCATGACTGGAGTACAAATGCTCGTATTCATCACACAAACATCTGCCCCCACCGGGATTCGAACCCGGGACCTCTCGAGTCGGCGACAGCCATGAAACCCGGCGTACAAACCAATCGGCCACGGAGGTCATCAAGTTTTTAATCTAGGGAAGTCAATTTATATTGTAACGTAAGAGTGCAATTTATAGTAAGTAAGCAAAGCAAACCAATATACTCTAAACAACTTCGTTATTTAAAGTGTTTAAACCGATTTTTAGCTATAATTATGTCTTTTTAGCTGTAACTTCACTTGTTTTTACTTTAAGGCCGTATCCTGCTCAGTGTACGAACAATTCGTTAGTGATATTAATAAGTAAGTTCCTGACATACTATTATATTATATTATTTTAGGTATAAAAACGAGTTTGGCTTCACTCTATCATCTCGGGACGTACTTGTAGACGATGTACGCGTACGTGGAGTGGGGATGAGCCAAGTTCCAAGTGAAGTAGCGCCACCTAGCGGTAAAGATGTTAAACCGACACCGGAAAAGGTGATTTTCAATGTTTAACCAGTTTTAAGAGTCAATTTGACGTTTTTTAATTTTAATATTTTGGGTATTATTATTTTGTATTTATTATATTAATATTTATTGATTAATAATTTTATTTCAGATTGATGCACTGTATGAAATGTTATTTATAATCCCCCAATTATAATTAACTTGTGATAGTAAAGCTGTATCAGAGTATAACTTTGTGGGAAGTTGGTGCCTAAACTAAGCACATTTTTTTTTATATTTTCAAAGGCAGTGAAAGTGTACTTCGACGGCGGCTATCAAGACACTCAAGTGTACTTGCTACAGAAGTTAATGCCAGAACAAGTTGTGCCAGGGCCGGCCATCATTATGGACAGTCTGTCCACAATACTCGTGGAACCAGGTGCGTAATGTTATTGGTTATTGAAATCGTACATAACACTAGCTTTGAGAGTACATTGATAAGAAAATTTATGCATGAAGAATTAGAATTAATTTATTTGCTTTAAAATAGGGGTGCACTGGTGATGTTACAAATAATAAGTTTGGTCCATTCTGCCATTTACAATAGCATGCAAATATTTAACAATGCATTAATTACATTAATATTATTTCACATAACAGTAATAAATTCCTAAAATACAACGAAAAGCGAATTACAATAAATTATCGTTAGCAAAATTACAACTTTCATCTTAATCTACTAATTTATGTCAATCGAAATTATTGCAATAGCTAACAAAATAAATTAGTCGATTAATAATTTCAATTATAGAATAAAATTTCAATCAAAATATATGGAACGGGACTCGAACCCACTCACCGCTATCCATTTACAATTATCGCCAGCAAAATTACAACTTTCATCTTAGTCTACTAATTTATGTCAATCGAAATTATTGCAATAGCTAACAAAATAAAATAGTCGATTAATAATTTCAATTATAGAATAAAATTTCAATCAAAATATACGGAACGGGACTCGAACCCATCCACCGCTATCCATGCGGATGCACTGACCAATCATGCTACCGCGACCTGAAGGATCGTGTCGAATTTCTTTTAGTATTTCATAGGCTCCAAAGGAGCGGCATCTTTTCGCATTGTTGTAGGTAAGCCACTATGTCAAACGAAATACCTTTACAAGTATCAAACATCTGAGAGAAGAAATAGCAATTGTAGTTCATAATATTTTTACTTTTTTAATCATTTAATTGGTAGATGTTTGGTCAGTGCATCCGCCCAGATAGCGGAGGATGCGGGTTCGAGTCCCGTCTGTTGAATGGACCGTGTATTTTTTTCTAGTAAAAAATATCTTTAGATTTAAATATTAAATAAAACAAGTTTCAACGGGTTAGATGCATTGATTTTTATTTATTGACTATTTCCGTTCCAATTTTACGGTTTTCAATATTATCCTTATGATTTTTTTAACAGTGAATTTTTGATAATATTCTTCGTTTCATATTTATTCATTCCATAGATTGTCGCGCGGAAATAACCAAGTTTGGCGACATTCGCATCACCATCGGGTCTGGAAAGCCTAAGGCGGTGACAACGGACCTAGACTCCATACAGCTCAGTATATTCTCTCATCGGTTCATGTCGATAGCGGAGCAAATGGGGAGGTAATGTGAACCTTATTATGAAGGTTATATTACTCATTTTCGTACGTTGCCGCGCGAAAATAATCATGTTTAGCGACATTCACATCACCATCGGTAGGCCTATTCGCTAATGATTTATGACTGATGGAAGTGATAATCACCGAGCTATTTACTGATCCACTACTGCTTTATTTTAAAGCCACTTAGAATCTTCTCCCGAAAAGCATCGATGGATATGCAATTTTCTCATTAGTTACACACTGTAAGCCGTTGGCGGTGACTACGGACATCGATTCCATACAGCTGAGCATATTCTCTCAACGGTTCATGTCGATAGCGGAGCAAATGGGGACATAATGTGTGCTTTGTTGTTACGTAGAGAAACTTCATATTTTTTTATTAGGTAGGTAATAAGTATATTCTTGAACGAATGTAAAGGATTTTTTAAAATCTGTTTAGTAACTTCAGAGATTGCTTTCTTCTACAAACCAACTCAGACGTTACCTTTCCTCCTTCTGATCCATTCCTCTTTGAAATCCATAAAGTTTTTTTATGTTTTTATATTTGCTACTCAATCACGCAAATACGGATGAATGGATGTAGATGAAATTTGGCACATATAGAGTTAATTATCTAAATTGAGACATAGGATACTTTTTTCCGTTAAATGTTAGTTTTCTGCGGGATTCTTAAAAACTAACTATAACGTGGACTAAGTCGGAAGCGGAAGCTAGTAATATTATAAATGCGACAGTTTGCCTGTCTGTAACCTGGTCACGCTTAAAGCGCTGAACCGATTCTGATTCGTACACGAACACAGAATCTAAGTGACTTACTATTCGCAAGTGAAATTCTTTGCCCGCGCACGTGGTCCCCCTTCCTATAATCGGGGGTCCTTTAAGAGAGATGTGACGAAGCATGTCTGCGGGCCGGCAAGGTGAAGATGGTTGGTGTGGCAATTTATAACTAGGCTGCTGTACCAGCTATCTTCGCGTCTGGACTTTATCACCACTTAAGATCAGGTAGGGTAGAGTCATTTGCCAACCTAGCTATAAAAAAATGATAATTATGATTTGAAGAAAAGCTTTTAGATTAGTATTTATCTCAGAAATCATCCTTTAAGGGGGTGGAAAGGAGTGGAAGTTTGGGAATCCAATAAAACCACGCAGGCGAAGCCGCGGGCTCCGGCTACTTTTAATTAAAGGGTTTTTTTTAGAATTTTCAACAGTGGTTCAGTACTACCAGAGATTACTTCCTTCAATCAAACTATACCTCTTCACAACATTAAATATTTTGGTTTATTTGACAGAGTTCTCCAAAGAACGTCTATATCAGTGAACATCAAAGAACGGCTGGACTTTTCTTGCGCCTTGTTTGGCGCTGACGGCGGCTTAGTATCCAACGCACCTCACATTCCGGTACATTTGGGCGCTATGCAGGAAACGGTCCAATATCAGGTGAATAAGGAGTAAAACAGGCAATATTTTCTTATGACACGTCTCTGTGAACGAAATTTGATGATTATGTAAGTAAGTAGAAAAAGAAAGTTTTTTTTGTCCGTTGTGGCGATGATTTTTTTCGTTTGAAACATTATAGTATTAATGAAACAAATAAATATGACGCTTAGCGGACGCACTTTGACACGTCTATTAAATTAAATTTGAGGAGAGGCATTATTCAATTTAAATAGAATAGATAATCATAATATTTAGCCCGAATTGTTTTTTACAGTTAGTTTCAATGGACTGCAGTAAATAACGCCACACTACAATTTACTTTACTATTAAAACCACATAATGTAATGGTAATGTTATTTGTAATGGTATCTCCCTATTCCATCCATAGGGAAGGCCTGTGCCCCATCAGTGGGAACATTAATAGGCCGATGCTGATACTTATGAATGGTATTTTATTTTCAACACATTGTTATAAAGCGTGCGGTAAAATTATTACCGTATGCTCCGTATGTTTTACACCGAGCGTATCCTTTACGGTTTTTCAAAATTTCGCTGAAACCTCCTTGGATGTGCTTTTGATCTATATGTTTGATTCACTTTAATACTAAAAATAGAAAAAATCTGAAATATGTATATCTAAATAGCAATATGTATATCTAAATATCTAATTTTCACCACTAGCACGTGGCGCCACCAAGAATGGCTTAATTACTTAAAAAACTATAATGTTTTCTCGCAAATATGTTGAAAAAAATTGGATGATATTCCTGCGGAATTGGTATTTTCCAACTCGTGACTATGGTAAACCCTCGACTTCGTTTCGGGCTTACATTTGTCTACTTGTTTGTAATAACCAACTTACCGCACTAATATCATCAATAACTACAGGCAGTCCTCGTACTTACGGCATGTTAGGTTCTCGAAATACGCGACGTAAATCGAAACGTCGTAAGTCGACACATCCCCACGGACGCCGTCCCCACGGATATAGACCTGGCGACAAGTGAATTCTCCTATGCCGGAAATCGAAACAATTGACGTATGCTAAAGGAATAGTGTTAAAACATTGTTAGACGTACCTTGAAATGACGTAAATTGAAACGACGTAAGTCGAGGACTGTCTGTATAGTCTACTAAATATAGATTGCGTAAACTTAAAGATCCAATTGTTCAAGATGAAAGTTCGCGGAGATTCTATGAAACCGGGTGATGTTTTACTGGCGAACCACCCCAAGGCTGGGGGGTCCCATTTGCCCGATCTCACTGTCATCACACCCGTGTTTTATGGGTGAGTAAATACATTATTATAAATATCATTATTTACAATATCAAAGCTAAAGAAACAATAACCTTTGTACATCATTTGTACTGTATTTCAGGAATGTTTCAATCATAGAGATTGACTAGACTAGACATGGAAAATGGATTTGCATTTCCTGTACATCTTTTGCAAAATAAAACTGGACAGACAAGTGTGCGAGAGTCGAAGCGATCGTGCGGTCAATAATTCTCTGTCTATGGTTTCTATAGAAACTTAAACGCTTGCTACATTACTAATAAACAAAGAATAAGCTTTGAATGCTTGAGGAGCTTTATGGCTCATTGATCAGTGTCTTTGGTCTGCGATTGTGGAAGTAAAGCAACTTCTCCAATGACGGTCATAGGATGGGTGACCAAAAAATTTCTTATCTCCAGTTCTTAAGCTTTTGGTCCTTGCTGCATCTGCAGTCGCTAGCAGTGTTAGAACCCACCTCTGCGCACTGGGTTTGCGTGGTGGGTCATGGCTTATTCTCTTTATTACATCCGTAGAGACGGCCTGTGCCCCAGCAGTGGGGACGTTTATAGGCTGATGATAGGCGAATATACGAAAGTTTGTTCTCCTCCTATTCACATATCAACAATCACTTAGACTGTCTCAAATGTGAATGTTTAGTTTATGTATAATACTATTGTAACTACATATGCTTGAACACAAGGTTTGAACGGTTTTTATAGATGACGCAGCAACTCTAATGTTTTTTTTTACTGCGGCAACACTGGATCTTAATATAGGTTTCTATCGTCCATCCCTACTCTATACTCGACTACGAATTTTGTATAACGCAACGATCTTTTTTCGTCCTATTACAACACATGCTTATATATCTCCAAATAAAAGCTTAAAGACCTTAATCAGGCAAATTGTTATATGTAAATTCTTCTTGAACAGCTGTTGAACGCACGAATTACTTTTCCGTGGTAGCAAATAAGCTGTTTCAGCTATAATAAGTATACTGTTTTCTGCCACCGTTAGTTCGAACCCCCGCCCCATATTCTTCGTGGCGTCGCGTGGCCATCACGCGGATATCGGCGGTTTGACTCCCGGCTCGATGCCCCCGCACTCCACCAGTCTCACGCAAGAGGGCGCTGCTTTCAAGTCAATGCTGCTTGTAGACGGGGGAAAGTTTAACGAAGACGAACTGACCAAGGGTATGTCACTAAGGAATAACGCAGCATCCTACTAGTGAAGGAATTTTTAAAATTGGGCTAGTAGATACATAGATTGCTGCCTACAAAACGGGAGCTGCTTTCGAATTTTTCCTGCGTGTAGACGACGGAAGTTCAGCGCATAGGAACTAGCTAAAATTACTTTGAATGGACTATAGCTAGCCTATGTCACCCTGAAACCATATAGCTTTAACCATAACCTGTACAAGCTGCTAGTATACAGCCAGAGCCTGCAACGAGAAATAAATAAATAAATGGTACTATAAATAACTATGACATTCAGAAATAACGTAGCTTTCTCCTGGTGAAAGAATATTCAAAATCCGTTTAGTAGTGCCAGAGATTACTGCAAGAATAATGATGTTTTAAATTCATGCTGCGCGTAGAACGTGGAACGTTCAACGAGGAGGAAATTTCTAAAGATTTTGGCTGTAGAGAAAATTATTGTAGTGCGATGAAATGTAGTCTTTGCGATGCAGGAATAACGTAGCTTTTTAATGGTTACCTCCTTAAAACAAACTTTAAAAACAATGCTAATTGTAATATTAATATAGACTAAAATATGTCTACTGCTGCTAGATCTTTAAGTAGCATAAAATAGAGTGTCTTTTAACGTCTGTCTTTATATCCATTCATTCCTCTTAAGGTCCTTCAAACGAAATGGGTTGCCAACAGATGCCAATTTTTATTTAATTATTTTGATAACTTACAAGGGACATGATGAAAGCTCAAGTCATATTAACTGTGTTTGAGACACCCTTACCTCGCAAACTACTGTAACTCCGTATCGATTAAAATTCAATATAAATTGAACCCTATTCATAGTTATAATGTGACCTTGTTTTCATAGAACTTATGAAGCCCGGCAAAGAGCCCGGTTGTTCGGGCACAAGGAATCTGGCTGACAATCTGTCCGACTTGAAAGCACAAGTGGCTGCAAATCAAAGGGTGATTACTGTCTATTGATTTTCATATTGTAATATTTTCATTGCTTACTAGTGGCCCGCCCTCGCTTCGCTTCGGTGTAGAGCTGTGGTTTAGACTAATGTTTTTGTTCTCAGGCTTTAATTGTACACAATTAATTTCTTAATATATTTATAAACTTTCCATGAAAATATATTCAAGTTGTAGTGAAAATTTTGTTGCGCAGTTTAGTACCCGTTTAGTTATACCAAATGCACCATTTTTTGGTATAACGCGCAAATCTCAGGCCTATTCAATACAAACAAACAAACAATGAAATCTCTCCTCTTTATACTATTAGTATAGATAAAAATAAATGTTACATCACACAGAGGTAGAGCGTTATAGACAGATTAGGTAGAAGGCAGTAGCAGTTGAATAACCTAATAATACTCCTGACTCTTGATTCTGACACCAGATTGCCACACTAGTGTAATTGTTTTTTTTTCTCGTTTGTCACACTGCTAATATTATGTTAATCTGTACTTTCTCGGCCAAGGAGGCAACACTGCACATTTTTTTGTTGAAAAAGTCTCTAATTAACAAAGCATTCTTCTTATTATGGCCACAACACCATCCTGTAACAAAAATAATACGCTTTCATGTCTCAATAGTTCGTATTCTTACTTAATTCGTGATAAGCACGTTGTATTATTATTTTAAATCAATACCCTCATTATTATATTTTTTAACTATTTTATTGGTACACTTTGATATTCTGCTAATTAAATGTTTAAGCGCTATAATGTAAAACTTTTTTTCATAATAGGGCATCCAACTAGTAGGGGAGTTGATAGATCACTATGGTCTCGATGTGGTACAAGCTTATATGACGCACATACAGAAGAACGCCGAGATCGCAGTTAGAGATATGCTAAAGGTTCGTACGGATAACGTTGATTTTTGATTGAACGTATTAAAACACGAAAGAAGTCGTAGGATCAATTGAAATTAAACAAAATAACAAAGAAGTATTTTTTGCAAAACTTTTCTGAAATCCAGAAAACAAAACACAAGAAGAAGATTGTATGGGAAGTGCGATAAATTAATTTCAAATATGTGAGTCTCTTTTTTTACATTTAGCCCAAAACCTACATTAAATTAAAAAATAAAAGTGTACTGTAATGATTAAAAAGTTATTTTACTATACAGCTAGCAGTACTGTCATTTGTTTTGTTTTAAATTTTTAGTACTTATGTGCGTTTATAAAGCACGTCTTTATAAAAACATCTTTTAATTCGTAGTTCGAATATTTCGACATGAGTGTAGATAAACATATTTATAGATATACACGAAATTCCACTATATAACAATACAAATAACGATTTTAAACAGGAAATAGCCAAGAACGCCCTCGCTAAGACCGGCTCGACCGTTCTCAAAGCCACCGAGTATATGGATAACGGAACCCCTATAAGTCTCACTGTCACATTGGATGAGAAGGAAGGCAGTGCTCTTTGTGACTTCACGTAAGTTAATATCATTATTATACTATAATACATTTAACATTCTCACTCTCAATGGCAGGTGCATAGCGCGTCCGGCCTGCGAGCGTAGAAGCTAAGCGACTTTCGGAATGGTGGGCTATTGGATGGGTGACCAAAATTTATTATCTTGATCTACTCCGTGCTTCGAAGGGCACGCTGAAACGTTGGCCCTAGCTGCATCTGCAGTCGACCAATCCACACTGGGCCCGCGTGGTGGTTCATGGCCCAATCTCATTCCATTCTACATTCCATCTATAATAATAACCTTTATTTCTCACCATAATCACAATGTTCTCAATGTAGGTATTAATGGCTATATAAAAATTATCAATAGGGAAGGCCTGTACCCCAGCAGTAACGACATTAGTAGGCTGATGATGATTCTCCTTCTGACACCTATTAAGGTAAACGGTTTTCAAATTGAAGACCTCGATAGACTAGATGAGAGAAGAAAATTTCAACTCAATTGGTATTAAAAAGTGGGCGAAAATGGTTAATAAATTTTGAAGTGGACGAATCACATACGTTCGAACTTCGATTTCTTATTTCCTTGTACAGAGGCACCGGAGTAGAAGTTTGGGGAAATTTAAACGCGCCGCGAGCTATAACACTATCGGCGTTGATATATTGCCTTCGTTGTATGGTTGGACATGATGTACCCTTGAACCAGGTAAGGAATCAATATACAGTTTTTTTATTATATGTACTTTATATAAGTGTGTGTTAAATTGCTTGTTTTTTTAAAGTGAAACTGTCATATAGCAATAAATTTTCAATTTATTAAAAAAAACAGACTATATCTACTAGCATCGGTGATTCAGCGGTTCGAGTCCAAGCCAAGGAAAAACATATTTTTATTTATGATTTTAAATGTTTCACATGTATCGTGGTTTTAACTCTAAAGTCGATTTACCCAGAAAGAATAACAAATTTTATTATCTAAATGAAAATTTACTACATTTATAAAACTACATTTATATTTCGTTTATAATCACGCCACGTTGTGTTCTGTGTGAATTAATTTAAAGACAATCTGAGTAATATTTGTGTAATAAAGTACTGTGGAAGATAGTCAGATATGATGAAAACTTGACATAAGTATATCGCGGTATTCATACCCCTATACCTGTTTCGAAACCCTTATTGCACCGGGTAGCCAAATAAGAAAAAATGTTTCCGAAACCGGTAAGAACTATCGAAACTAATTTAAAAAAGCGGAATATTTTCTTAAGGAACCGTAATATTTTCTTTCTGTACCGGTTTCGAAAACGTTGAAGGAATTTATGCAAGTGGATATATAATTATAATAAATCGTGTCAAAACAAGAAATAGCAAATGATGACGTAAGACATTCTGACCCTCTCGCACATGCAATTCTATAGTCTGGTTCATAATCTCAGAGATAAAAATGACATACACAAATGTCAGGTTTGCAAATAATGATACCAGCTTTTATTTTGTAGTGTTGTCTCCGCGATATCGGTTTTTAAGTTTATTTTGTTTGTCGGTATTTTTTTGTAATTATTAATATTTTCCAAAATTTAAAAAATGATGGCACACTTTATCAATATGTATATTATATTTTATGTGTGGCACATTAATATACGCGTTTTTATTTTAAATAAAAACGCTCAACTGGGTCATATAGTCGACATTACCAAACTATTATTATAGTAATAGATGAAGAGTCTGATGATGACGTTTCAGAATTCATATCTGATTAGTATAATATGCTTATCTTATTATGAACTTCAAATAGGTTGTGTAGTAATGCAGGTACAAGGTATAATAAAATGGTTAGCATTCCGTGGCCAATTAACAGACTTGTTTATCACTACCTATATTCTTTAGAAGGTATTTTGTTGACTTGGAATAGAATGATTTTAATTATTATTAGAATGAATGATATTCATAATTTTATATCAAAGAAACGACATGCAAACCGACAAGCCGCTAGATGGCTAGCGGTCACTGTGGCTCATAGACTTTCCGATATTCCGATTTTTTTCCGATAACGCTTATAAAAACTGTTATAAATAAAAAACGATACTGATATTTTATGAGCGTTAATTTCCTATAATAGTACATCACTATTTAAGAACTGTAATAAACCTGCAATACAGGTTATGTCATTTTTGCTTTTAGCTTAAAAAAACAGACTATAACTATTTGGGAATTTCTGATTCGTTTCTTTAACCCGAGTTATACATTGATTATTTTATGGGTAGGGCTGCCTGAACCCAGTGAAGGTGGTCATCCCCCCGGACTCGATCCTGGACCCTTCAGACGACGCGGCTGTGGTGGGCGGCAACGTGCTCACATCGCAAAGGATCGTAGATGTAGTACTTAAAGCATTCCAGGTAAAACTATATACAGGGTTAATTTTAAAACACCAACAACCTCTTAGGGGGTGATTTTACCCATCAACAGGAACAACTTTTATTATGAGACCAACGCTGAAATAGCGAAAAAAAAACTGCTGTTTCATACATTTCAGTCGATTAGCTGATGCACTTTTGTATGAAAACTGCTGATTCTTATTTTCGTGATTTCTGAGTTGGTCCCATACTAACAGTTGTTCCTGTTGATGGGTAGAATCACCCCCTAAGAGGTGGTTGGTGTTTTAAAATTAATCCTGTATAGGCTATTTGACATGTTTTATAAAACAATCTCACGCTATTTACTAATGCTTTTTGAGTCCATAAAAAGTGGATATTCCTCATTCTGTTGTGTATTTCTGAAAAGAATACGAAATCAAATATTTAATTTTCAAGTTAAATAAAATAAGTTTCAACGGTGTATGTGCGCTGATTTATTTATTTATTGACGTTTCGCATCCTTTTCAGGATTCATCGTCGGAATTATGATTTTATTTACTTTGTCGAGCTACCTTCGGCAGATTATTATTGAGCGTTCTGATATTTCATTGGTAGATAGGGCAGACTTATCTCCTCTGGCAGCACCCGTTCACGAATATTACGCATAGCCCAGCCATCGCTTCGCTCAACCACATTTTAGGGAACGTAACTACCCGCTCACACGAGCTGCGTACCCAGGAAACTCAACATCAGCCTCATAGAGAGAATGGACTACGACTAGGGTTACTTTTTAGGAATTTCAAAAGTCCTGACAAAAATACTGCCATTTCGTAAAAAGTCCGGACTTTTTAGTTACAAAATGTTACAATTACTCACTAAGTTACATTGGTATGGTATTTTATAATCAATATGTACTTTTATTATTCATATTCTATGTAATTAAAAAAATCCGGGCACTGATAAATATCCGGAATTTGTCCGGACTGTAGTCTAAAAGTCCGGACATGTCCGGACTAACCGGGACGGTTGGTAACCCTAACCACGACCCACCAAAGTGGATGCTAATGACTGCTAATGCAGCCGGGATCAACATGCCTTCCGAAGCATGTAAGGCATATAAAGCTGTTGCTGGCACACATCCATTGACCGGCCATGACGACAGATGCTTAACTTCCACGATCTCAGACGCAAAAAAAGATTTAAAGTGGAAAATTCTTGCAAACTCAAGTTAATTTATCATTTTGATGGTATAACATTCCGCATATTATTTTATTTCTCTGTTAGGTTTTCAAAGCACGGCTCGTAAATTGATTGGTTATTCAGATTCCCCCTATTAGTAAGCGAGGAATGCGCTTGAATTAGTTACTCCATGTTTTGTCTCTGTTCATTGAATGACAAATGGCATTTGAGTGATACGAACGAAACACGCTGTAACTAGTCTTAAGCTTCTCTGCATGATACCAGCAACTATAATATTAAGTCATAACTGTGTCACACCTATGTGAAAGTAGAGCGAGCAATGTAATCATTATCTTTTATAAAAATAAATGAAACGAGCGAGCCTTACAGTAGTCGCGTATGATGTGTAATATTTGAAATCTCACCTTATATTAGTAAAAAAATAAATTAAACCTACTACAAAAGGAATAAGCCATTTGACCATTATGTTCTAAAATCAAATCAACTAGCGCGCGCTTCCCAAACTTCCTGTTACATTTACTAGTCCCACTTCACGTAATCCCCCTCACAAATTACAGAAAAGCGAGAGGAAAGATGTTACACATCAAAACTATTATTATTCCAGGTGTGTGCCGCATCTCAGGGTTGTATGAACAATCTGACGCTCGGCGAGGACAGTTGGGGATATTACGAAACCGTGGCCGGCGGGAGCGGCGCTGTAAGTTTGTTATTAGCTTTTCATCATCATCAGCCTTTTAATGTCCCCACTGCTGGGGCGCAGGTATTCCCTATGGATGGAATAGGGAGACTGGGCCGTAACCCACCACGTGGGCCCTATGCGGATTGGCGGGTGCTAACGACTGCAGATGAACCAATGGCTTATCGTGGCTTCCAAAGCACAAAGGAGCTCGAGATAGTAAGTTTTTGGGCCACCCATCCAATGACCGACCGTTGCGAAAGATGCTTAACTTCAATGGTCGCAGGCCGAACCCGCTAACCACCTGCACCATCGAGCTCCTTTATATAGCTCTTAAAAGAATTACAAGGAAATATCTGCATGATTTATTAGTAGAAAAAATATACTTTATACTCTTTACAATAAGGATCCTTAGTTATAGCCTATTTAATGTTTAGTGGACACTAAGCATAACATAAGATTTCGAGTCTTCAAATCTCTGCATGATTATTAATTACTAGACATAATTCAGGCTCTGAATGGGAAGCGGGTAGCTAAATGGGAAGCGAAGTGGGCGTCCACTGTAGCTAGGCAACTAGCTAAGCAGCTAGCTAGGCAACTAGCTAAAGAACTAGCTAAGCAGCTAGCTAGGTAACTAGTTAAGCAGCTAGCTACACAGCTAGCTAGGCAACTAGCTAGGCGACTAGCTAAGCTGCTAACCACACAGCTAAGCAGCTAGCTAGGCAACTAAGTAAGCTAAGCAGCTACCTACACAGCTAGTAGGCAGCTAGCTAGGCAACTAGCTAAGCAGCTAGCTAGGCAACTAGCTAAGCAACTAGCTAAGCAGCTAGCTAGGCAACCAGCTAAGCAGCTAGCTACGCAGCTAGCTAGGCAACTAGCTAAGCAACTAGCTAGCTAGGCAACTAGCTAAGCAGCTAGCTAGGCAACTAGCTAAGCAACTAGCTAGGCAACTAGCTAAGCAGCTAGCTAGGCAACTAGCTAAGCAGCTAGCTAGGCAACTAGCTAAGCAACTAGCTAAGAAGCTAGCTAGGCAGCTGTGCGGGTAGCTAAATGGGAAGCGAAGTGGGCGTCCACTGCACTAGCTAAGCAGCTACCTAGGCAACTAGCTAAGTAGCTAGCTAGGCAACTGGCTAAGCAGCTAGCTAGGCAACAAGCTAAGCAACTAGATAAGCAGCTAGCTAGACAACAAGCTAAGCAGCTAGCTAGGCAACCAGCTAAGCAGCTAGCTACGCAGCTAGCTAGGCAACTAGCTAAGCAACTAGCTAAGTAGCTAGCTAGGCAACTAGCTAAGCAGCTAGCTAGGCAACTAGCTAAGCAACTAGCTAGGCAACTAGCTAAGCAGCTAGCTAGGCAACAAGCTAAGCAGCTAGCTAGGCAACTAAGTAAGCTAAGCAGCTACCTACACAGCTAGTAGGCAGCTAGCTAGGCAACTAGCTAAAAAACTAGCTAAGCAGCTAACTAGGCAACTAGCTAAGCAACTAGCTAAGCAGCTAGCTAGGCAACCAGCTAAGCAGCTAGCTACGCCGCTGGCTAGGCAACTAGCTAGGCAACAAGCTAAGCAGCTAGCTAGGCAACTAGCTAAGCAACTAGCTAAGCAGCTAGCTAGGCAACAAGCTAAGCAGCTAGCTAGGCAACTAAGTAAGCTAAGCAGCTACCTACACAGCTAGTAGGCAGCTAGCTAGGCAACAGGCTAAGCAGTTAGCTAGGCAACTAGCTAAGCAACTAGCTAGGCAACTAGCTAAGCAACTAGCTAGGCAACTAGCTAAGTAGCTAGCTAGGCAACTAGCTAAGCAACTAGCTAGGCAACTAGCTAAGTAGCTAGCTAGGCAACAAGCTAAGCAGCTAGCTAGGCAACTAAGTAAGCTAAGCAGCTACCTACACAGCTAGTAGGCAGCTAGCTAGGCAACTAGCTAAAAAACTAGCTAAGCAGCTAACTAGGCAACTAGCTAAGCAACTAGCTAAGCAGCTAGCTAGGCAACCAGCTAAGCAGCTAGCTACGCCGCTAGCTAGGCAACTAGCTAAGCAACTAGCTAAGTAGCTAGCTAGGCAACTAGCTAAGCAGCTAGCTAGGCAACTAGCTAAGCAACTAGCTAGGCAACTAGCTAAGCAGCTAGCTAGGCAACAAGCTAAGCAGCTAGCTAGGCAACTAGCTAAGCAACTAGCTAAGCAGCTAGCTAGGCAACAAGCTAAGCAGCTAGCTAGGCAACTAAGTAAGCTAAGCAGCTACCTACACAGCTAGTAGGCAGCTAGCTAGGCAACTAGCTAAGCAGCTAGCTAGGCAACTAGCTAAAGAACTAGCTAAGCAGCTAGCTAGGCAACTAGCTAAGCAACTAGCTAAGCAGCTAGCTAGGCAACCAGCTAAGCAGCTAGCTACGCAGCTAGCTAGGCAACAGGCTAAGCAACTAGCTAGGCAACTAGCTAAGTAGCTAGCTAGGCAACTAGCTAAGCAGCTAGCTAGGCAACTAGCTAAGCAACTAGCTAAGTAGCTAGCTAGGCAGCTGTGCGGGTAGCTAAATGGGAAGCGAAGTGGGCGTCCACTGCACTAGCTAAGCAGCTACCTAGGCAACTAGCTAAGCAACTAGCTAAGTAGCTAGCTAGGCAACTGGCTAAGCAGCTAGCTAGGCAACAAGCTAAGCAACTAGCTAAGCAGCTAGCTAGGCAACAAGCTAAGCAGCTAGCTACACAGCTAGCTAAGCAACTAGTTAAGCAGCTAGCTACACAGCTAGCTAAGCAACTAGTTAAGCAGCTAGGCAGCTGTGCGGGTAGCTAAATGGGAAGCGAAGTGGGCGTCCACTGCACTAGCTAAGCAGCTACCTAGGCAACTAGCTAAGCAACTAGCTAAGTAGCTAGCTAGGCAACTGGCTAAGCAGCTAGCTAGGCAACAAGCTAAGCAGCTAGCTAGGCAACAAGCTAAGCAGCTAGCTACACAGCTAGCGAAGCAACTAGTTAAGCAGCTAGCTACACAGCTAGCTAAGCAACTAGTTAAGCAGCTAGCTACACAGCTAGCTAGGCAACACATACCTAGAGCTAGGCAGCTGTGCGGGTAGCTAAATGGGAAGCGAAGTGGGCGTCTAGGCAACTAGCTAAGCAGCTAGCTACACAGCTAGCTAGGCAACTAGTTAAGCAGCTAGCTACACAGCTAGCTAGGCTACACATACCTAGAGCTAGGCAGCTGTGCGGGTAGCTAATGGGAAGCGAAGTGGGCGTCCACTGCACTAGCTAAGCAGCTACCTAGGCAACTAGCTAAGCAGCTAGGCAACTAGCTAAGCAGCTAGGCAACTAGCTAAGCAGCTAGCTAGGCAACTAGCTAAGCAGCTAGCTACACAGCTAGCTAGGCAACTACTCCCGTTTTTCTTTGGTTTCTACCTGTCCAGCGGCTGCGTATCCAAAATATCCCGCATGCACTGTATTATCGTCTGCATAGCAATGAATATTCTCAAGAGGAATTAAATCATTGAATGCAGCAAAAATAGTGTAGGGGATAGGACGGAGTCCTGAGAAACACCGGCATTCACTGACATGAACTGCGAACTACATCCGTCGCCGTCCGTTGACGCTCATGCAGGAAGTCAGCCACTCAGGCATAGAACTGAGTAGGCAGACCGTATCCAGGAAGCTTAAAGAGAAAACTTATGTGCCAGGCCCTATCAAAGCCTTGGCGATGTTAAGGCTGATAGCCAAAGACTCGCCTCGCTTATCGATAGCCTCACCCCGGATATATGTCACGTACGCTGGAAGGTCACCTGTCGATCGATTCGGTCTATCCTCTTTTACTTGCCTCAAATATAACGCAAACATATTATATATATTTTTTTGCAAAAAGCGACAGATTTGTTAGTTTTTACTTCATCTAGTAAAATTAAAATATCTGGTAAAATTCAAACAGTCAAGTCAACAACAGTCAAAGCCAATTACAGGATACTCACAGGATATTTATATTAATGATTTCCACTTAGAGTAAATACTCTAAGTGTCTACATGAAAAATGAGTTTAAATCCGAAACTTGGTTTCAGCGGTAATACATTTACAAACTTAAGTGTTTTGAATGGGTTTATTAGGTTTTAAATCAAGAATTTTGGAAATAATTTGCAGTTCTTCTGTTTATTCATTAGCTATTTCAGGAAGTATGCGACGTAGAGCATAATGGGTTTTACCTGTAGATGCGGCTTAATGAGACGGGTCGATTGGTATTATAAAAGATCAGTAGCGGAAAAGTGCAGATAATCGGTTTTGGCACTAAGGGGACGATTTACTAACTAATAATAATACTAAATACTAAATAACTAACTAATAAATAAACTACTCGCTTTCTAAACGCGCTTTGTTCGTTATTTTGAAAATGTACATATTAATAATAATAATTAGTAATAATAATTAATAGTTTAGGTTCATGATTTGGAAGTCGGGCGGGGTCAAGATTGAATCATTAAATAGATTTTCGTTTCTGATCGGTAATTATACATCTTTCAATCTTGACCCGCCCGACTTCCAAATCATAAACCAGATATTATTTTTTACTTTTTTGTTCCATTTTGGATTTTGAAGTCGGCTTTATTTATTGTTTATTTTTTTTTATTTAGGGTATGGGCTGGCACGGCGCTAGCGGTGTCCATACTCACATGACCAACACTCGCATCACGGACGTGGAGATAGTGGAACGCCGATACCCAATGCTGGTGTCCAAGTTCAGTATCCGAGGTGGATCGGGAGGAGCAGGTAACATTATATATTGGCTGTTTTTAAAGTGAAACTTCTTTTCAAACGGCGTGTCAATAGAAAATCCTATGGAAAGGATGAAATGGAAATGTGTCACGAGCTTCACACGACTATAAATATACCCCGAGGAGCATGAAAGTTGGAGGGTAACTCGGCAAGGTTGAAACGCTACGAGCGTCACGAGCGTTTTTTTTATAGATTGGTCCTACAAATTACTCCACCCCATCTGATGTTAAGTGATGGTGATGTCCAGACGTGAGGATAGCTGTTACAGCAGTTCTACTTGCCACACCAGCCATCCTCACCTTGCCGGCCTGCATGTTGCTTCTTCACGCTTCTTTTAAAGGATCCCAGGTTGTAAGAGGGAGGGAACACGTGAGCGGGCAGAACATTCCATTTACGGATAGTGCGACAAAGAAATGAGTCACCAAATTTCTTTGTACGCGTTGGAATTGTGGCCACAGTTAGACGGTGACAACGTAGGCCAGCGCGCGTGGTCCTCTGAAGGAAAGGAGAAGGTGGAATAAGAGAGAATATCTCCTCAGAACACTCACTGTGGTATGTATATGAGTGATGCGTGCGCTGCTCCATTCCCCTATTCCTTATGCACAGCCTAATGTTAGATTATTTAAGAAAAGAAGTTTCACTTCAGATGTGTGGTCCGTGCACATAGTTTTTCTCTCTTTCTAGAGTTGTCAATTTCATGCGTATGTCAGTCCATTTTCTACGTCTATTGTATATATTTTAAAAGATCGTACAATAATGAAACTCAGCAATAGCCTTTTTTGTGTGTGTGTGTGTGTCTGTAAGCTCTTCACGTATAAACTACTGAAACGATTTATGGGGCGGACGGACGGGAGACCCGCCTCACGCAGCGTTGCTTTATGAAATAACATGAAAGAGACACGCGGAGTGGACATCCGCTCCGTACTCCCGCTAAACGCAGCGCAGGCTCTTAGATTAAATCGATCGATAAGATCGGTATATAGATAGTAGTTGTTTATTATGTATTATACACTCTCGAAAACATATTTTCAACGCTAGCAACTTGTTTAAGCAACGTCATACTTGGATGCAAAACTTGTGGAATGGGATCGTGCATTAGGTATTTTGAAACAATTAGATTAAAGGAGGAATAAGGTGGATAGGGAGATTGGGCCATGACCCACCACGCGGGCTTAGTGCGGATTGGCGGGTGCTAACGACTGCAGATGCAGCCGGGACCAACGGCTTAACGTGCCTTCCGAAGCAGATTTTTGGTCACCCATACAATGACCGACCACTGCGAAAATTGCTTAACTTAAACGATCGCAGCCGAACGTGCTAACCACCTGCGCTATCGAGTTCCTCATTCTATTATTGATGTGTAACATCTTTCCTCTCTCTTTCCTGCAATTTGTGGGAGTGATTTCGTGAAATGGGACGGAAGTGTGTAACAGGAAGTCGCGAAAGCGCGCACTATTTATATATATATACGTTTCCAGGTGAATGGAAAGGCGGCGATGGTGTGACGCGCGAACTGATATTCCGTCGCACGGTTCAGCTATCAGTGCTCACTGAACGTCGAGCCTTCCAGCCGTACGGAATGAACGGTAATATTGCCATGTGTAAATAAATATATTACGATACGCAAAGAATATGCCTGTGTGTATTTGTGTGTGACAACATGCTAAAGATGAACAAAGAAAATGTGTAGTGGTTTAATAAAAGTAGCACTTTAAAAATTTGTTCATTGAATTCCGTACAACGTCCGTTTTTTTTCCACAGCTAAAAAAATCTTCTCGGCAAAAACAATTGCATCCAATTTGATTTAAGAAAGTTTGACTTTGATATATTGAGTAAAATCTAAATTAAAATGTTTTAGGTGGAGAGCCCGGGGCGAGAGGGCTCAATTTACTACAACGCAAGGAAGGAAGAGTTATCAATTTAGGCGGAAAAACGTCTATTGTCGCTTATCCAGGGGTGAGATAAACTTTTAATTACAGAGGACATGCCATTTCATAATTGATAAGATCTCTATTTCTCGATATAATTCAACTATTCTACTGCGGCTTTTATTTAAAAAAATTAAGTTTTATTTAAATTTTGTTCTGAAACCGTATTTTTTCTCTATTCGGGCGCCTGTTCACTCAAACCTAAATAAAGCAATACAGCGAAGGTACAGTAAATAACTGTAACTTAACTTTAAGGATCCTTACTCAAGGCTAATAACGAAATTATGGCGCAATTACATTTGATCGTAAGCCCGCATTCGGGTGCACGAAAGACATTACTCGAATTCGGGCGTCCAATGCAATATTTACATCGAACGCGCACTGGAAGACGGCGTCAGGTAACCAAAACAAAAACTGCCCGAATACACTTGTACTTGACTCCGTTCGTTTAGGCTTAGTCGTTTGTCCGAATCCCATTGACAATCGTATTCGGGCTAACGAGCAAGTGTAATTGAGCCATCATATTAGTAAGTGCCTGTTGTCCGTCCTTTTGTCAGCAGACTATACATATTATTTCTCGTGAACTAAAATACTGTTCTCTCTCATGGCCTATAACTATAATAGTGCATTCGCACAGAGAAGTAATCATCAATATCGATCAAATGAGCCGAAGAACTCCTGTATACCTTATAAGTTCTTGTGAATGTTTATAATTTAGAAAAATCCATTGTTATAGTATCTCAATTAATTGTTCATGGAGGTGTAAGTAAAATATATTAGATAGAGCCTAAGAAATCCTGTATCTACCTTCTAAGTTTTTGTTAATGTTTAAAATTTAGAATAATCCATTCTTATAGTATCTTAATTGATTATTCACGGAGAAGCTTGGAAGTAAAATATATTACATAACTACATTACAGTACATTGTTTTCTTTCGAAGAGAATAAAAATACTTTTACATTAAAAATCTAGCATTTAAAATAAAATATATAATTATAATAGTGTTGTCAATAATTATATTATTTTACTCGTAGGATAAATACATAATGAATTCACCCGGCGGTGGCGGATACGGTCGACCGAATTCCGAGTCGACAAACAAACCGACAGACAAGCAGTACAGTGAGTTTCTCGAAAGGGGCAGCGTTTACGAATACAGGAGTGCACAGGAGTCGGTGTAATTATACAGTAACCGTTAATTTATCTATTTATGAAAGCCAATTAACGTGCATTTTCTTATATTGAAGATGCTTATTATAATCTAGTTTATACACAATATCTAATTGTATTTAAAAATGTAGTGGATTTTGCATGTTTCAAAATAAAACAAAATCAAAATGATTTGGTAGGTATTTTTTTTATAACAAGTTGTGTTAAGGAAAATAGGCGGGTCGATTCTTTTAAAATTATGGCTACTATTTGCTTTAATAGAATAAAGAAAAAATATTTTTAAGCAAATTATTATAAAATAATCAAATATTATTTAATTATTTATTGCATTTAAATCATCCATAAATATTGATTTTAATGGTGCTATATTAATATTGATGTATTTATAGTAGTGCGTGCAATTTGTATTCCTAATATCACGTGACAATAATAGCTAATATACATAAAAAGAAAGGAAGAAGAATGCAACATGTATTGTAGAAACTTTTATTATTAACAATAATTTATAAAGCCAAATACAGTAATGTGATACTTAAAATAAGTACAATTTAAACACAACTAATTGAAATGAGAGAAACAGTGCCTGATGGAATAGGGTTCGTAGATTGTAATCGTTGATTTTCTGTTGTTGCTTTACTGATTTTTATTATTTTAGAAATTTAGTATAGGTACAATACTTTCTTGTTACAAATTATACAATAAATTAATATATACAAATGGTTTCTATGATTTTATTCAAAGACATCCCCAACCCCCTTATTAAAACAAGGAATATGCTTAGACAAGTTACGTCGTGTTTTGTTGATGTCACTCAAATGACATTTGTCATTCAATGAACAGAGACAAGACACGGAGAGTAACTTATTCTTCGTTTTTTAATAAGGGAGCAAATAATTTTCCTATAATATCAGTACTGTGATTTTTGAATTCAAGAATATCTTAAGCAGTCCTGTAGATAATTTTTAGCCATCAACTTATTTAAGTAAAATGAACAAAGACAAATAATTTCACATGAACAATCATGTCACCACCAAACATATAATTTTGACCAATCCAACGATATTACATACACTAGATACACCACGTGCACTCAAAATGTGTCCCAATCAAGAAGTGCTTGAACACCTTTTTGACAAAACAAATGGTCTAAAAAATGCGAAAAAATAATTATAGTACGTAGTGTCGTTTTTTCGACATGGATCTAATCAATTTTGTTATTTTAACGCATTTAAACCAAATTTTGTTCTAATACTTACTATAAACTGATTTAATAGAAAAAAAATTTGATATTCAAATGCATGGTCGGTTATATAACCGTCTCTTTTCTTCACGGTCCGTACCTGCTTATTAGCAGCGCATTCAGAATTGCGCGTAGAATCAAAGAAATAAATTTTATAATCTTCCGCCTATAGCAATAAGTTGTAAAATTTTACGAGCTTTCATTTCGAACTGTCGTAACTCTTTGACGCATTTGTTTAAATTAAGACCTTATGTATTATGCATTAAAGGTGACTTTCAATGTTTGAATATTTATATTGTTTTTGACAACGGGATCATTTCACGGAGCTCCGTGGATCATCCAATGTACCATTTGGTCGGGTTTCGGCCACGATTTTGTTCGTGTTGATATATCTAAGGTGTATCGTTGTATCTATCACCAAATTTACATGAAGAGTTCAAGCTCGGCATAAATATTGGTAGGCACAATATATTTTAACGTTATGAATCATAAAAGTTTCAACATTTCATTCTACAAATCAGGCAGGCGTGTATGTGTATCTTTTTTGCGTTCACTATTATTTGTCATGCGTGGTCTTAAGACGCCATCAAAGCTTTGTTCTTATTTCTATTTATAGACACTGCCGTCTGACCGTGCCCGCTCCAGATCAGATCCTGTAAAGCTTCCCTGTTCTCATACGTTCAATTTCTAATGCTACCAACACTATAAATCCATCCACGCCAACATTGACAATTCCACAACATTTTCAGTCCATTCCCGGTAATATTTACGATCTCTTCCCGCCAACAGTTTCAACTTCTCAAACTCTTTAAATCGGGGAAGTGTTTCCGCCTATCCAGCTGTCAAGTATGATCTCCGGCCGCAGTCAAAACTTCTCTATATCTTTCATAAGCCTGGAAACCGTGCAATTCCAGCAATATACATGCTGCCATATGGCTGTGCTCGCTAATGGATCCTACGGTTGAATCATGAAGAAAGTTACCTTGGTCTCATACGCTCAATATTTAATGCCAACATTTAAAATGTGACAATCATTTTCAATGTATTCGTGTCAACATCTTTAATCACCTCTCGTCAACATGTTCCATCTCTCCCCGCCATCAATTTCAATCTAGCTTCGACCTCAGACTCTTCAAATCTGGGAAATGTGTCCGCGTATCTCTCTCGCGGTCACCATTTCCCAACTGTCAGGCATGATCTCCGGCCGCAGCCAAGGCTTCTCTATTCTCATACGCCCAGAATCCATGCAATTCCAACAATATAGACACTGCCGTATGACCGTGGCCGGAGCGAATAAGATCCTGTAAAGTGATCCGGGAAGGATGCTGGGGTCGGATCATGTCGAATATCTCGTCTTTGACGTCGTCGAAGTTTACGGGCTCAGCGCCGTGCGCAACCATTTGCTCTTGGATCGCCTGGTGGAAAGGTTTGTTTTGTTAAGAATCTGTATTACGCTAATATTTAACATGGCTATTTTAATCTGCTATTTGTAAACTTGAAGGCAGTATCTACCGATTTTTTGCTGCTGTACAGGGAATGAAAAGAAGAGGCTGCTGTCATATAACAAATTCGAATAGCCATGTGAAGTGCTAGTATTAGATGAGAACAGAACACAGAAAGAGATAAAGACCGTAAGTACGGGAATCGATGTCGCAATTTCGATCCCACTACATTTCCATTTAATAGATAGTAGCCAATCAAACGACGCAACATCAAACAATAGAACCAATCAGCGCTCACAGCCGAGAGCAACGACGAAATCAGAACCATTCTGGTCAAGTTATGAGCATTTTCTCACACATAAGTGTGTCGCGCCTGCATCGCCCAAAAACCCCTTCTAACCTCTTTCTGTGTTCTGTGCATTAGATGATTTATCATCATCATCAGCTTATCAATTTCCCCACTACTGGGCACAGGCCTTCCCTATGGATGGAATAGGGAGATTAGACTGTGACTCACCACGCGGGTCGCAGTGCGGATTGGAGGGTGCTAACGACTGTAGATGCAGCCGGGACCAAAGCCTTAAATTGTCTTTCTAAGCACGGAGGAGCTTGGGAAAATAAGTTTTACGTCATGATATAATGAGCGGCCATTGCGAAAGTTGCTTAAATTCCACGATCGCAGGCCGAATGTGCTAACCACCTGCGCCATCGAACTCCTCTGATAAAGCATTTCCTATATCCTTATCATGCCCTACAGGAAATGAAAGGCTACTGTCTAATAGCAAATACAAATGAATAACCATGTGAAATGCTAGCATTATATGATTAAGTTGCACTATTCAAAACAAAGTAAATAACAGATTTCTTACTCGAATCAGAGAGCCCGAAGTAATCTCCATCTTACAGAGAACTACACTGAAATTACGCTACTTTGCAATGGTGTTATTCAGGCTCCACGTAACTGCTGACATAATTAGTAAGCGGTATAATCCTTATTACTATCAATAAAGCTATCTATCCATATTGTCACTATTTTCAAAACTATCGACAATCCAATCTATTGTTGCAGCACTACCAAATAAGTATGTCTTTTCAGTCCAAAAATCTAACTCAGCTTCGAGAAATAGTTAAAATGTACGTAAACGTGTCGAGGCATCCCTGCGAGTTGATATTCAATACTCGGAACAGGTATGCGAGTGCCACGAGCTGCTTCCTATTCTCTTAGGCCAGAACTAAGTTCAAATACGTCTGGTAGTCTAAAATCTGACTCTCCTTAAACAAATACACTCGACTGCAAATAAACTGGGCCCCTTGCTACCACGGAACTCTGATTTGATTTTCTCAAAAAGTACAAAACTTACAACTATCAAAATTATAACCACAGAAACTGCGTTTCGTGGGGATTAAACCAATAATTTATTGCGATTAATCGATTAATTAAATTTTTATTTAAAAAGCCAAGGGAGAATCGTTTTCCAATTGTGGTATTCGGAAGTAACGAACGAAGCAAAATACTCACGTCAGAGAAAACTATGGAGAAAAACTAAGGAAATGATAAGAAGTATCAGACTATCTTCATTTTATAAAAAAGAACGATAATCGTGACTTTATTAAAAAAAATAGCCAATTGTTAGCATTGCTGTTCTTGCTCGATTACAAATAAAGTTGTCAGTACTTTAGAATATATTTTTACTCATATTAATAATTACTTATGAAACACACGTTCAACTTTAATAGTAGTTTTATACTTTTTGAAAAAATCGAATTAGAGTTCCAAGGAGGTTGGCCCAGTGACTGCAGTCGACTGTGGTTGACGTTAAACGCGTCGATCCTTGCGAGTAGATATTCAATACTGGGAACTAGTATGTGAGTGTTGCCGGCTGCTTCCTGTTCTCTAAGACCAGAATCTGGGCCAAATATGTTTCGAAACACAAAAATCTGGCTCACCTTAAAGAAATAGTTGAGGGTGAATGCGTCAAGGTATCCTTGTGAATTAATATCCAATACTCGGAACAGATACGCGAGTGCAGCCGGTTGCCTCCTGTTCTCTAAAGCCAGAACCAGGTCCAAATACGTCTTGTAGTCCATTTCGCCGTCGTAGGTCAAACATTGTTGGAACACGCGTTGGAGGAACGCTCGCGTCAGTGTGCCAGATCCGTACCTAAAGAATAAATTAATAGTAAATAATGTGTTTCATTTTTATTATTCTAGTATTATTAATGAAGTTGGTGCCATCACTCTCAGATGGTGGTCTATCTGAGATTTTATTTTGGGTTGTTCACGTGGCTCTTTGTATTTTGCTATTTGCAAACTTGACAACAGCGGTATCAATTCTGGCATGATTCTGTACACTTTGTAAACAGAGTGACGGCAAAACGTCACAGATATACCGTAGAGGTCCCGCAAACTCGTACAAAACGGTTTGCCTCCACCTATATCGTCAGAACAGCTAGGTTGTGGAACTCATTGCCGGAATCTCTGTTTCCAGTCACCTATTAATCTGGGGCTCTTCAAGTCGCGAGTAAATTGGTTTCTTCTAGGCAAGCGCGTCCCACCTTAGGCTGCTACGTTGCTCTACATCAGGTGCGTGGCCGTCAAGCGTAAGCCTATTTAATGTAAAACGAAAACTTCAAACTTAATTTAACATCATATGCATTGTTGTCAAATTTGAGTTTAGGTTTCAAAAATCATGCCAGAATCGACACCATTATATTCTTATCTTGTTGTACAGGAAATGAAAAAGAGAGACTGCTGTTAAGTTTACAAATTGCCAATAAGAATAGCCACGTGAAGTGCCAGCAAAGATAAGTAAAGTATCTATCTATACAGAACCATAGATAGATTCAGGGCGTTGTCCCGGGTGGACTAGGCAGAGAAAACAGAGCTCAATAAGGCAAGGTCCGTACACAGGTATTTCACTTCATTCACATTCAATAATCTTTTCTTATGGTAGCCATACACACTACGAGAAATCGTTACGATCAGACTGTAAAGTTCGAACGGAACAGTTTATCGTACGTGGCATACGTATAGAAAACTGTGCAGTTTTATAACATACACGCTACGATTTATCGGTACCGTTCGGACGGTACAGTCTAATCGTAACGATTTCTCGTAGTGTGTATGGCTACCATTAAATGCCCTCCGGTTTTTGCGACTTCTGTTGTAACCCATATTTACATGTGAGTGTGTGGGTTGGCGTATATATGTGTGTGTGTTGGCGTATATGTGTGTATGTGTTGATGTACATTGTGTGTGTTGGCGTATATGTACGTATGTGTGTTGGCGTATATGTACGTGTGTGTGTGTGTGTTGGCGTATATATGTGTTTGTGATGGCGTATGTGTGATGATGTATGTGATACCTAATGATCCTAAGATCTTTGTTTAATGTTTTGTTTTAATTAAATTCATTCTTTCTTTTTGTTTTTGCATGTTCATTTGGTATTACTGTAACCATACTGCATATTGTAAATTATATTATCCATGAGATAAGGAAGAGCGGAGCATCCAAACACAGGCGTTATTTGATTAAATGGAGACTCCAATCGATCATTTTGTTAACAAGGCTTTAAACTTAAAAAAATGTGTGTTGGCATATAGTGTGTGTGTGTGTTGTATGTAGTAAGATAGTCACCCCTTGAGCTCGTTGATGCTGAGCATGCCGTTATGGTCGCGGTCTAGGTTCAAGTACTGCCCGTACACGCGCAGCGCAGACGCGGCGCTGAACCAGTTCTGCTCCTGCAACTCCATCGGCATGTCTTCCTCCCGCAGCTGAGTGGTGAGGTGAATTGTTTCTTTAATTTTTGCCATGTTGGTTCAGATAAATTCCAACTAGAGCGCGGGTGCAAATGCAGGGTCGTTTGTCCGTGTTCCAGTACCCGAACGTGAGTAAAACAATGAAATTATTGCATCGGGGGTGCCTGAAATCGACTAATGTCTTTCGTGCACCCGAATACGGGCTAACGACCAAGTGCAATTGCGCCTGTAAAGTAATATGACTATAATAGTTCTTCAATATTTTGAACTGTTCATATATTTCACTTGAACAAACTTGATTTATAAATCTACAAATTAGTGTCTATCATTTTAGTATCTTGTGTTGCTCTATGCTACGAAAGGCACGCTAAGCTTGTTTGTTTTGGTCTATATCTGCAATCGTCAGTATCTATATGGCTCAGGCTCTATATGGCTGTAACTAGAGAAAATCTGTGCCTCGGTAGTAGGGGTAATAAAAGAGTAATGATGAAGGTACAAAATTGTTTACTACCAGGCCACTCAGAAAGTTTTGCGAAAAAAAAGTTTTTATGTACGTATAAGACACTGGCCACTTGTAATTATTTTGAAAACTTCGATTATCTAAAAGTAAAAATACCACTGTTCGATTTTCAAGTTTCCCTCCACATTTTTTCGAGAGCCAGTAAAATTTTTCGTGTCTCATTAAAAAATGGATCTGCATCGAGAACACTTTCGTGCTATGATTTTTTACGATTTTAAATGTGGCTTAAAACCTGATGAGTCATTTGATTGATTTCGAACTGCTTTTATGGATAAAGCACCTTCAAAAGCAACCATCTTCTGCTGGTGTAGCAAAGCCTTTAAAGGCCGTGGAAGAGGTGTCTGCGGAGGACTGGAAAAAATGTTTTGAAAATTGGTTCAGACGCATGAAACTTAGTATAGAGGCTGGTGGAGAGTTCTTAGAGAAGATTTTATAAAAATATTTTTTTCATAGAAGTTAGTTTTTTAGTTTCTCAAAACTTTCTGAGTGTCCCACGTATATATCGACGATCTCCGTGAAAAAGACATTTGTACATCGGTTTTCAAGGTGTCGCCTACTCTCAGGTCTTGGGTTCGAATCTCAGGGGGCAAACGTTTGTATGTTAAATACCAGCATTTGTACCCGAGTCACATGTGGAAATATATTCTACAAAAAAAAACTTAGGTATTATTTTATATATATACTATCTGTTACCCTCAAAACCTTACTTTGAGACTAGGTTAATTGGTGTGAGTGTAAGAAAAATCAAAAATATCTCACCTCAAGTAAGTCATCCAAGAACGAGCACGAGAGCACATCCCTGATCCTCACTCTGCCAACCCTCAGTGGGTCCAGAAAGAACAGAAACTTCCTGACTGCAGTGCATACGTAGAACGAGCTAAAGGACGAGTCCAGCCCGTCCAGTGCCGCTAGCGACGGCACCAGTTCTGCTATGTAGCTCTCTAGGTCCTGGGGAACAAAGTATTTTAACTATTTACAGAAGTCCAATCATTGTCATCGTCAAATTTTGTATGAAAAAATCGGTCCACGCGTTTGGTCTCTAGTTTGCCACAAAGGAACATATATAGACTGTTAAACACTATACCCTGTATGCACCTCCGTCGCGTTTCGCGCTCTTGCAATGCGTATTCGGGTAAAAAGAAGCCAATTTGTTCTTACGTCCGGTACAACTCGAACTTGGTAGAAGATGCGATACGATTATGGAGCTATCAAAATTTAATGCATGCCTCAGGACAGTATCACAGGCAGACCAAAAACCATGAAGGTAATTTACATAATTCACAAATGCATTGATCTGAATAGTGAAGAGTATTTGTTTAATTCTAGGGATGAGTCGATTTTTTTCGAGTTATAAATTTCTTTTTTTAACCTCTTACTTATATTATAAATTATAAGAGGGATAGTTGTTATTCAGTTACGCAAAGACGCCTGGACATTTTGCACACAATTAACAGGAGAAATAGGCTACTTTTATTCATGAAAAATGATAAATTCATGTGTATTCTCAAATGAACTATCTACAAAGCGACCTAAGTCGCCTGTGGAAGGAAGTCCTATCCTATAATAACCTCAACGCCAAGCAGAAACTATGTCGAATTAATTTTTAGAAAAGCAGGCTCTAAGAGCCTTAGCCAGGCAACTGAATTAAAAAAAAACGTATTGATATATAGTTAATTATGCAACTTTTGTTGAGGGGTATTAAAACATGAATGTGGGTTTATCAAACGAGGTAAAGCTGAGTGTGATAACAACAACAATAAGACCCATTTGGGTGTTATGACACTTTGGCTTTTTTTTTTAATTATGACATAGGATTTTTTAATATTGGCAATAAAGGTTTTAAAGTCTACACCCATAGATAAAATTGCTTAGTATTGACCACCACAATAAGATTCGTGAACATCATTAACTTCAAATAAAGGCAAAATTTTTAGGACTTATGATACAATACATAATGAATTATAAAACTACAGAAACATCATTGTTACTAACATGTTCTGTAAGGTATCCTTGACCGGTGACATCATAAAGTGAAAGACCAATCCGAGTCTGCTGTAGCCATACCCGTCTCATTACATAGTTGAATAGCGATAGACCCCGGACTCTGCCATTGCTTCCTTCTGCTGCTTGGAGACGACCAAACACTTCAGCAGTAAAATATGGTCTGCAAAACAGAATTTTATTATTTATAGTAAATATTTAACAGAGCTCTATACGTTAACATATTTCACAGCCTAGTGCAGTCTCTTTCAAGATATTATTATGCTATCTATGTATATATAAGTTTGTACATTCCTACCTGTACTTAGGGCCTGCTTCATCTCTAATTTTCTTGAATTGTAAATAATCAATGGTAAGCTCATCATTGCCCGCGATACTGTAGCTTCCATTCGACTTCTCGAGCAAACTCCACAAATGTTTCAATTCACTATTGTCGAGTAATTCTTTACTTTTCTTTTGAAGAAACTGAGCTCTGGTTTCCTCTCTCAATTTTTGAGCTAAAACGTCGTCGGCGCGTGGTAGCTTGTAGAAGAACTTTGGTATTTTCTTGTAAGAGTCATCATTAATTTCCAATTTAGGTCTATAGAGTTGTTTAAATGTTTCTATTTCTACTTTTTCACTTTCTTCTTTAGTTGTACTTGTACCTGTATCTGTGGAATAATGTAAGAGATATTCAATTTTACTAAATTTTTCATCAAAGTAGATTGTTTTCACTTACTAACCATCCAATTTTTTGATATATTTTCGAAGACGATTTTTCAAATCCTCATTAATATTCTTTTGCTTTTCGTCAGCAACTTTGTTTTCATAAGACACATTGTTGTTAGTTTTATCTTCGTTTTTATTATCTTCAGACACCTCAGACATTTTAATTTAATTTAATGTGAATTATAAAGTTTAAAATCTATCAATTTGAGAAAGTAGTGGTGGTTGTTGGTGGCGTTTATTTATATTGTCATGGTGACATGTGAGTGACATGCATGACTGCCTAACACGGCATTTACACTACTAAATTTTAAGGGCCCAATCGAAAGGGTGGGCGTGGCTCCTAGCTAGGGTAAGCAATTATTACACCGCGCCAATCGCCCTAGATCGTTTTCCTTACTCCCTAACTTACATTACACCACCCTTATAGTCGCGGCATTATATGATGGCCGTTTTGATACATTGCAATAGTGACGCGAAAAGTCAACCTGTCATCGAAAAAATCCTTCATAATCAAATAAAATTATAAATTTAGTTTTTTTTACTATTATTGCAATGAATTGCTGAATAAATATTGAATAAAACGAAAACATACGTTTTACTTACTTACGCTCCGAGATCTATATGTAACGGTCTTATTAATTTCATGATTTTACATTATGAATTTCGAAAGACAGAAATTCCGAGTAATGTGGCTAAAAAGTACGCTGTAATTATATTGTTATTTGTATGTTCTAACTTTTCTTAGTTACAATAACAACAAAATAATTATTTAAATTAATTTAGTTAATGCTAAGGTTTTCGTAACCTTAATATAAGTTAGACCATGATTTTATATAGTTTTGGAAAATTAAAATTCTGAACTCTAAAATTACCAATTCGATTAATTTTATGGCTAAATGTGCGTCTGTAATGACAATAATGAACAATGATTATTTCTTTCAAATGTAGATTATGAAACTTCATGAACGCACAAATGTCAAAGCGGCCATCATAGCGTGCCGCTACTATAGTCAGGGTAGGGGTCCCGTTAAAATTGGGTAGTGTAAATCCCAAATGACTGACACTGACAGTAGTTACAGCAAAATTCCGTCCGTCCGTACAAATAATTTACGAGAATTCGATTGAATGAAAATTATTTTCATTTGAAAAGAACTCTCAGGATAACTTGCAGTAAATTCGCTAAATCACTATTCAACTAAAGCTAGATGTAATCCATAGAAAAACTACAAAATTACAATTCAATTTGATGTCATTGTATGGGATGAATTTAGTTTTAGCTTAATTGAGATTTACCAAAATTCCTGCAAGTAGGCCTCAAAATGATATTTTATTAATTTTTTTATGAATGAAATAGATATTAAATACAAAGAAATTAAGTACTTAATTGATTGTCATGTAAAGTAAAGGTAAATAATTGCATTGCACTAATTATTATTATAGCTTTTCCTCGTTAGATGTCACTATTTGCTAATGTTGCTTCTACTGCCCGCATGATGGCGTGTGTGTAGTTGTACGACGTAAAAATGTCGTTGAAGTCTTTTGTACTGAAAATATTTTTTTAATTTTAAGATTTTTTATTAAAGAACATTTTTATATTGAATCAAACTTAGAATGTGATGTGAGCAAATGTAATGCTCCTACATTTGCTTTAAAAAAGTTTCTTTTTATTTCTTATTATACCTATCTTTTTCTGTATTTTCTATAATATAAGATAAAACTGAAGACAAAACTATTTTTTCGTCTTTGAAAATCTTAACTTTAATTTTCGTTAATGCGACGTCGCCACCATACTTGACCCACTTCTCTGCTCGTAGATAATGACTGTCGTGGTAATCGCGTCGTTGTTGTGGTTAATTTTCCAATCGCCGCTATAGTATTACCGGTGCGAGGCGAAGTGGTGAGTGAGTGAGCAGAGCAAGTGAAATCTATCTGTTGGCTAAACAATAGACCGTTGTTGCTAATGGAATCGACTTCAGCATCAATTTTTCAAATAAGTTTTAATAATAAGATTTAGGTAAAATAATGATTTAAATAAATGAGTATGCCGGTTAGAGAGACGAGAGGAATTAACAGAGCCGGATTTGAGGCCGAATTATCAATTCTTAACACCAGGCAAGTTTCATTGTGAGAGCGAGACATCACATACGTACAGTAGAGCGACATCCCACTTCAACCGCTGTTTTTGCCTGGCGTTAACAACAATATTTCAATATCATTGGGCGTTAAGCTTTCATAATACGACCCCAGGCAGGGCTGTGGCCCCCACAACAGGCATACAAAATGTAAGTAGACTAGAGTGTCAGACTTGAAAAAGAGGTGCCAAATTTGAAAATACGTTCCCCCACTCCTTCGTTGTCCCAGGGCCTCCAACCTCGAAATCAAAAATTAAGATTTAATGCTATGAAATAATAAATCTGAAGTGATTGTATGGGTCCTCTGGGTTTTATCTGCTATCCGTCTGTCGGTCTGTACTTTCTTCGGAACTATAACCTAGCACTTCACATAGCTATACATGGCTATGTGTACATTTGACAGCTGTATGTATAGCTTTATGATGATCTTTATTGAATAAAAAAAACTGTGAAATATGTAAATAGTAAATACGAATAGACATGTTAAGTGACAGCACAATATGTAGACAATTGAAATTGAAACATTATCAGAATGTGAATTTTTGTTGCCGCTTTATGTATCAAAAATAATAAAAGCCTTTAATAACAATCTTATATGTTACATTTTCTCTTTTAATTACTTGTGTAGTACTAATATTATACAAGTTGTTTCTGAAAGCAGCGTAATTTAAGGTTATATATATTAGACACCGGTTTCGCGGTTGTCTTGCTATTTGGCATAGGCCTCCCCAAGTGTTCTCCACAACGATCTATCCCTTGCTATCCTCATCCAACATGGTCCTGCCACCTTCTTGATATCATCGTCCCATCTTCGATACTGCCTGCTTTTACATCTTTTTTATATGTGGGCACCATTCCGTCACTTCGTTCGTCCACTTTTCTGTCTTGCTTCTTGTCTTCTGTTCAGTCGTCCTGCCCATTTCCATTTCAGTTGTTTGATTTGGTATTTTATATATATAATCTTGGTTTGTTTTATGATTGTTTTTAACCTAATTTTGTCTTTTAATTTTATGTTGAGTATGCATTCAGTGTGGGCAAGTTTCTAATGATTTTACATTTTTCTATGTACACCTCCATTTTCGTAAACCAAATAACAATAATAAAACCAACAAAAACTCTAGGAGATACCAATATAATAAAAACAATAATTATTATTTATATGACGAGGGCAGCAGGTTTTTTTTAAAAAGCTTTTTCCTTCGTTAGCCATGAGCTCGTGCGCGGCTTGAGGCATAAGAAATCTGCTTTAGTATGCTTAACTTATTATACGTGTGCGCTATTGATTGGTGTCTTTCATGAAAGTAAGAAATAATAAACTTGTGTACCTACACATAGTGTTTGCATAATTTTTCGTGTTATGACTTTTAAATTTTAGAATTCTACAATGTTTTAAAATAAACTTTACGCATTAAATATAAATGAAAATAAAATTACTAAATTTAACTTTTTTATTATATTTTTATTTTAATCATTTACCTTCTGAATGTTTAAAACTACTTTTTTAGTTAATACCTTCTTAAAATAAATATTTTGAAGAAGAGTCGGCGCGTGATGCCTGTCAAATACGTAACGCAAATATAAACTTATATTATATAGGTCTATAACTGATGCTGTTACTTTCTTTTTGCTAAAAAGAAAAGAGATAGAATTAGGTTTAAACGAAGACTAACTTTAGTTCGTGACTTGGGATAAGGTGGCTCTTGTACAAAAACAAAATAAAAAAATGCTGCACCATCCTGTGAAAGAATTTTTAACTCCAACTAAAATAACATTCTTAAATCTGTTTTTTACTTTTCAGTTCGCTATAATAAATAAGGCGGGGTGTGTTTTTAATTTATTTTTCACTACCTGTGCCCCGCGGTGTTACCTGCGATTTATTATTGATATTTTCCCGCAGTAAAACGTAGCCTATGTGTTAATCTAGGGTGTCAGCTAACTCCACGCCAATTTTTTTTAAATCGCTCCAGCCGTTTAGACGTGATGAAGTAACAAACATACACACTCACAATCTTTTGCCTTTATAATATTAGTGTGATTGTTATTTTTTCATCTTTATCGCATTCAGAATAGCTATGTCCATGGTTGTGATATACCAACAGGCAAGGGTTCGTGGTTTAATATAGATAGATGGAGTCACTTTCATCGCCCTTCGACAAGTTTCACTTAAACGTGTGTTATTATGCGTAAGTACGGTGAACAGCAGTAATCGTGTTGTTGGACAATATAATACAGATATATTGTTTTAAACTTTCATGGTACACTAACTTTAGAAAATCTCTTTGGTGCAATAGAACACCCTTGACCGTTTTTTAAACTTATTTACTTAATGTAATTTTTTAAATTCTATCACTCCTAATATATAATATGTATAATATGTCTCTCCACTGTATCTTTTAATACTTCCGATATTCGGCACTGTTACAAGCACCATGATTACGGAGTTACTCCGTGATCTTAACTCAGAAAATTTAAACCATATACAGGTACCTTGAAGCTGTGAAAAAATTCTTGAATTCTAAATGAAGCTGAAAGAAAAATATGGATTTATGTCCGTACTTACAAAGTACGGAACTCTCGGAAGTTGTGTCCGACTGGCACTTGTCCGTTTTTTGCTATTTTACTCCTATTTAAATACATCAAATAGGAAGTTATGAAAAGATCGCGTTGCTTTTGTGGGATTATTTTTAACTTTATGTTATTTTAATAGTAGTTGTTATGTGGCAGCATAAATAGGTGCTGGTTTGTGAAAAATTAAAATACTTTTTTTAATATCTATCTTTAACGCATTCAGACATGCAATACGTTGACAGGCGGGCAGATGAGCAGTATTAACAAAATTGTTAGTTAAGAGAGAAAGAAAATGTGAGCGCGCACTGCTTTCTCTTGCTTATATCCCCCACTCAACTCCCGTTCGCCTCACCCAAACACACTTTTCGTAACACGTAACGCATTCACCAGCTTACCCCCCAAGTAAACGTGCGTAAAAAAGTTTTCTTATATCCCCCACTCAACTCCCGTTCGCCTCGCCCGAACACACTTTTCGTAATACGCAACGCATTCGCCAGCTTACCCCCCAAAGCAAGCGTGCGTAAAGAAGTTTCACTTCAAAAAGGTAGTAAATTAAATTACTAGTTAGGGGTGAGTAGGTAGTTTAATTTTTATTGCACTTTCTGTTTCCCGCTAAGTTTGGAATCTCCGACACCACCTAGGTTGGCTGGAAGAGATCTCTTTTTGAGATAAGCCTACCTTTGCTAACTATGATTTTTTGAATTATATTTAACTTGACTTTTTGAATTATATGATGCAATAAAGAGTATAATAAATTGTTTTTTTTTTCTAAAAACGTGTACTTATTCAACTCATGCAGCGCGTCATGAATGAGTTACCGTGTTGTTAATTTGCAAACTTCCCTCATTATAACGCACACTTTTATTGTTTGTAACATAACGTAACGTTTGCGTAATCCTTACGTGTAATACGGGGGTTCGATAACAAACTTCTTTTCAGCAAATAACTTTTAATTAGAAGAGGAAATTAACTTGCCAGTTGTGCGATCAACAAAGCCGTGACGAGTAATTTCTTTGCCGCTAAAAGGCTGTCGTTCACTTGCGCCTGCAATGTAATAGTGTACTTAGATATTACGTATGTATTAAATAAATACATTGAATCTGGGGGTACGGTAGTTTTATTACTACAGGAACTATTGTATAACAGAAAAATAATGGACAGTGGATCTAAACTTTCATGGTCACTAACATTATAGCTATTAACGGGATTGTTATCATGTACCTTGTTTTTTATGAGTCTCCGATATTTCGGCAATGTTGCAAGCGCCATGATCACGGAGTAACTTTAAGTTACTTCGTGATCTACTAAGGACTAAGTGGATAATTTATTCACCTTACGCCGATGTGAATATAGATGATCACGATATGCGCAAGCCACATATTTTGATGAAGTTGTAGAGCCTGTGAAGTTAGGCCTTGTAGGTAGAGTTTGCGCGGCCAATCGAACAGGGTACCGCATAAATCACCCGCACTCCTGACGCGCATTGATGATCATCATCATACTCAGAATGCGCGCCAGGGTGACCGGTGCAGGAGTATTGTCTGGTTATTAGTGGCCCTGTTCAGGGCGTAGGTAGGGCCCTGTTCATTTCAACGAGCCTTAGGGCTGGCTGAAGTGGGCAGGGAGGAGTCCCACATACCTTATTCTCGCTCCCTCAGTGATTGAAGGATGAGTAAGGCATTTCCCAGACACAAAAAAGGCCTTTTAGAGTTAGGGCGTGTAGAGTTAGAAGCTTGGCTCTACATGAGATCTGGTAACTTTTTGACAGTGCGAGTTATATAGTCTCGACTTGGCAACATTTTACATAAAAATGTTCTTGGTGGGATTCATATTTCTTACACTCCCAGCAATTAGCAAGCCAATAAGTAAGCACTGTAAGACCTGTGTTATATGATACTAGGGTAAAAAATATATATATAATACTTTTAAAAATAGCTATTTGCATTGGATTAAGATGACCTTATTTATCATTCAAATATTTGCCCTTAGTCGGAGTTGAACTCAAGACCTCAGAGTACGGCGACACCTTGAAAACTGGTGTACATACACACCACTTCTTCATCAAGGAGGTCGAAAACTTAACTAAATTCTAGGATACTTCTTGACGAGTTATTATTAAAGGGTTGTTCCGTATTCACCTATACGTCTCAACTCATTTCCTTCCTTATCCCAAACTAATATTCCTGACTCAACTCAAACAAAATTTTCAACAGGCTCTATGATCACAACACCATGAAAAGTCGTAATTTTTTGTTATAGGTGGTAATAATGAAATTTTAAGTTTTAAGAAATTTTATATAAACTAATCAAAAGAGTCTATGCAACATGAACTTTTTGAACATTTGACCGATTTTTAATAATTTTAATACTTAAATATTTTATTTTACTAATAATAACCAATTTGATTTATTAGTAACTAAAGCAAGAAAACGTATGAATAAATTTTACATTTCATAACACTAATATAAAATATCAACGGATAAAACTTGCAATTTGCATAAATGAATTTGATGTGTATATTTAATTATATTATTCCCAGTACGATACTTCTAGTTATATATCGTTATTGCTGATTGATCTTAACATTCATGCAACCAAGTATGGGATGGAAACCTTATTTCATTAAAAACACCATTCATTTGCCCGTCAGTCCGTACGTCAGCCTGAACTGCTCGCATCCATCATACATTCAATATTTCATTTCATTTTCACTCAAACGCATCTGTGTCGTACGCATAGAAAATCAATGTAAAGTTTTAACATATCGTGAGAGCTGTAGTGTTGTGTTCATTGTTTGTTCTTAAAAAATCTAATGATAAATTTGTAATTTTTCATGATTATGTCCTCTTAAATTCATAACTTGCATATAGTTCATAACTTGCATATAGTTCATAACTTGCATATACTTGCATAATTTTTTCGTGATATGATAGGATAATATTAAAAATTAATTTAGCCTGAAATTAAACACCACTATAAATGATAAGACCGCCCATTATTACACTGTATCCAGCAATTGTGTACAATGTTATATTTTCAATGGTGTAAAACAAAGAGTTTTATTAGTTTTTATTTACATAAAATATGATATTAATCTTAATCATAAAAGATGCACACACAAGAATTTAGATAAGAGAGTGAAAATAACACAAATAGTTTTTTATATCGAGTGTTGTTGTTTGGTCCAAAACCAAAGCACCTCAAATTGGTAGACCCTTAGACATTGAAGGAAAAAAATAAAATAAAAATATAACAAAATTATTTTCAACAAGGAATTGAAATACTTACAGTACTTGTAGAGCAATCTCTTTCAAAAAATTTTGAAACCAGTCAGCAGAATTATTATTATATTATTGAACCCATCAGGCTACGCCGGTATTGATCTTGTTAGCAATTGGATGATTGTATAAGTTATATACGTAATTTGATTTCTTATTATTTTTTTTTATCAAGAAATGGTTCTTGTACAAACTAGTAAAGTCACACACAGATGTTAAAAATTATATTTATTCCTATTTGTTTCTAAGTTTTTATAAGTTTCATTTTTATCAACATCGTCAACACAGTCGTGTTGAAATCATTTTTTTATAAATTTACGAAGTTACAACCTTTTCTGTATTGTAGAGATTTTTCTGTAGCAAAAGATTTTGTCTTTACCAGTGTAGAGTTTGAACTAGTTTTAAAAAGTGCATAACACTTATCCACATTTAGTCATTATCTAATGATTTGATTTCAATTCTGAAGATAATCATTAATTAATGACATAAAAGAAGTCTTCTTCTTCTTCTTCTTTTTAATGAGTCATTACCGTAGTCTAGTGTAGGTATAAAATTAGACTAATATTAGCAACTCATACTTCATTCATTAATTCTTAGACCGATGCAATCAATTTTATTTGTACAAGTTTATATTATTTAGATGTACTTATAAGTAAATTATTTGTATTTTTTTCAATTATCAGCTCTACACAAAGGCGTCGAGTGTTCCACGACTTCTTAAAAAGCCTAAACATACACAAATACTTGTTCAATGCAACGGTATCTACTCTTTTCATCTCCGAAATTCATTACATAATACAATACCATGTAGGTTTTATTCGTATGACAAAAGGCGAGGAAACCAAAAGGCAAAACCGGACTATCTGTTGAATGCGCGCGAGTCGAGTCGATCGACCCAACCGACGAGTTTGAAATGCGCCAGCGCCAGTACAGTGTGCGACTCCATGGGGTGCGGACGTGTCGTCGCCGCTCCGATCAACCCAAACTAAATGCCGTGCGTTCCGATAAAGTGTTAAATTGTGCCCAACGAATTTTTCGTGTAAAAAGGTTCATTGAACATATTGTGTGTCTCTGTTAAGGATAAATGCGAGTGGCACAACCCGCAAACTCTGTAAAGGTAAGCGCTCGCTATCCGACCGAATTGAGTAGGGCCTCTATTTCTAACAGCCTGCTGGCTAGACGAGTTCTCTTGCGAAGGGTTGGTAGTAGGCTTTTGCAAGGCGGATCGCATTCTCGGCGAACGAGACGGACCACGGTCGGGCCGTTTGTCAACAATTGTGCAATTGAAAATTAAAATTTGAAATTGGGCGCAAATGGTGTTGTGTTGTGGTGCATTGGTTTGGTCTGCCGCGCCGTGTGATGTAAAATCTCTTCGGCCTTGACTAAAGTTATGCTGGAATGTCAAGTGGCCGATGAAAATGTGAATGTCGAGCCGAACGACCAGCTGTAGCTGTGTTTGTAGATATTTGGACCAGTTCCTTGACAATACGTTTTCAGACGGCGATCGCCGCGAAGTCTTACTAGCACAGTTATTTTGTGATTTGTTTTCTTGGAAAGTAGCTACCTGTACTTATTATTTTGTTCGAGAAACATTGCCATTGCTAGCTTACGGCGAAAGTAGAGACTGCAAAATAATTACTTCAACGGATTCCTCGAATGTAGCGTATTGTTATTTTTAATTCAACTTTATTTTATACTGAGAAATGGCCAAACAGCGGTCATAATACCATTAATCTCTACCAGTTTCAAGAACTCAGAAGAAAAAGCTTTTGACGAGCTTTGAAATTGTCATATCCATATACGGCTTGAAACTTCCATGGCCACTCAGTAATAGCTAATTTCTATTATTCTTATATCCAATTTATATTTTTATAAAATTCTAATCATATAGATATTCATATGAATATCTACATGATTGGTAAAAAATCATGCATATACATTATTATATAATAACCTCATTTTATATAAAGCTGTCCCAGCTGTCCCAGCGAACTTCGTACCGCCCTAAAAAAATAGGGGTTGTCCAGCGGACAAAATTGTGAATCTAAACCATTCTCAGATCCCCTTGAACACACACAAAAAAATTCATCAAAATCGGTCCAGTCGTTTAAGAGAAGTTTAGTGACATACACACTCACAGAAGAATTATATATATAAAGACTAGCTGACCCAGCGAACTTCGTACCGCCCTAAAAAATAGGGGTTGTCCAGCGGACAAAATTGTGAATCTAAACCATTCTCAGATCCCCTTGAACACACACAAAAAATTTCATCAAAATCGGTCCAGTCGTTTAAGAGAAGTTCAGTGACATACACACTCACAGAAGAATTATATATATAAAGATAAGCTGAGGATGCAACTAAAGCCTTAGTTACCTAAAAAGCCTGCTAAAAACTTGTTAAAACGAGGAAATTTCCAACATCCCACTGAAACGAACAGGAAAAAAGCATTTCGCAAAACACTAGTTACTAGTTCCTATAACATAAAAACTTGAGATTAGCTCTACCTTCGACACTGAACTCTTCGTTAGATGCAAGTAAGCTACCGTGATATCCGTAGAGCATGACAAATCTGACGACATTTTCTTCTCCATTTTTATGTTACAACAAAAAAAAAGTAAATTTAAAAATCTAAAAACCCGACTGCTTAAATATAACCTGAATAGAATAAAACAACTCCAGTAGTCTATAATTCTGTTAAGTAAGGAACAGTAGCTTCTTTGACAGTTCCCCAACATTGTTAAAAAAAAAACTTTGCTGAGGAACTCGATGGCGCAAGTGGTTAGCGCGTTCCGATGCGATCGTTGAATTTAAGCAACTTTCGCAGTGGTCGGTCATTGGATGGGCGACCGAAAATTTACTATCTCGATCTCCTCCGTGCTTCAGAAGGCACGTTAAGCCGTTGGTCCCGGCTTCATCTGCAGTTATAAGCATCCACCAACCCGCACTGGGCCCGTGTTGTGGGTCATTGCCCAATCTCCTTATTCCATCCATAGGGAAGGCCTGTGCCCCCAGTAGTGGGGACATTAATAGGCTGATGATGATGAATGAATGTTTAAAAAAAATATTCATTCTTGAATAAATAATTTATTAGATGCGTATACGTGTATCTACATATACATATACATTTAAGCTATATAGCTTAGATTAGATCTTGGGGAACTACTTTTTAGAGGATAATTGCTTTTATCGTGCAGGATTCTCTTCTTTTAAAACACAATTTGACAGCAGTATATTATCCTCCTCATCATAGTCTTTAGGCAACGATAATAGAGGTAGGACATAGCGCATTTCCAACTCGAATTGGAGTGCCCGTCTGGGAGGTAACCACCCCCTTACAGAATATCACAGTAAAATAACACTACCTTTTGGTGGTGTTGTGTTTCTGTCGTTGAGTAAGGTTCCAGGTCTTCACAGGGAAGGGGATTTGGTCAGGGTAGACAATGGTGGAAGTGATATGTTTGGTTTCGTAAGCGTTTATAGGCTGTGGCGGTGTAATGGAAAGGAGAGTCTGCTGACAAAAAAAATATTTTTAATTAAGGGAACCATGTTGAAATTCAGACCTAACCCTCCTTATCAACCCCTTATCATTTAACATTTTAATATTTAGCAAGCCATTTCTTTCTAATCGGAAAAAAATGCTAAAAAAAATTATGTAACTGAAAATTTACGGTTTTCAAATTTTTTCCTTTATCTGTACTATAAGCTGTTACTTCGTACCAAATTTCAAGAGTCTATGTTCACGGACGTACCCTGTAGGTTTTTTATCCCGTGCGAGTTTCGAAAATTTACGGAAATTTGCGACATAAACGGCTGTATCTTTTGATGGCTTTGGCTTAGAAGTTTGATTTTTTCACGTCTCCAAGGGACAGTAGATATGAATTTCAGTTTGAAACCTCCACGCGTTCCTGAGAAAAACGTTCTTGTCAGACGGACGGACGGACAAAAAAGTGATCCTATAAGGGTTCCGTTATATATTTATAGTTTTTAAACAAATTCTTACACTATTGTAGATGATTTCTTAAACGAGTATTGAAGCTTTTAATTTCAATAAGAACGTCTTTAAAAGTATCTCTTTAACATAAAGTAATCGCATTAAACATGTTAATCATTTTATTCAAGTCAAAATGTAGACTGCATGCAAATATCTACAAAAAAAACCTCGAATAAATATTAATACTTTTTTAAATTGGAAATGCTATTGACCTCATTGACATAACTGGCATAACGCATTATAAACTATTTTATTTATGAGATTTATACACGCGTGTAAGTATTTTGTTATTAACAATTTTGTTTTAAAACGCCACATAAATACAAATGAATATTACTTTAACATTACAAAATAATCTCTTATCTATTAGACAAAGTCCGTCTGTCTGTAGTGCTGTTTCAGCGGCCAAACCGTAAGAGATAGATAAAGAGAATATTTAAGTTATAAGTTAAGAATAGTCTGATAAGACTACAAACCGGATTTGAGTAACGTAGCACTTCCGGGTTTCGAGAAATCAGGTTTTGGTGAACATTTGGTTCACTGGTTTGCTAGTATTATGAACTACCTATATGGAGAAGGACTGAATCATAGACTGAGATTAAAAGTAAAAATGTCATAATATGAAAAAAAATGTTGCACTTACGTCAACAGTCTTTGTTTCATTGTTGCTAGAATTATATTACGGAATTCCGTCTCTTTATGTATGCTTAGTTCAACTCGCCGGATGTCCGATATTTATTTATCTAAATAAACATTGCGATTGCACACGCAACTTAAAAGGTTACATTCCACAAAGGTTCCAAAAAGAAATAGACCCAAAGCCTTACTAGACAAACGAAATACGAACATATAGCAGCACATTATCGATGCAACATTGTAGCTAAATAACTATCCCTGACTCCCATGATCATATATTAAGCTGAGTAAAGATGGTAGCTATGCTTGCGCCGCCAGTTTTTCTCGAGGAAAACCATCTGCACTCCTTATAAGGACACCTATCCTAAGCGCGAGTCGCATCTTAATCCTTTTAGCTTAGAGTCAGACTGTTTATTTTTATTTATTTATTGCACAAAACAGAGTTACAGCAAGTAAAATGGTAAAAGAGACTAAGAAAAACAATTGATTAAAAAAATACTGAACTCCACTAGCATGTGCAAACAGCATGCTTATATAAGTACACAGCAAACTTACATTAAAAATTCAATATTTTAATAATTACATTAACATAGAATTCATTAATAACAAAATAAATGAGATTAAGATATGCACAATTCATTAATCAAATTAGAAATAAAAAAATAAATGAATTATAAATAAAGACATTATTAAATTAAAATTAAAATAAATTAAATAAAAAACACGTGAATTTTATAGATACTGTTAAACAATTGTAATAATGATTATATCAATGGTATTAATTAATTAATATATTTTGCGACAACTTACTGGATTTTATTCACCTTAACAGATTTAAAAAATATTATACTAGCGCGCTACACACTCGCTTAGCACGGGTTTCACTGTGTTCAAGGTGCATCAAAAGGAACATAGGAGGTGAGGTAGCGCGCCTCCCATATCACACTAATATTATAAAGGCAAAAGTTGTGAGTGTGTATGTTTATTACTTCTTCACGTCTAAACGGTTGGAGAGATTTTAATAAAATTTGGTATGGAGTTCGCTGACACCCTGGATTAACACATGTGCTACGTTTTACTGCGGGATAATAGCCCTTATAAACCGCGGGTAAAACCACGGGGCACAGCTAGTACTATATAAAACAAAAACCACGATGCAAGTGGAACTTTTAAGATAATTAATAAAGAAGGCCTTCCTCAGCTGCTGCAGCAGCTGGGATTCGAAACCAGGCCGCCCGCGTAGCAAGCGAGCTTTCTACCACTGAACCACCGATACTTGTTGATAGTCTGTTTTTTTAATAACAAATAAAAATGTAAGGCGACGTGCTAAACACGAACGAAAAAAATTGTAGCGATGTAATAAAAGTTTCACTTTAATAAATAAATAAAAAACAACGCATATAGCTGTAACTTAAAGGGAACACCAAGTCATAGACACAAAATGGTGACTCACAAAAAGCAAGGTACATGGTAATAATTCCGTTAAT